ATCCTGGCTACCCCATTTTTAAAAGTATTCATGTAAGCGTTACAGATGTATCATCCAGTTACTTAAATCTTCTTCTACAATAGACTTGCCTGATATTTAATAAACTCTTCTCTTTTTAAAACATATTAAAAATGTCGAATTTATAGTACCGTAAATATTTTCTATGTAAGTAACTGTTGAAAGGGCAGGTTGATAATTCGCCTTTGGTTTGGATAGGCAATCGTCACGGTGCGAACTACAGTGAAGAGTAAATGACTAAATTTAGTGTTTAACATTTATATATGGAGATAACTAATAATGACTTACAGTAAGAACTACAGTAGTTATTATTTTGTTACAGTAAATTATGCTGTATTGTAGTAAGAGTTCGAATAAGGTAACTAATATTAATTGATTATAGTGTTATGTCTTGTAACGCTTGTGATGAATATCCAGAAGATATTCAGTTATAGATGATACCATAAATAATTCTGTGTGTGGACATACTGTAGTCTAATTATCTAGAATCGTTCAGTAAATGTCCCAAATTATGAATAATGTCTGTATTAATTTAGCTATCCAATAAGAGCTAAATTTCATGAACTGTTATGACTCATACATGATAGCTGCTGCCGAAGGGTATTTAATTTAAGTTGGGCAGATAGTTGAATAAAAAAAGAATTTTATAGTTGTTTTAACGTAGAAGCAAAGGCGTCTCAATTCTTGTGAGGTAGTGAAGGGATACTGAACGCCGGAGAATATAGTAATTTCGAGATTTGTTTTATATCTTTGTCATGAAGCTGGTTTGTGACAGCAATGATCATAATTACTTTCACGGAGGCATGGACAACATTTGCATTAAATATTGAATTGTTCACTTTCTACGACAGACATTATTTACAGTTCATCAATTTGAAAATGCACTCAATCCACCTGCTCCTTCAAAAAATTCTCGAATGGTACTTTGAGATTGTACACAGTACACGTAACAATTTGTAGTGCAAGCCCAAATTAGCTTAAGATGGAAATTAGACTGCGAATAGATCGTCCTTAGCATACGTAGTTAGAAGAATCAAGTTTATGTAATCAAATTTGTCAGAAACTGTACAGTAGTAACATTTTGAAGATTCTTAATGACACTGTTTTAAGAACGGACTGTTCGCTTTTGACTTGGATAGGAAATAGTCTTGGTCTAAATTACTTTCACGAGGCATAGAGTACTGTACAGTTGCGTTGGATATTAAATTGTTCTTTTCCAATTCACTACTAATGTGAAGTAAGCTCGAAAAATGTACAGGGGCAGCCACAGACTATTTATTCGTCTTTGGCCTAGGTTAGAAAATTACATGATTAAAGCAACACTGTCAATCTACGACTAGACTAATCTTGTTGTCCCGCTGGCTTAGTACTGGTATGGATTCGTAGTAGTATGTTTGCATAATTTCCGAGAAAGGTATAGAAAGATTTTAGCATTTCTCCACCGCTATGCATGATTAACAGAAAGAAAAGAAGGCAATGGACTGCCATGTTGCATTTTTGGGGGGGTCACTGTAGATTATTATCTATTGACAGTGAAGGAGGCTTGAAACACCTTGCAGCCCATAGGGTCTCAGTCTAAAATAACGGCAGGACTACAGGACTAAAACAGCCAGTAATACAACTCGAGTAATGAGTAAAGTGATTTGATCTATAAAAATAAAATATTCACTAATGTACAGTAGTACTAAGACAAACTCCAGTTGAGCGCAGAGAGATTCATTTTAGCTGAGCAGTTGCTGATCCTACTTCAATGCTGTATGTATGCAGCTGCAGGATATCGCACAACCAAACCCGTCGAACACGACGACTATCCATTTTATGTGGGTATTATGCGAATAATTATGTCGGGTACATATATATGAGAAAGACACAGACAGTCGTCCCTTATATCTAGCGTAAAACTTGCATAATTCATGCAATAACGTGGAAATCAACAATAGATTGAAGTTTTGTCATGCTCAATTCAAGGTACTTGTTCATCACTGAAATACTTGTCTAATGATAAAGTAATTGCCTAGGGTTGAAAAAAGATGCAACTTTGCTATGTTTGCAGTTGGGAATGGTGTGGATAGCGTCGGCTGCAATGCCTTGCAATGACTTATTGACCATGGAAATGGGCAATGGCAGGCATTTGCTTTTTTGCAAGTCCGCTGTCTGGTCCATGATTAATTGGCCAGGGCCACAGCTAGCGATCTACAGTACTGTACAGTATATGGGCTGAGTAATGGAAGTTTTTCGACATGACATTGACATCGACATGTTGAATTGTGATTTTTGTAATGGCTGCTAATGCTCAATCATAAGCATGAAACGAAAGGGTTGATAACCACCCAAGTGACTCTCAGGCAGAGATGAGGTGGACAAAGGCTTCATACTAGGGTATTGAGTGTCGGTCCCGTCACTCGTGTCTAGTCATAGTACTGTACAGTGTACAGCTGTACTGTACAGTCTCCGCGTCGACAATACTTTTGTACACTGTACACTGTACAGCTCGATGGTATTGTTGACGACTGCAAAACCTTCTGAGAGAATTGCAGACTGAGTCAGAATATTGTGTCGAAGTTGGTGATTGTACAATACTGTACAGTACTGCAGTGTGGCATTGTATTTGCCTAAAGCAACAATGAACCTTTGGCATCAAATGTACAAGAGCGAATGGCAGAGTACCGTAATATTCAATAGCAAGTAATAAATGGCGTAAGGTTTCCCATAAATTGACCTTTGATCTACTGTCTGCTTTAACCTTGCACACTATTGCATTCCTTTGACATCAACTTCCAGTACAGTACAGTGCTACAGTGCAGAGCCAGTGTGTTATCGCCTGCCATCAACGTACTGTACACTGTAGACTCAGTATACAGTATGTACAGTACAGTACACTAGAGTCCGGCATCTTGTAATTCTATTTTACTACCTACTGTATTGCTGAAAGTGCAACGCGGAGAGCAGTTTCAGCAATAGGTAGTAAAATAGAATTACAAGATGCCGGACTTTACAAACCCAATTGTCACCCCCTGAGTAGAGTAGAGTAGAGTAGAGTAGAGTACAAACCAAACTCGCTACAGTACAGTACAGTACGGTAGAGTACTGTAGAGTACCGTACTGTACTTTCAGTACAATACTGTACAGTACAGTACAGTACAGTACAAACCAAACTCGCTACAGTACATACTTTCAGGGGTGACAATTGGGTTTGTAAAAAAAAGGGTGTACAGTACAGTACAAACTCTACAGTCCAGATTGACAATGGACTGTACAGTAACTTGAGGATGGAGCTGAAGGACAGTACCACTAAGAAGACCAGTACGGTACCATACCATACCGGACCGTACTGCAAATGATATCGTCCAAGTTCATCATCCCATTATGTCCTTTTCTCTTATTCTGACTGCATCCAAGCCTAATCGTAAGTACCAATGGTAATATCAATCAAGCCAAGTTGTGGCAATACCATAGAAAATACGTGCTGCTAGAAGACCAAGTTAGCAGCGATCAACGTGTTGAAAGGCGCGAGTAAATCGTATTGTGGTTGACTTGATGGCGTTGATAAGTTGCTTTTTAGCTTGTTAAACTATCTTGAAATCTTCTAAACTTTCTCTATTTAGAATAGAGAGATAGATAGACATTAAAATTGAATTGTAAGTGTATTTGGCAATCATGCTATACCACCAATGAAGTTTGAATCGTTTCTTCTTTTTTAACTTGCGATCTAGAGCAAGCGTTGACGTTTAACCATTGAATAGAGTCCACCGTTTGGTCCATACTGTAGCCATTACACAATCATATAATCGATCATTTTGACACCATTAAGGGATATGGTAAGGTTGTCTTGAACTTTGTAATAGCGTTATCACACTTTCTATCTTTACAAGGAATGCCTTGTATTCTTGCGCTAAAGTTGACACAGGATTGTGCACAAGATACAGCCGTTATCGTGCCATCATCTACAGTTGTTGATGAAAAGTCCAACTTTTCATCAATCAAGACCAACTGCGATAGTGGAACGACAATATCATTTGTTGGTGTATTCAAAAAGTACCCCCAAAAAATTGCATACTCTTTTATGACCAATAAATCCACTTTTATCGGATAGTGATATAAAATGCCTGGTTGACTTGGCTTCTTCTAGTGCTTGAGTAGTGATAGAGTAATTGCAGAATCAAATATCAAGTCTGTTAGACTGCATGAAATAAATACAGTCCCCCTCCCGCTAATACAGACTACACAGACCACTTGACTGTGCTCTACTGTATGATAGCACTTTCACCTTAACTTAAGCCATCACTTTCGTCAGTCTGATCGCATGAGCTTTTTTCACTTTTTCTATCCCTCACACTTGACCAATGTCAACGCCACAATTGACTACTTTACTACCAGGATCAGGCTGTCAAGTTGACGCTAGATTTGTCAACATGAATGCAAAGGCTTGCAATAGTTCCCTAGCCTACTACACGGACAGTCTGCAATTGTCGTTTTTTGTCGACCGTTCATTCCACACACCATGGACAGCAATCAGATAAGAAATCAATTAATTATTTACAAATCGATCTCGACATACTACAGAGAAAGTATGACTACAACTCTACTTAACATCAGATAATATGATTATGATAGACGGTATCGATATCAAGCTCTACAGTAAAATCGGATAGTCAATTGTCTCCAATTCTGAATACGACAAGATATTGCAAGAAGCTAGCTAGATGCCACAGATAAAAGAGAAGAATTCATAGTTGCACTTAAACTGCCATGGGGATCAAGTCCAATATCAGACGGATAATATAAAATTCGTTGGGTCCGTCTATTGGACATGATCCCTGTAATAAATAGTTCATGGACCTGCAATGATTTGAAATGAAATAGAGTAATATTTATGCTTAAGAGTAAATAGGATCCAATAAGATTAACCTTACTATATGTAGCTGAATACTCGGGATAGCTGGTTATTTCTAGATGTTAGTTAAAGTATTCCAACACGCATCATGGCCACTTTAAAATTCGCTACCAGTATATGGCATCTATCAATGCGTGCTAGACGGTATAGACGAAAATATAATGCACAGTATTCGCCCTTGGCTTTGTTGCTATCAATAATTCCACTCTAGTAAACAGGCTAATCCATTTTATCTACCAGATGATTACGGTAATCATGGAGATTTTCTCCCTCTTCAATCCAATACATATTTATTCCATTCAATGGCATGTAATGTATTAAGATTAATAAATTATTCAAAGAGGGTCCTTGCATCGGTATAACAAGAATGGTTTTACCATAGTATAATCGGATCTGGGATAATTTCTAACCAACAAAATCGATAACCTCTAAAAATGACTCAAAAACCATTATAAACTGATCAATCCTAATGCGTGTTATCCATTGTAGTGCACGATTAAAGATGTATACGAGTATACCTGTCGTAATTTGACCAGCACATTAAAAATGTCCTTGACCATATCTTTGGGCAATAAATTAATAACTAGTAGTTGAAACCGAATAGCTTCTGCTAACTTATTGTTCAGAATTATGTTAAATGGTTTCAGGTACTTATACAAAGGGTGAGTATTGTATTTATAATTTACAACCATTACCGTCTTACTCATAAATAAAGTAATTACATAAATGGTAACCATGTTCATTTCATTTTCAAGTTAAATTGAAAAGTTCACTTTGTCCGACGGTATATCTACATAGCATGTATAATATATCCAACTCAGCTTCGTTAAACTGTTTATCAATGGTTGGTCTAAGCTTTGCAAATAGCGATATAATTTTAATAACTGATTATCTCAATTCATGGATGTAGAATTACCCCGACAGAAGATACGACGGTCGTAATAAAAGTAGAGGACCTGTTTATAGGAACCAACGTGAATTTAACAACAATACCGGAAGAGGTCGAAACTACTATAGTAATGATAAACCTCGTAATCGTGGTTATCCACCACGCAATGCAGCTAATGGATACGTTAACAGGTAATTAATTCATGTCTATTTGACAATCACTAATCTTTAAATGATACTGACAGTTATAAAATACCTACTGCAATTATGGGGAAAAATAATATAATTAAAAGATGGAAAAGCCGTTAACGGATGATTATACACATTGCTACAGTAGTTTTTATGTGTGCGATCGGTAAAATTGATTTTGGCTACATTACCAGTTTACAGCAAGCAACGATACTATTGTACCTATACTATATGAGAACACGAATATTGGCAGTAATGAATACCATAAGTTCATACAGATATGAATGTATGTTATTAATATGTTACTGCTGTAGAGTGCAGTATCTCATAAATTTATTTTCTTTACCTAGCCTAATGCATACGACCTAGTGAAACTTCTCTAATACATTTGTAATTTATGATCGGAGTGAAAGTTTATTATTTAAATGATCTTAATACACGTAAATATTAATATTGTCTATTATATTCTTGGATACATAAGTTACAATGACAATAGCAATGCCAATAAACAAGCCAACAGCGCACCCAATCCAACTACAGATATGAAAATGTTCATGTCTAAGTTAAGGTAATGTTGAATGCCCCGTGATAAACTTAAATTACTTTATGAAGCGTCATTTATGATCAGTATTGGTACATTAAATACTGAAATAACTACGCAAGATAACGACCACTATGTACTTTACTAATGTGTCTCTCGACTATGGTTAGCCATTCCAACGGCAAGATTGTTACTATGACGGTAAGGAAAGATTTATTTCTTGGATAGTATCGTATTAGTCTAGATGAGACGTACCGTAAAGTAGCCGTTCAGGTGTAAAGTTCAGTTGTAAAATTTGACGATATCGTCGGCTAATATACTTCAATTTTAAATATACCAGCATATGTATGGATATATCTCAGCTGTACATGGAGAACTCTTATTTTTCCCATATGATCAATATAATGGCAATATCAATAAGGTTCAAGTTGGAGGTAAAGAACCAGCTATAGGATTTACTAAATCATTATACTTACACAGATAATGGTGTTTGCGTAACACACTTAACCGTAAGATAATGTACGCATATAGTTTTAGAACTATCGATGTTGGGATGCTCATTTCATAGCCATAGTATTGATAACTTAATTATCATAATCTGTCATAAAATATTTAGAACAGTTTATATGACGTATGAAACTTTGAATATCTATTAGATAAAGTGAGTTTTGACATCAAGTATGAAAGCGATCGCCCTTATGGTATCTCTAATTGTCGTATTGCTTACAACATTCAATTGCTTCCAAAAATGATGGAACAGGTCAATAAAAATAAATCGCTTTAACTATAGCAAATAGTAATTTCAAAGTAATTTAGTAGTTCCTTGGATGGTTGTATCCATTATTACGATATTGAAGCCTCGCAATAGCGTTAATACTTCCATTTGTGCTGACTGATTTTATGTTTTCATTCTCCTAAGCAGAATGGTGATCGGACGGATGAACTTGCTAATGTAAATGATTCATCTGATTACGAGGTTCGTACATTACAAGATTTCCTAAACCTCTTGAATCTGTCTCAAGTATACCGTAATGTATATCTCCTACAATACTTTGATTGATGAAAGATTAATTCGATTTATCAAATTCTACATCTAGACTATTATTAATGAAAAGCCATTAGATGGTTCAATAATAGCAACATCAGAGAAGCTTACCGATCAGGTTAATATCTTTATAACGGAATTGATGCTACATTCTACCGTTTGCATCGTATTCCCTCGAATTTTTGAAATATTGATATCGTGTACGACTTTTAGGCTACCGACTTGGAGAATTCTGCTTTTGCTATAAAATATATTGACAATAATGGGTAAATTAATAGTTTTAAATTGATGCTAATATAACTACATATTTACAAGTATTACAGTCAGATCTAATTAGAAAACCGCTATCGCACCTATTTATTGCATTAGGCAAGAAAATACAATTACTCTTGAATTAAACACTGAAACTAGACAAAGTCTCCGTATTGGCGACAAAGTGCAATTTGATATTGCTACTGGTAAGGCACTTTCTAATTAGCAATAGCTTCGGATAAGTATATATATATATATAAAACGGCTACAAATTGTGCGCGTAATTCAAGACCCCGAATCCTGTATGTAATAATTACAATCACTTATAGACAAGAAAAATGGTCAGAAACATCCTATAAATCTTTTGATATGTAATGCAAATAATCTATCATCTAATGAAAGTAACAATAAGGTAGGTTATTAAAAATTTCATGACTTACAGTATAATATGCTATCAAATGCTCAACTATAATTACGTAATTGATAGTCAGTTTTTCACGTATGTACGTATAAGATATTAATAAATAATTCCGCCGCGAAATAATTTTAGGGGGTAATTTTAACTTATGGAGAGAGATCTGGTCTGATTGATTCTATATGCTGTGATTCATTGGTTCATTTTCCCATAAAAGAGATTATAAATCCAGTTCGTAAAAGATATTGAATTATTTGCTATTTTACATCGGTATGAAGCCATATTAAATTAAAATTTTTATTTATAGGATATGCAATTATCTGTGCTTAATCAAGTCGAATTTACTATGATGACTGTAAGAATTACTACTGATAGATTTGAATGTTAGATTAATAACAATATTAAAAGTTATTCAATCTTTATGTTTAAGGATCCCAATACTAATAAAAGTAATGCTATGGAAGTCAGAATATTACCGCACAATACCTTCGAATATGCGGTAAATTATAAAGATTACACTATAACTATCGTTTTCAATTATGGTTAGAGTTAATTGCTTTATGTGGCTATGTCCATTAACTTTAGGATATCGATACAATAATACATGATGGCTTGATTGAAAAAAGCTGCTTATCAGCTTTAACCTTTAGGAACGGGTAAATTGATAAAAATAATTTATAAAATACAGCACAAAATGGGTATTAGATATTTATGCATGGCTTTTTATATTGTTGTTCGTTGCCATGTGGTATGTGATAAAATAGGAAGGATACGGATGTTGGTCTTCTTTCTTATTATGATAAACAAGGCATTATACAAATTTTACGATATTTCCCTAAAGATATCTACTTAAGTAAATCCGTCCCTGAATTTGGAGATAAGGTAACAACTGATATATATATATAGTTAGTATTATCATAGTTTTAATTGCCTTTAAAGCTAGTACCAATTCGTCTTTGTGTCACTTTTATATACGTATATTCTAGGTAAGGTTTAATATACTTACGACGAAAAAACTAAAGAAAATCTTTGCAACTAATATAGTGGTTTCTAGCACAGAATCCAAGAAAACTCTTCGGGTATATAATAATGTGTCTACGGATAATTAGAAATGTGGTAGTCTGTTTCGATAATAATTTCGGAAATTTCTCTATTAATTTTAGCGATATAATAAAAAATTTCTATTTTCAGGGTTTTGTTGCAACTCTTAAGGATAACTACGGTTTCTTGGAAGACTATAACCATTGCCGTGAAATCTACTTCCATTACAGGTTAATATTTAATACAACGTTATTATTATGTCGATTCAAAGGATAGACATTTACTAAAAGTGATGCTACTGATTGTTTGTGTCAAGTATACTTAAGGCTTTATTTACATTTTATATTATACATGTAGCTCTGTTAAGACACCTCTGCAGTACTTAAATATAGGCACAGAAGTTGAATTTAGCTTGGAAGTCAGAAATGATAAAGTATGCGCCGAAAATGTTATACAATTGCCTACTGGAACTTTAGCGAAAGAGGTATGTGTAAAAATGTAAAATGTAGCCAATTTGATTGTATAATTAATACAATTACATAAAATTGCTTAGGTTATTTCGCCCGAAGTTTTAAACGGAACGGTTGAAAGGGCATTATTGGTACCTGAAAAGCAGGTCTGGCTGTTGTTATTGCATTACGAAATATACTCTAAGATTAATAGTATATAGTAAAGGCATTTTTTTCAAATTTTTAAGGGTATCGTATTTGAAGGAATTATTAAGCTTGGAGACCAATCGGAGAAAAGTGTTGATTCCGGTCAGACAACAACAAACAACTATTCCTTTCTATCGTCCAGCATGATCACATCGAAAGTTGTTCTTCAAGATAACGAAAAGGTATTTTAATTCTTAAATTAGATATTATAGGATCATTGATAAGTGAAACTTCATGCATAAATTGTTGGTATATCTTCTTAGGTTAAATTTCAATTAGCTACGAATCCCCAGACTGGAAAAGTCAGGGCAGTAAATGTAGAGCCTGTAAGGCAAGTTATGGTTGGTAGAATTGAATCCATGAAAGGGGACGTAAGTACAAAACTTTGATTATGTTCGTTATAGTTGTAGTGAATAAAGTAGACGTACACAGATTGATCTATTGCTCTTAATTGTTGCTGTAGTACGGATTCATCGAATATCACGAAGGTGAATTTAAGAACTTTTTCTTCCATATGAATGACGTCTCTCGAGCTGATGCTACATTCAAGGTGATTTCGCTTCTATTTTTTTCTTTATGAACAAAACATATTTAATAATAATAATCGTAATCTGGAAATTAGGTTGGTGATACTGTTCAATTCGTTATACAACAACAACGCAACGGAAAGACCCACGCGATACAGATTCGGACTATTAGGTATTTTGACATAGTAAACTCTCCTATTAATAAGACACGTTGATCTAATTACATTGAATCTGTCCTAGTTCGAAAGGAGAATATAAGGGCAATACTTTTTCCGGCTCGCTGATAAGTAATGAAAGGTTAGTGACGTACTATAGTAGCGTAACCGTTGATAACTGCATAGTAGTAACGAAGTTATTTAATCTTTCTAGAAATAATGTTAGTATAATAAGGCAACCGAAAGGACCTGATGGTACCCGAGGTTTCCAATATAAACGTCTGAGTAGTAACACTTCGGCTCAAGAATCGACTTGAATTCACCGTTCATTGTAATCTTGTCGCCATCAATATCAGGCTTAGATGCGAGAATTAGTCGAACAATTGTTGAGTCAACAATTCCATGTTGGGTATGCTAATGTGCCGATAGTTTTGTGCAATTTGCCGTATAATCGTTATAGTTCGGTTACGCGTATGTCATGTGCATACAGTTAAATTAATTAAAAGTAAATTTCAAATTTATACACAATTACTTGATAAAACATGGCGATCTAGTTGGATCGTTTGTGTTCGTTTGCTATGCTCTCTTATCGAAATTTAACACCAATTTAATAAAATATGGCAGAACTAGGGGCGTTATCGATTGCTAAGCGAGCAGCTATGGTCTTGTTAATATCGCTTGCTTAGTTAATTTGTCGCTAATCAATATAGAATGCTATATTTTGCATGATGAGGAGAGTTTGTATGCTGTTAACATGCTAAATTTAAAAAAGTCTTTTAATATGATACATACAGTATGTAGCAATCGTTTATAAATTGCAAAATCAATTTAAGTAATAGGTGACTGTATTTACAATGATTGGTTCAGTATATAACAGTTCCATTTCTACCGATTTCTATGCTCAGATTGCGGATAACATACGTACAATTCGTGCTTTGTATCTAGTAATTTTGTCTGTTGTTAGCATCCAATTTGACAGTAATTTTTCGGATAAATTGTAAAATCACCAGATACTACTCCCCAGTACTACCGTCGATACGAGAATTAATTAAATCTTAATGTATAAGTGTATTGTGTACATACATAATGGATAGTAGGTACATTCCAATAAATACCCACATACCGAAAATTTGAACTGAACTAAAATTTTCTGTATTATATATAAACGTTTTAAATATAATACGGCTACTTCTATTTTCGTGACTAGGAATCTAAGGTAAATTTAACTATCGCTGTCTATATTCCATCTATAATAAGGAAAGGACTTAAAATAATAAATACAATAAATCCATTAAGGCATTATTCATTGTCTGGTAAATTTATTTCACCGTTCTTATCTATAAATCAAATAGAACGAAAACAGATAATTGACATTTCTTAATCTAGTTTGTAATTGTGCATTAACGATTTAAGGCGAAATATAGTAACAATCGAATAAAATTGATCATCTACTACATTATTATTGGAAGTAACGTAAGTTTATCTGCGATCAAAGGTGATAATATTGAAATTAAATATTTTAGCAATGATCGATCGATATCATTTAGTAGGTGCTTAATAATTTGAAAGGAACGGTATTGTACAAAGTTATTAATTTAAGTGTATCAATGTATAGTAATAGTGTATTTGACTTAAACGACTAAACGAGTATCACAAAGATAAGTATAGAGTGCCTCTAATTACTGAAAACCCGTAATGTAATACAGTAGCGAAATTTTGCAACGCCTTTACTACTATTCCTGTATAGTTACGATGCTATATATGCTGTAATCTCATTCTTATGAGAATTTCGGTGATTTAGCCATAACCATAGACTATATGCAATAATTGTACATGGCATTAGAATACTAAGAATTTTATCGAGTTAATTCAGAAATGGCGTTTATTTCTTCTTTGGTTCTTGGTCCTCAATGCTTAAAATAAATTCGTATTCCTCTACAGTGCAAATAATTATAATAAGTTACACTAAATATAATATTGATTACAGTAAACAGGTTGACCGGTGTTAGCTGTACCTACCGTCAGTAACAGGCTGTACAGATAATCGCCTATTTGTAAATAACCTCATATTTTTTAACGGGCCATCATTAGTCTTGTGTTTCTATTGATACGCAAAAGAAAATGATAAATATTTCAGTACTTCAATCAAAGCAGTTTAATAATCTTAAAATCTATACACAAAGCCTTTTGAAGTACCCAAAGTACCCAATATCAGTACAATATACCTCATGGTAAGATTTTAACTCAGATAGAGAAATAAATCGCTTAAGGTCTCGAACATACTTCACATCTACCTAGAATAGTCAATTATGCATATAACATTGCATGTTAAAATAATGCTGGTAGATACTATCGTTTCAGCGCTAGTATAATAGCTAATCACATAGTGTCAAATGATAACCCACCATGAACCATTTTGGACTTTTCCGTAGACTTGTTCTAATAGTTTAAATGTAATACAAATCGATTGAGAATTAGAATCAGAATCAATAATTGTATTGGTAATAGTAAGCAAATTCAGAAAGAAGATACATACGAATCAAAGTGTGGATCTTCTCGATTAAACTGTGTTGGGTCAACGTAACTCTCCTTAACGACCTATCATAGAAACAAAATGTCCTGTAAGATAAACTGAGTTTAGCAGTTCAGTATGCAAAATAGCCTGTGCCTAACAACGAATTTGATTTCTGAAATTTTTATTCACTATCTTCTTAGTTAATCAATCTCATGAACATGAACTATAGTGCACTGACGTTTGCATTTCGACAGTAATTAACTAATAGCATTAGTAGACGTACTGCTAACCAAATTGACTTCTTTAACAAATTACTACATCGCAATATCTACTGTACTTAATGCAGAAAAAACATTGATTTTCTACACGTATGCTACCTTACCTTGACTATTCCAGCAATTCCAGGATTCTTGCAATTACTATGATAAAAGAAGCCCAAGTGACCTACTTTCATACAATCCCTCATTAAATTACGCGCCTAAGTCACGTAAAAATGAACTTAGTAATCATTAAAAATGATTACACATCAAAGTTAGGGAAATACTGCAGAATTATTCAATCTGAAAGATGTTTATATTATTCTAATTACAGTACCTGAAAATTTCGCACACCATCCCATTGCGTTATTTGATCAGGCGAACTTTTTAAATCATCGAAACTAAACTGTGGTACACGTATAATAAAATTAGTTACAGCTGTAAGAATACTTTGCAAATGGAATTAGTGTAGGATATTTTGAAGTCAAGTATGACTTTGGAAAGTAAATTAACGGATTGGATGGGCTACTATAAAGTCTACTCAAACTTTAAAAGGACACAAAATGGGTTAGATAGAGGTTCACAAATTTCAAGAATTTTCAATCTCCAGTACTGATTCTTTAAACATCAAGAGTGAAATTTTAAACGTATATAAATAATATAATTTGTAATTAACCTTCATATCAACTCCATTTTCAAATCTACTATCAGGTTCAGATTTCAAGAGCCATCGCGTCTATATCAAAGAGAATAACAGCGTAATCTGTTTCTTGAATAGTAAGGAAAATTTATTATCATCGACACTATAGATCATACAGTAATTAAATTAATTTATTTAATGTAAATGTGGTAATCGAAAAAGTATTAGGCCTAGAAGCCATCTAACCTAATAAGTTTCGCAGGCTACAATTTATATACGATATAGGCGTATAATACTAATACTGTACGTGCATGACGCTGACTATAAGTCTCGTTCATTAACTGTTAATACTAGTATAAATATATCCTTATCTAAGCGAATAAATTTGAATCTAAGTTCGATATACACTATAAAATTTCATACACCCCTATTGTATCTAGAATCCAAAATTACGATAATTCATTACTGCGATTGCTCTTACTTAGTTGATTTTATACAATCAACGTGATGAAGGCACGTTGTAAACAGTTTAGCAATTACCTACTGTATCAAGTAAAAATTATTCATTTATTTTACGATCAGTTTTTGTAGACAGTTTAATCTCATTAAATTAGACTTCCAATTAACTATATAAAATATATAAAGTTTTCCGATTAAATGAAATACCATATTTGCAAATGAAGAGTACAAATAACGGTATACCTGCGTTATCGACTACCTGATTGCTGCGTAAATTAATTACTGTATATTATCGACTGTATGAGTTACTCTGATTCTGCTTGCTATGTTTGCATGACAGAGTAAATATAATTTAATGCATTCTATTGTCAACACTTTTGTATTTATTGCAAGTTGTGAGAACAGTTTCACTGACTCAAAGACTCTTTCAGTTTTATCAGTAGCAGGTAAGTGAATCATCAACATGAATCATGTTAACAAATGTTACAAGGCCGATTAGAATACTTACGATATGACTATTCTTGTTAGCCGTTACGCTTGATTTTTTACCTGTTGAATATTTTTGTAGATGGGTCAAATTAGAATGCAATCCAATATGATAAAATAAGCTATTACTGCAGTCAGTGTACCCTATGATAGCAAAGATACTGAAGTGCAGAGCCGCATCGCAGCAAAATCAATAGCTTAAAACTAGCGATATGAGTACTTTTGTAGGCACTTTATGCTACTGTCATTAAAACTTAGTACTTAACAAGCAATAACATAACTTTAGTTGCAACGACCATTTAGGATATCTGAGCAGTCAGGTCCACAGTGACCACAATACAGTATTTTTGCAAGAAATTAAAGTTATCATCAAAATAAGTCTAATTATGTTCAGCTAATACTGTACTGTATGTTTAACGTGCATGATATACCATAGCGATGATGATGACGATATGCAATGCACATGACCTATGCACGTTCATCACGTCGCTGTTGGTAATGATATATAATGGATGAGGCTAATTTTTTAAGCATATAAGACTAATAATTAATTCACAGTTATTACACGTTTCGCATAAGATTACTGCATGCAATAGATAAAGTTTGCATGCTTATCGACTCATGAACAGCTATTAGGTCAGTCATTGTTTGCAATGATGAGGTCTGCTTGCACAAGACTAATGTACAGCTACGATATCACTATTCGATCACTGCCTGCAATGGATGAGGCCTGTGAAATTCAATTGCATCCATCCTAGCCTAGCTTACTCAATGCTCATTCATTCGTACGTATAGTATCAACTATTAACTCGAGCTTAAAAAATGTCACTTTGCAATGGATGAGGCTTGTGAAATTCAATTGCATCCATTCTAGCCTAGCTCGCTCGTAGAGTATGACTAGTTACTACAGGTTGAGTAATGACACTTTGCAATAGATAATAAGGCTTGCGAAATTCAATTGCATCCATTCTAGCCTAGCTCGCTCGTAGAGTATGACTAGTTACTGCAGGTTGAATAATGACACTTTGCAATAGATAAAGCTTGCGAAATTCAATTGTATCCATTTTAGCCTAGATCGCTCGTAGAGTATGATTAGTTACTACGTTGTTGAATAATGACACTTTGCAATAGATAAGGCTTGCGAAATTCAATTGTATCCATTTTAGCCTAGCTCGCTCGTAGAGTATGACTAGTTACTACGTTGTTGAATAATGACACTTTGCAATAGATAAGGCTTGCGAAATTCAATTGTATCCATTTTAGCCTAGCTCGCTCGTAGAGTATGACTAGTTACTACGTTGTTGAATAATGACACTTTGCAATAGATAAGGCTTGCGAAATTCAATTCCATCCATCCTAGCCTACTTTGCTCATACTCGAACATACTGTGCACTGTACCAGTATCAGCTATTTACTACAGGTCCAATCATTTGCAACGGATGAGGTCTGCAAAATTCAGTTGCGCCTTTGCCCTCGTAGGTAGAATATGAATTATTTTGGTACTAGCCTAGCTTGCTTATACTCGTAAGTACTGTACAGTAGCAAGTATTTTCGTACTATACTGTAGGTCAAATAATGACACTATGCAATGGATGAGGACTGGGAAATTACCTTGCACTATCCTAGCCTAGCTTGCTTATATTACGTATGCCCACTGGTGCAATATTGACTGCAGGTCAAATAAAGACAACATTGCAATAGATGAGGCCTGGGAAATTAACTTGCATCTATCCTAGTCTACCTTGCTCATACATATAGTAGCAACCATTTACGACAGATCCAATATCATGATACCTATACTAGCCGGCCGCTTCCCAATAAACATAATAATGCTCTTCATTGCTAGCACATATCAAGGAGCAGCATGAAAAAGCGACGGACTTGAGTCCAAGACTACTGATGACTTTGTTAATTAATAGGACACTGCTGCTACCGAGTCAAATTCAACAGCATTACGGACTCCCTTATCTCTTGCCTTTCTAATCCTACTTTACCTAGCGAATTTTTGAGGGTTTTGCTACCACCAGAACTCGCTGCCTTTCTTTTACTACCGACTTTAGCCACCGTTATAGTTGCCATGATGTGCGATGCAAGCTTTTCTGTTTACTGCCAAGCTATACAAGTCTCCAGGAGAAGCACACGTGCAGCTCACTTTGATTTGTTATTAAAAAATAGATTAATTAATTAAAAATGACGCGACCTTGTCTTCCGTGTACTATACGTCTCGATAGTACAGTATCGTACTATACTACATTCTCTTGCATGCTACGTACTGTACCCTGCTCGTATGAATTTATTATTATTATTATTTAGTAATATTATTATTATGATGATGATGATGATTTATTTATTTATTTATTTATTACCGTACTATTCGCGGCGCAGTGTACTGTACGGGTAAAATCGTGGTCAAATACTGTACAGTACAGTACTGTACCGTACAATACAGGATACTGTAATAAGGAAGGAGTTTTTATTGGAACAATATACTGTACACTGTAAAGTACATGTCTGATTAATTTCCATGGCACCCTGAAAAGATAGAATTGTGTGGGTTAAATCAGGCCCAAAGTAGATAAATTCTAGATGTAGTTATCTGTGGAGATATGCTTTTACGGGTATATATATAAATATATTACAGAAATTTCAACGGAATACAACTTTGATTTATTAACGAAGGGGTGCCATCGTAAATAATAAGACTATACTATACAGTACAGTATGCTACAGAACGACGCGATCCTATTCTGGATCCCATACTGTACATTCGCACATTCGGTATTACAACTCTTGCTTCAATTGGGACAAAACTGTTCATAAATGCATGGTTTTAATGCAGGATAGGAAGGTCCATAACCAGTGATATTCTTGGAACGTTTTACTTACTGTATACGTAGTTTTGACTATTCAAACATATCAAAGAAACAGATCACATTGTACATACTATGCAGTATACAGTACTGTAACATGATGTAACGTAACTCAACCACTAAAAGAAAGCCAACAGCATAATCTCAAGAATCAATTAGTTACCGTAGAAGATGATGGCCACTCTAGTACTAATAACAACGACAAATTACATTCAACTAAAATTGCAACAGATATTGAAGGAAATTACAAATTTAAGTGAAATGTTTCAGTCCTTGATTCTGATTAATGTCTCATGCAATTAACCTTAAACCGGTAAACCTACTAACAGTAAACTACGATCCGCTATTCTGTTAATTCAATTGATCAGAGTAACAAGTGAGAAGTTTCAATTTCGAATAATGATATATATTCGTGTTTAACGGAATCAAAACTACAATAGTTGAACGCATTTACAAGGCATAAAAATTACATTTAATAAAAGGGTTCGGCTTTATTCTAGCTCAGAATTTGGCCAACATATGAAAAACTGAATAAAGTAGTTTCGTCATCAGAAGCAAATACAATTTTTATTGCTATTTTTCGATAACGCCGTCAAGATGGTACTTTATCAGTTGCTTAAGTAAACGGTTAAATACATGTATATATGCAAGATATGTTCGATAAATTGAATAATAATTAGAATTAATTTTCTCTATTCTCCAACACGAAAAATCCTAATAATGCTAACATCAAATACTAGAAATAAAAAAGACAAAACATGGTTTAGCTTTACAATGTTATGGTAATAGTAATGAATTAATTCAGAATCATCACTAATCTAAAACCTTCACTACTCACCTTCAGTTTGGGATAGTCGTTCATCGCTATAGTCACCATGCCAACATATGGAACGAACCTGGTAAATTAAAAGATTTAACGTGTGATCAATAGGTTAAAACGCTATCAACTGAAGGCAATTGACCGCAAAAATCGTATTCTCTGCATCTAATAAATTGTTCATACAGCATGTGTGTACCGAATTAATAGCATTCCTAAGATATAAGATCATTCCGAGTACGTTATAATAGTAAGCTGTCATCATCTCATGAAGGTCAATTTAAAAGCTAACTATTCTGCGTGTAAAACTAAGAGCCAATTTATCGTGTAAATAATAGTAAATAGGAATTTATCATTCCAAAATGGTATAATGTAAATTGTTTGCAGATATCAAAATGGAGTCGTTGTAGAGTCTATACGTATATTTCGATCATGTAAGCGTAACCTGCAAAAATTATATTAACAATTATAGCATAAACCGGCAGCATAGTAATACTTTTTGCCTAATATATAATGTACGAGCGGAATAACATCATCTGCATTATCGTAACGGTAAGATTATTTACAGGAAAAACAAGAATCAGAAAGGTCATGAGTAGAAATGATGAAGCTTTCTCTCTTTCGTCTTTAATACATATATAGTCCATCTATGATGCCGTTGCAGTAAACGAGTACATTAAGTAAGGTATCAGATTTCAGAAATATAAGTTCGAAGAATACGTTTGGTTTTTAGTCTCATTAAGTTTGAAGTTTTATAGGACAATAAAATGATTGTTAATATAACCTTTCATTTTATAGTGTTTCGCCCGTTAGATACCAATTTCAATACAGTTATAAGTGGTGTACTTTAAACTGACAGTATTGAATTTAAACATAACAGGTTATGGTCTTAATACGAGCTGTGTCAATTTCAGAGAGATTGAATAACAATTATTGATTATAATTAATTAACTACCCCTTAGCGCGACCAATGACGTCCTTCTTTTCTAACCAAAATTGTCCATCAGCATATAAACCACGGTCGTCAACTATATTATTATCGCCTTTGGTTAAGAATTTCACAGTTCCATTTTTGCTGAAAATTTCAATTAATCCATTACATCAATATAAGTTATAATTCAAATAATTACATATATATATATACATATATAATTATCAAATGCACGCAAGTGATTGAAATACTGAAATAATACATAAAAAAGATATGATTGTACATCGTTATACCCGTACAATGCAAATTAGGATTAAAGATTTAAGTATGAATCCTTAGAAGTTGAAATTCATCAATAGTTGTATAAAGTGTTGTGCTATACTTTATATGAATACACTCGAATTGCAGCCATAGATGTATAAGCGTAAATGGTAAGAAGAGAATTGTGTAGAACTTACTCTTCGTGGATTCTCAGTACACGATGAATAATCGGTATTTCTCTACCTCTAATCTTGAATACCACAATTTCACCAACACGGATTGGCTCACTTTGGTAATTATTGAGCATTAATAGATCACCACGATTAAATGAAGGTTCCATCGCACCACTACATTGAAAGAAAATTTTGTATTTATCAATATAGTAATAAGGCTAGTAGATTAGACACTCTCTGAACAATTGATTCAATATTTGGACTTGGAAATTTTCGAAATCATTTTTTATATCCAGTGTCATTCAAACTACTAGTACTAGCTGAAATGAATTAGCTTGAAAGTAACAGTAAAGGGTTACATGGTGTACAATCAGAGAATATGCGTCTATTTATACAGAAAATACAGTAAACTTTGCACAGATATATAGTATTATCACCTCAAGAACTTGTTTTATGTAGAAATGACTTGTATTTTAATGTTGCGAAGCATACTTGATGAATTCGGTAGACAGTAAGGGCGTGAATTAGTGTAGAACTTGGCTATGTTGACGTACTGTGTACGACTGTACAATCATTCCACAATAATCGCCTTTCATTATTTTCCACGAATTATTTGATAATTCGTTCTACTTTGCTCCATTCTATGGCGTGCATGCATACTAAAATTGCAGATAGTGAATTGCTTGCAGGATAGTCATTTGTACGGATTTCACTATCACTAATATCAGTAATATATCATTAACGTATGTCCTTGCACGTGTATAAATATGTGCATAGCATAGCATTTAAAAAGTGCCACTCTTATTACTTTGAGATCGATGCACAGTATCCATAGCAATTCTATGAAAATGACGCACATTGTATCCAGTCCAAATTGCTAACAGTTATTGTATAGAACTGATCAGTATTATCCAGCGGAGTAGAGTCTGATTATTTTCCTATGGCCGCTTGTAACAACTAGTCCATTATTCCAAAATATACGTTTAGAAAGGAGTCAAAAAGAAAATCTTGACTAATAAGGGCAGAAATGTCTTGTAAATGGTGTCTCGATTGTCACGATTTGATACTATGGATACGCGTACCACTAGGGATTACCTCAAAACGACGACAATTGGGCTTTCAGTGCACGTTGCGACAATCAAGGATTTCCAGATCATTAATGCTGTCGATACTACCATCACTAAGCATAAAACCTGATAGAGGACCTATATATAACAGATAAAGGAAATATTCACAAAATGAATGCCGATGTTGATCAGTAATTCACGTCGAAATCTGCTAGCCAAGGCAGTCTTCACCTTGGACAAGTACAGTACAATATAATTCATTTATCATGTCATCCGATATCAGTAGGAAAAATTTCAAATTCATTTTCACTTACACGACGAAATCCCAATCGCAGTAAATCGCCCAAACCGATCGTTTCAATTACATTTTTAATCAATGCAATGGTGATCAGAAAGTTAGAGCAAGAGATTTCGAACTTTCTGTCTGTCAATGGAGATGGCATTACTCTATTAATCGCTCCTTACAAATCCCTCTTATTACACTAATAATTACAGTATCGATCTAGTACAGTACACAGTTGGTCATGTGAATCGGATTTGGCTTTTGGTCGTAGTATGGATTCTACTGTCGACGACTGAGCACGCGTACAGTACAGTACAGTAAGTGTACAGTGTATTGTAGTCTCCAATACGGTAGACTGTAGACTGTACTATAGAAGCACTACTTGGAGCTTTTCACTACAGCTCAACTTTTTGGACGACATTATTCAAGTTCATGAAGCTAAATCATAAATAATTTCAATGGAAGTTCTTTTGCAAGATTGCACTGACTAGTTGATGATCATTTCTTTCTTTTGGGGGCCTGAAATGACTTGACTGCTGGTAGCACAGTGTGTAAGAGATCTACAATAATGTAGTGCACAGTACAATATACCGTACACGCTAAACTACTGCAAATCATTGGATGCTTACAGCAGGCGGATTAAAAACCTTCAATCAATGCTAGCCATCATAAAAAGAGTATGGATGGAGTACACTAGGTAGATATTAAGTAGGAAAACACTCTGTACACAATAACAGCAAACTACCCTGAACTATCCACTACCGGAGGATGTAGAGCCTGCGTCATAAACACCCTGAAAAGCCAACACAAATAAGACAAGAGGAGAAGCATTCTTCTCGGCTATTCTTAAACCCCATTGAAATGCTTCTTCTTTTTAAACCATAATACAATGACTCAATCAGGCGATATGTCTATTAGGAACAGATAGAGAGTGACGTAGTTGACCAACCCTTTCATCTTGCATCAAGTAAAATGTAAAAGAATAGCAGCAATAACAACATCATTCCATATCATAGTACAACAAGATAACTGATACTCGTCCAAGCCATTTAGACTAACTATCCTGATTTTAGACTATTGCAAAACTGTCGGATAGAAACTTGTTGTCGACATCATGGCTACCGCTACTGTTAAGAAATCACGAATAGTTCAATCCGACTTGAAGAATTTATTAATTATCTCATCGAAAATTCCCTCTCCTGCGGTCTTGATTGCTGCTGTCAAATCGCAAGTGATTGTTGTCCAATATCAATATGAAGAATCCACGTTACAAATGTTACGCGATAAAATTCATCGATCGTTGCAAGGGAAGAAAATCGCTTTGATCGGTGTATTATTGCATGGCCAACCGGGTAAATGCAATATCACCGGCAAAGACAACAAGGTAAAAATAGTGCATGAAATGTCGCCAACAGGGTACTCTCCTGATTCTGTATGCAATGCCCCAATCATGTAGTTTTCATGTTTAAACCGTTATTCATAAACTTGTTCAAGGATTTCAAATGCCCTTCGATATCTTATGTAAATTATCCAGTAGAAATCGACTCAGCCCTATTGCTTACCGTAAAATACAGGTACACCATGTAGTGGACACCGAGAGTGCAGAAAATGATATCAACTACCAAGAATTAATTTACTTAACGGACCTTGAACTCAATTATTCAACGTGACAAAAAAAAAATACTAGACCTACGATTCATTGGATATGGAGGTTGCGCGAAATTGTATCGTCGTGGCATCGATTGCCCGTCAGCAAACTCAATCAGTTACCATCAAAGCACAAACACTATCCCATTTGACTTGATTATTACAGAAAATTTCACCCCATTACTGATCATAAAATAATCATAAATTTCACTGATGTTGCCATCTTCAACACTGATATGGACATACAATACAAGCAAACTATTTGTTGACTCTACACGTAGATAGTAGAAGGCAACCAAAATGGAAATATTCCACTATGTATAACTACAAATGGTTCGCTACACTCCTTCTTTACCTTTGTAATTTTTTTCTCCATTGAATCAAACCTTGACAAGATTACGCCTATTTTCTCTTTTTCTCGCTAATATTTTAGAGTAGATCAAAAGGAACAAAGTGAATCGATCGATAGACGGTAGTATTCGCGCTTTAAACATATCACCTTCATGTTTAATTCGCTGCAATTGCTAACCATACTGTCTTCACTGATTCATGATAAGCAGTTTATTCAATCCATGCCATGTAGACTGTTTAGTGTACATGAAAGCAAATGGAATGAAATTTCCTCTCCTATAAATAACGATCAATTATGACACTATGATATTGTATAACTTGAACGGTTACAATTTTACCTTTACAACCTCAATAGCCACATATTCCTATCCCAATATACTGTCCCGTCAATACGTCGTCTATAGATGACGAAAACTACCTACAGTTTTCACTCTATTACATGATAGCTAACCATGGTCAAACCTGAACTCTATAATTTTATCCTTACAGCCAAAATATCCACTTTATTCCTACGTCTATCTCGACATGCAGTACCCTACTACCGTAGTCTACGGAATCCCCGCTTTCAATGGCACATTCTATCAATGAATCATTCATATTAGACTGTCCACAATTAGCTACCGCTCTCTTTCTGTATGTACATGCAACGAAACATATTTTGACTTGAACGATTATAATTTTACCCTTCAAGCCAAAATTTCTCCCACTATTTTGATATACCACATTCTACATGCACTGTTATTCAAGGGAATATCCTACTAACATATATAACAGTCAATAAACAAGATTAAGTGCAAATCAAACCTTTATAATTGTATCGATGCTGTCAAAAATAAATACTTTGTTCCCATCTTAATGACTAGTGACCTCTGTAGACTGTTCTTCAATGTAATTTCTCACCAATTTCTCACTCAATATATATAACTATCTATGACAGTTTAACTAGTAACCGCTGCTAATTAACTTGTAGCCATAGACTTTGCCAGTAATGTTTCTATATTTAACAGTAACTTTTACTTGTTCTACAAAAAGCTTTTCTTGATATACAGTACTGCATGCGCGTACGTTGAGTCCTTTAACACTTCATTTTGAAAATTCCATTACTTTTCATCTGTTGCTACCAGATCTACAGATCTCGAATAGGTTTTGTAAACAATAGAAAAAATCAATGTCCATCTCTAATATCTTTCTATCCTTTCACTATCAATTTCTTGTGAATCAACTTGTAGTCATTCCCTACTCAATTTGATCCATACTAAACATTATTTTAAGCCTCAATCGAATATTCAATAGCCTTTAATACCATAACAAATATCGCTAATATTGTCCTTCTGATTTACTAAAACTTAATACTGACATCCTAATAGACAAGATAATTAACCTTTTTTCATTAGTACATTAAACATAGTATATCATTAAAGATTAATTAATCATTTATAGATATTATAATATGAGCAATAGAAATTGGCATTGATCGTACCAATTCTTTTATCCTATTCTTGACGGTAGATAAAATACTGCAGCTATCGCCATTTTCGATACTTGAGTATATTCTAGATAGAGAGAGAGATTTCTTTTTATCTCGACTCAACGGAGTAGAGTAGTTTTTATAAGGACAGTAATAGAATAACAACTATTTAACTTTAGTTAAAATTACTCCTTAACTGAAATAATAAAAATGTTGTAAATTTCTGTGGATAAATTCTGTGATGAGCATACTCCATCTCGTAAGTACCTACAGAAATATCCTTGATATACAGTAATGCAGTCAGAAGACTATAAAATTTTCGAAGCTTTTGAAAGATTTGTCTATTTATATACCAAAGTGATCATCAAGGTGTGTCTTACTATTCGATGGAGTATAAAATAGTATTGCTAACTAATTGAATACATTAAAGGCACGTATAGATATAATTTTCAAAGAAATGACTAATGAATATAATAACGTAATAATGAAGCAACACAAGGATAAATTGAAATGTTAGTTCGGCCAAGTTTTTTCTTAAATAAGTATAAAAGAATGTAACATAGGCAATCCATCGTTGTCCAAGTAGTTAAAAGCATAGTATATTCAAGGCAAATGCTATAGCTGTGTAAATTCCAACAGGGAAACTATTAATCGGAACTCGTTGTTCAATTCTATTTCTAGAGATTCTTCCATCATTTCGACAATATTACTTTCCCCGAATTTTTCTCCTATCAGTCAATGTGATTCATCAAATTGCGCATTGCATCGCTCTCATCATACATCAACTTTATCACTTTCTACATGACGTGATCATCAAAATGACAAAATATGATATACTCAAGTTAATAAGATTCTATAAATATAGCTTACGCTGGTGGTTGGCATATTAATTCAAGCAATGGATTGCTTGAATTTTATGTCTACTTTACCACTTTCTATATGTTGCGATCGTCAAAATGTGATGTATTCTAGTTAATAAGATTCTACGAATAACAGTTTATGTTCGTAGTTGGCGTATCAATTCATACAATCCATTGCAGCATCATCTATACGAATTGAACTATTGCTAAGAAAATAGGAAACCATAACCGTAACTTATCGACCTTACCACTATCCATTATACTAATGGTTCCTTTATCATTTTAAGATTGGCTTAATTAGTGCATTATTTAGCGCCATTAATATTGTTTGCTATGTATTACAGTTTAGATATTACTATAGCTGATCTAATACCTTAGACCTATAAGTTTCAGGCGATACATAGCCTCTTCTCTTCATTTTTATTATTCTTGTATTATGTGATAATAGTCTATGCTATAGCTACTTAGCGCACATGTATATAAATCACAATTGCACAATACTTTACTAAAAAAGATAACAAAATCACTTACATTTTTGGATTGAAACAAAACTGTTTCTAATGTAATAGTATGATCGGCATAGCTGGATAGCTAGTTTACGATTACGAAAAGACGTATAATTTACAGGCCGCGCTTTAATTAAGGATAATGATTGTAAGATATTGTATTGACGAAAATACATGGACTATTCATCATAAAATTAGACGCACACTGATAGATTTTTAATGAGTTTAGTCCCGCTGGACTGCAAATAAAAAACTCATTGAAAAAAAGGATATTAAGAGTTACAGTTTTTGTCAATCTGCTTGAAAGGAATTCTCTCTATTCAATTTTATACAATATGCGATAAATTAGTTGTCACTATGAAATGGTTCTTAATAATGAAAAGAGAGGAGTGCCATCTTACTTTATATCTTTTACTAAGTCGTTCAACCATTCAATAATTAAGGCCAAATCCATAATGAATGTTCTCTGTTTCTTAATCTATACAGTTCATTGATATCTTTGATACCAAACAACGCGATACAGACATATTTGAATTCTTTGGCGATCTTGTCAAAGCTTACATTGATCCAAACAGTAAATCCAAGCAAATCAACTTTCTAGCTTCATCTTTGACTACCATGAATGCAAATATACACCCCTTAATTCGGATGTTGTCAACTTTTACCGAGGTAATTAAGCGTAAATTAATATAAAAGCGTGTTTTTGTACAATTGATGAAATGCTTTAACCGTGATTTTGTCTAAAATATTATTCAATACTAATCTTGGACGATAAATTTACATTTATAATTAATTCGTTGCCATTCTTGCGTAATTATAGGTTGATGTTTACATTGCTAAGGATATTATTGGTAATGAAGTTTACACGGCCGATGGAACGTGTAGGTAAGTTGTTTCATAAATTAGCTACGGGTTGGATATATTATGGAAACTTGATTAGTATCAAAGTTTTACCTTCGGTAGTCATTAATTTAAATACATCTTTTCAAGAATATCTAACTGCTTATTCATGTGTGAATTTATTGGATTGCTTTAAAGTACTCCTGTTGGAGAAAATTTTTTTAAAACGGGAATGATAAAAGGCTGGAAAAATTCAAGTCAATCCTTGGCAGATTTTCAAAAGTGTCGAGTTGTTGGCAAAGGTTATAGACTAGTAAATCAATATCTAGTGTTATTATTCAATCGATAATGTATATGGTAATACGTATTCATGTTGCCAGCTAAGGACTCAATTGTGCTATTGTTTTGGGATGATATAACTTTAGGTGCTTATGGATCTGCCGTTTTATGTCGTAGAAAGTGCGATAATTCTGAAATTATTTTGAAGCAAATCCCTATGATTGACTTAAACGCATCAGAAAGGCGGTTAGCTATTAATGAGGTAGGAATGCATCAATGGATAATTTTTTTACTAGAATAACGCGTCTAAAATACTATAATGTTAGCAATTTTTAAGATTAATAGGAGAAAAATTGCTTACTTGCAGGTCAATGTTTTATCCATGCTTAATCATCCAAATATTGTACACTATCACGATAGCTTTGAAGAATCTGGCATGCTAATTATTGAAATGGAATACGCAGACGATGGGTAAAGCCATTTATTCATTTGCATACTATACTCGTATACAGTATTATGCTATATACACTTTATTTATGCTCTCTGGCGATATAATTATCAATACTGCTTGATAAAGCTCTATTCGCGAGTACGACGATATTTTTGAGAAAACCTTAAATAATATGTTATCAGTATTAGCTCAAATACTAGTTATGCATTTAGATAAACTAGAAATCGACATGATTGCCTTTTTGCAATGTGCAAATATCAATTTCTTCGGAGATTCATTGAAATCTGAAAGTGTAACTATACAACAGATTTATTCCGCAACCTAATACCAATATTTTTTATATATATACATTACTTTTCCTTTAAACTAATTATAAACAATACCTTGGCTATTTGTACCCTGATTAATACTGAAATTCAAACGGCATTCTAATCCATAATTAATAAATTATCTACGTAGCGATCATCACTGATTTAATAACAATTTTAATTATTTTTTATTACAACATAGGACACTACAACAATATCTATCACAAGCGAATGAAGAATTAGATGAAAGAGAGATATTACATATATTTAAGCAAATTGTATCTGCACTTCGTTATATTCACAGCTATAACATCTTGCATAGGTAATCTTAATTGATGATTAATAGTGCAATCAGGATGCGATTTCCCAACTATCATCATAACTGACACTATATCAACTATTGACAGAGATTTAAAGACCGCCAACATATTTCTTATGAAAGATGGTACCGTAAAAATGGGAGATTTTGGTATTTCTACTGTGTTATCAGATACTGCGAAAGAAGCAAAAACTGTCTTGGGTACACCATATTATATTTCTCCAGAAATGGTAAGTTCAATAAGTCAAGGAGGTTAAATTAATAATATTTTACTTTCTAAAAATTATCCAGCTCATTATTCTATTACTATTAAAAAACATAAAGTATTTGCGAAAGTATTCGTGCTATACGTAATGCTAATATGTTCTACCATGATATTGGAACTGCATAATACGGTTTTAGTGTGAAAGTAAGCCTTACGATGATAAAAGTGATATCTGGGCATTAGGATGCATACTGCATGAAATGGCAAGTCTTCAGAAAACTTTCGAAGGTTCTAATCTTCCAGCTTTAGTTAATAAAATTATGAAGGTAATCTTGAGAAATTAACTTTTAGCGGTAAAATTTGGTTATAAAATATAATTAGGTATAAGCATAGCTCCTCTGATTAAACTTTCATTTTATCTAGGGTACTTTTTCTCCAATTAGTAGTCATTATAGTGCAGGACTTTCTAGTCTTATTTCTGATATGTTGCAAAAAGATCCTAAAGTTCGCCCATCAGCAAATGAGATATACTATCAAAGGCTGCCTGAGGTTCTGTTCATTGCTTACTTACTTCAATTTGTGATATTCTAATTAATCTAATACACTAGTTAGTAAATCTATTTATTCCATTGACTCTTGCTAACAGATTATTATGATACTATTTTATAGATCGAGCGTAACTTTGACCCCAATGAATTCGAGGATGATCAAATATCTTGTATGTCAGATTCTGCCGCTGGTAAAAGGAAAAGGTATATTAATTTAATATTAACGGCCATCGCTGGCAGCCTACATATTTTTTATTCGTTTCTGCAACACCAGTAATATACCTTTAATTTGATTCAGATCGGTATTATATTGCCTTAATTTAACTAATATAATCATGGACCAGTGCGATTTACCAAGTCGAAAATGTTTCATTCAGGTAATATCGTAAGGATCAATGTTTGCTATTTGCTATTGATTTATAAAAATGTAAAGAATATACCTTCTCAAGCTATCGTTTTACAAACGAGAACATAAATTTCTTACCATGTTGTAATCAATTTATTATAGCTTGCGGTTGGTAGCTCTCACGTCGTAGCCATTTCATCGGATAGAACAGCATATAGTTGGGGAAATGGTTGTATGGGGCAATTAGGTCATGGTAATCTTATGAGCTATGAGAGACCAACAATGATCGAAAATTTGAAGGGAAAATCCATCTATAGGTTTTGTTGTGCCCATCGATATGATAGTTGTCTTTTATTTTTAACATTTATTATGGTTTACGCGCTATACAGTACTTGCGTAATTACTTCCACTTTGATTTACGATAGTTCTTTAGACTGCAAAATTCAAATCTTCTTAGTTTCAACTAATGCTATAAACTTATACTTTTTTAATAATAGAGCATGCTGCGGTAACCGCTTTTCGATATTTCTTAGCGAAAATGGAATAATTATGACCTGTGGAGCTGGTAATTCTGGCTGTTTAGGACATGGTGGATGGACACCGTATACAATACCTCGCTTAATTGAATCACTCTTAAGCAAAGATATTTCTAGCATCTCTTGTGGAAACGAACATGTTATGGCTTTAACAACTGATGGAACGGTCTTTACTTGGGGGACGGGAAGTTATGGTCAACTTGGATTAGGGGATGAAGATGACAGGTAAAGTGTTAATACAATATCGAAATTAATATCAATGTTAAATTAATGGAAGTGTCTATATACATAGACAACATTTTACTCGTGTAGTATTGTCTAATAGACTATCACATATAGGTGCATTCCTACAAAGGTCCAATTTCCAGCTGATGTATCAATAAAAACTGTAATATGCGGTACCGATGGGACAATGTTTATAACCAATTCTGGCAAAGTTTACGGATGTGGAAAGTAAGATTTACTTGCAAATCAACAAACTGTTTAAAATTGGTCTAAAATAAGCAGTATGACGTATATACATATATCGTCAAAGCTAAGTTAACTAAAGCGTAAATTTACTGTAATTAAGTTTTTAAACTAAATATTAAGAGCGAAATATTATACGTGTATAGTACCAAATAATAACTTTTTTGTATTTTTAATTTTCCTATATCAGTAATAGCTATAATAAACTAGGTCTAAACAAACGTCGAGGATTATTAAAACGAGTGCGAAACACTATAAGAAAGGTATCGTAAGAATTAGTTTTATAATATTTGAAGTGAAGAAATCTTTAATATATAATTATCCTAGTCAATTAACGATAACAAACGTGTATCTCATCCATGTCATCAATAGAATTAATTTTTTTTTATTTGACAAACAGCGAACCGTAACTGTCGACCGTGCGATCCGCCCTTTGCCTGTTAAATTATTATCAAGACATTTTATCATGCAAGTTTGTCTGGGGGTTAATCACACATCTGCTGTTACTCAGTCGGGAGAAGTAATCACTTTTGGTAATAACGATTTTGGCCAACTGGGTACTGGTGATAATCGACCTACCGATTATGCAACGACAGTCAATTTACGAGGCTATAGAGCTATTGTAAGTTAATTTACCGATATCAATAAAAGTATCAGAAACGTTTTATAATATTAGAAGTCTTAAATACTAACTGCCATTAGCACCAGTCACATGAGATTGCAATCAATAAAAGATGAGAATTTACTGATAATTAATAAGTACTTCTATAGACTAGGTACAAATTAAAAGGTATCATATAGACTGCAATCATGAATAGATTCTTCTTTCTTTGATTCTAAATAGAATGTTACGTGTGGTAAAACGTATACATCTGCAATATTGGATAATAATTCGGTGCAATTTTGGGGTAGTCGAAAGAAAGGAACAAATGCTCCGGTTCCTGGCACCAAATCTATAGCTACTAATGGTTTAGGTATTCGATTATGTAAGCAAGCAACACCAATTACAGAGTCAACATCAGAAGGAAACATCCAAGAACAAATTGCTAATGGCGAAGAAAATAAATTTAACCGAATAGATAAAAAAACTTGGCGCCAGTCGCTTAGATTAAAAAGAAGTCGAACTACCTCGATGACTAATAGTAATAATTATTGGCCGGTTTATACCCCAGATGCTATATTTTATGGGCATGCTAAGGAAGAAAACGAGAATGAAAAATCAAACAGCAAAGGACACGGATATAAACATCCGGTAACCTTTGAGAAAGTTATCAGCCATGAAAACAATCTGTATCTTATAGTAGAAACTACCGCTCCTAAGCCACTACGTGTTGGCTCCAAACAAAGCAAGCGTAGTAAATACGATCATTCTAGGACAAAAAGACCCAGACCGTAAGCTCATGAATGAAATGAAATTAAACATAATGTAGATTTACTTTCATGCTTACCTTTAAATAAGTAAATATAAACTCTTTTCAATTTACTCAACATAGCGGTAGTTCTTCAGATATAGCGTTATCTCCATCTCATAGCGAAAATGCAGCTATAGTTTCAAAAGTCGACAGTGGATTTCAATGTGAATTTGAAACGGTAACAACAGCAAGTAATTCACAAGTTCATGAAGATTCATCACTTGCTAATACAGCTGATGAGGTAAAAACTCCACTGAGTTTCAATAATAATAACTACTTTAGTCAAGGTTATTAATCTAAAATAGCAACAATAGGAGTCGAAATGCAAGTTACTTATTTAGACATTTATTTCTTACAGATTCCAATATGGTTGCAAAATGAACTACGTGCAACAGAAGAGGAAATGGAAGAGATTAATGGCCACGAACGAAAGACTGATGAATTATCGGAAATATGTTCTGCTAATAGTTCAGCAACTTTAGTGGCCAAAGACGACAGTATCGTTGAAAAGAAATTATATCGTGATGAAGATTATTCAGAAGCAAAGGCAGAAATTCAGAACGAAAATGTCGATAATGCAACTCAACCACTAAAAGAAAACCAACGGAATGATCTCAACAATCAATTAGACATAATTGCTGAAGGAGATGAAGACGCTTCTAATTCTGATAATAACGATAAATTAGATTCAACAAAGACACAATTGCAAGAAGTTTTGAAAGAAATAGCAAAATTAAAGGAAGAAAATAATAGGGTAAGCAATTTAAACTTCAAATTGACTCCACAATAATTTGTTTTGAAACTTGTAGTTGTATTTGAGTATATTATTTTACTAATTGTAAGTTAGCTTTAAATTGATGACATTGCTTAATTTTCGATTTATAAGGCTAAAAAAGCGTTATTTGAAATGCAACAATTACAAAAGGAAGAACGAGAGACTCGAGAAAAAATGCAGCGGTTGTTAGTTGAAGTAATTACATAAATTAACAATTACTATTCACGTATAATATGGTCACAGTAGAGTACTAGTACAATGTTAAGGTATAGGATTGCAATCTTCAAAAGACTGACAAATATTATCAACTCTTATACTATAGGAAAGGGAAGCTGCTCTTCGTAAAGAAATAGAACAACTAAAACTTAGCATGAATACAGATCATAATAAAACAAATTCGACATGAAATTACTTCATAAATTTAAAATTCATATTTATCAGCATTATTGAAGATGTAAAAATTTTACTAGTGTATTTTTGATATACCGTCAATATATATATATATATATAAACAATATGAATGAAAATTTTTAAAAGAAATTAAAGAATATGGTCTCATAAACTAAATTTTACGGTTTTATTAAATGTAGTTATCGACGTTAAATAACTTTTCTGACTTGAAATACTATTACCATAACACTCATCAAGGAGTAGCATCCTTATCGAGGAGCTATTGGAACCCTGCCACGGTTTACAAATATCTAGATGCAGAATTTACGGCAGGTGAATGAATAATTAATCCAATACTGCTAGCAACATAATTTTGTATGGTTTGTATCTATACATTTAGGTACGGTAATATACGTAAAAGGATTTGAGCGATTCAGATATAATAATTTAACACTATTGATCTTGTTGTTATTGGATAAGTAATGTAAATGAAGAACAATTTAAATTCCTGAAATTTGTTAGATTATTGGATCAATTTGTACAGTAAGTTATATACTGTATTTCATAATTGATTTATTTCAGAAATTGTAGCACCAAATATTTAAATTCAATATTTAACAATTTCGCTTCTGTATTTCTATTGGTATGATATTTCAATCATAATCGTTTAAAGATTTTGTGCTGGAACCTTATTCTATAGACAAGACCTGTATGACCTTTATAATATCGTAAATAATGTACAGGTGAAAACAACACACATACCTGTAAGAATACTAATAGAAAACTACGGTATGCCATCCCATCCCGCTAGCACCATTATTAGTGGTTGATCATTGCAACTAAAAATTATTACAATATAATTCGTTGTTGTTCTGATACTGTATGGCTTTCATTTAGCAGATTCTTCACTGCACTGAAGTCAATTACAGTACATTAATTTATCAGGGTAAGAACTGCGACAGTTGAACGTATTTAGAAGATATTAAAAATTACTTTTATTGGAGGTACTTAGCCTTATTTTGGCTCAGAACTTGGGCAACATAATTTAGAAAAACGGACAAGTAGTTTCTTCATCAGAAGCAAATTACAATTTTTTTGTCGCTACTTTTTGATTACGCTGTCAAGATAGCACCTTATCAACAACATTTTAACAGAAGTCAGTAATGTTGATAGTTTAAAGTTTTTAGTTTTGTGAAACTAGTTGATATCATACTTGAACTACGTAGTCAAGACCGTCAGTGCTTGAATCGAAATAATTCAATTTACTACGACTAAGAAATTTTCTAAATTATTTTCATATCTGGCGTCATCAAACTACTAGTATTAGCTGAAATGTTTAATTTAGCTTGAAAGCAACTTTGAAGGATTACGCGGCGTAGAATCATAGGATACATTTATACCGAAATTACAAAAAGGCTTAGCGAGCATGTAGATTTAATGGCCTTTCGGTATATGTAGAGCGCAAATCAGCATAGAACTTTGCTATGTTGACGTATACGACTGTACAATCATTCCTGTTCAATTGCTTTTCATTATAATTATTTACGAATTACCAAATGGCTTAGTAATTCTACTTGCTCGATTCTAGAGTATGTATGCGTGCTAAAATTGCAGATAGTGTGTTGTTTGCGGGATAATCATTTCTACGGATTCTACTATCAATAATATCAGTAGTATATCAGTAACGTACGTTCTTGGACGTATACAAACATACAAAGCATTTAAAAAGTGCCACCCTCGGAAGATAGTTATATAGCATCCATAGCAATTCTATAAAAAAAGTTACACATTGCATCAAGATCAAATTGTTAACAGCTATTGTATAGAATTGATAAACGTTGTCCAGAAGAGTAGAGTCTGATTATTTTCTTAACAGATTGTGATAACTAGTTCATTATTCCAAGATAAAGTGTACTATAAGTCTAGAAGAGAGTCAAAAGGAAATCTTGACTTATGGCAGAAATGCCTTATAATAGAACAGTGTCCCTATTTGAGTCGATCGCTACGATTTGATGCTAAGGATACGCGTAGCGGCGTACCGCTAGAATAAAGATTCATAACGATTACCTGAAAATGATGACAATTCGGCTTTAAGCGCACGTTATATCAAGGATTTCTAAATCATTAACGGTATCAATATTACCATCACTAAGCATAAAATCTGATAGGAGACCTAGCAGACAACGGATAAAGTAAATATTTACAAAATGAATGCCAATGTTAATCAGCAATGCAGATCGAATCTGCTGACCATGGCATCTACGGTACATCTTATACAAGTAAAACGTAATTCAAATTTTAAGTGAATTTTATCTACAGTATATCTTACGGGTCGAAATCACGGTATTTAAAGCAGAGTTAGTTACGTGCGGGACTATGCAAGGCTATCCATGCTGCTAGTCTTCCGGGTATATAAAATGACCAGCAAATTGGTAATGAACAGCCATTGCAGCTTAGGACAGACCCGAGTAACTTTGCGTGATCTCGTTAAGTTTATGCTGTACTATTTTTAATGTTTAACACTGTTGGTTCATTAGCTTGTGCAGCACTAAGCTATTCACTACTGTAGTACTGTGGGAATAGTTAAACCTGAGTGCTAACCAGAGTTGAAAAGATGTTACAGCTAATACTACAATGTGCCGAATAGTTAATAGGCGAAAAAGAGACAAACAAGGTTCAGCTTGTAGAAACAGGGAGATCAGAGCAAAGCACATGCTGGCACCCTACAGTCTAAATTTGCGGATAAAGTTATAACGACATAAATACATGCTATGTAAATGTATTGGACAATGCTTAATTCGGGCAACGTATTCAAAATGTGACAGCATTGATGTTAACAAATACAAGCTCTAAACTAGAACGAATGTGCATTAGCAAACGGCACTTTTACTAAAATGCATTGCACAGTTGATAACTACATTAATGATAGATCTGTCTATCTGCTAACTCAACGTATCATAACATCATTGATGACTAGAAGTTGAGATTAAATATCTCACAAATGCAGGCTTTCAACAGGAAAACTATACCGATAGTTCGATACACTAGTACACCACTTAATCAATTTTAGAGATCATTCTTTATTTGAAACGAAATAATCCTACTACATAGTATTGCAAAATCATCTAAGCCATGAGTTACCTAAGGTAATGAAACTTTAACCTTTAAAATAATAATATCAAGCTTACTATCGGAACGTTTCGATACTATAAAATTGCCTAAAAAAACTAAAACTTTACTAGTGGACTGTCTAAAAATGTGATTAATAATATTGATCAGAAGTTCCACTTCGTGGTCATAACGTTAAATAAATTGTTCATAGTCCAGTAAGGTAATAGTATCTACGTCCGATCTTTTTCTGCTATACTACTGCATCTAAGCATTTCTTCGAGATCCCAGACATTAATTGCGAACCATTAAACTTGAAATAAGGAAATTGAGAACAACCAACAATGCTGGAATACCAAAACTTATTTTCGCAGTCATTAACGCTGATGATTTGCAGTAATTCGTGGCGTTCAAAGCACCCAAGAAATTGTTTCCAAGGTAGCTTTTATACGTTGCAGCAGAATCTAAAGGTTCTAGCTGAATTGTAGAATCTTTAAATAGCAAATCTTTTCCGGCATTTCCAGACGTTGAGGTATAATCCTTTGAGCTGAACATCTTGAAGCTTTTATCGGTGCCAACGGTACCAAAAATTCCTTGCATTCTCTGCAATAAATTTTTATATGCTATCTGGTTAGTAGACGATCTCAAAGATGAAGTAACAATAGCATGTGAAGGTACACGAGCAAGATTGCACTGAGTATACTGCGTTACGGGTTTACGTGAACCATCTTCACATAATAATTCAAAGTCATCTGATTTAAGATTGGAAGCCCAAGAAGCAGTATTTTTTCCATTGGTATTTTCATTAACAGTTAAATGTTTGATAAAGGCAACATCACCAGCCTTCTCAGCCAAACATCGAAATGCACCAGCATAGTTGTAATAGCGCTCATTTGAATTTCTTGCACATTTATTTTTGCCGTTGGAATCGCCAACACATAAACTGCATAAATTTGATGGATTATCGCCAATAGGATTATATTCTGCAGATAGGGCACCAGGTGCACAACTAGCTTCAAAAAATGATCCTACATTGTAGGCAACGTCGCAACTTCTTTTTCGAGGCATGATATTTTTACTTAACAACAAACCAACTGGAATATTCCATCCTGCAGTCTTGTTAATACCTGTATGACACGATTTAGCACCCCTCATATTCTTCAATGAAATTGTTGATGATTGCTTTCTGGCCACTGCAACAGCATAGTAAGTGACACCGCTACCTTGACCGTAATTTTCGGCCATAATAGGTTTCAAATTATACATTTCACCACCAACAAAAATATCGCTTGTATCCAAGTCGATAACGTCAGCTAAATTTCGGTTTATTTTTTGCATGCAATCAAGAGACGATTGTCCTTCAACACATTCTATAAAAGGGAATAAAACTGGATGTTTCTTCACAGCTGCTTTCATAGCTAAACATTTCTTGTTTTCAGCACTAGAGACAGCACAAATTCGTAAAGGCTTTGGACAGCTATGTATCGTTGCAAGAGCTGCAACATATTCAGCACCTAGATAAGTAACATACGTTGAGTTGGTGCCTAAACCATCCAGTCGTTTCGTATTATCTTTAAATATTAAATCAGCACCGGTGCGGCCACTAACTTGATACTTTGAAGAATTGAAAAGCTGAAATGTTGCATTTTGATTAAATATGTTTTGCGCTGACATCAACATGTTAATTAACTGCTGGCGCATAGTCTTATTCGTTTTGGCAGAAACCATCACCGCATGGGCGGGAACCTTTGCCAGATTACATTTTTTGTAATCTGCAGGCATTGCTTTTGTGCCATCTTTACATAACAGGCGATAATAGCTGCTATTTTGCTTGTCATAATCGAAAACTGTGCTTTGCTTAACAAAAGCAACATCGCCGGCAGCTTCCTGAAGACATCGAAAAGCTCCAGCGTAGCCATAGTAGCGTTCCGAGCTATCCCTTGCACACTTATTGTTACCGCTGGCGTCACCTACGCAGAGGGCACATAAATTAGAGGGGTTATTTCCGTAGGGATTATACTTCGATGATAGAGCTCCTGGCGCACAACTTTTTGAAAAGTAGTTGCCAACACTCAGTGGAATATTACAATTTTGGGGCCGCATAAATTGTTGTTCAATCAGGTAGCTAACTGGGATATTCCAACCAGCTGTCTTACCAATACCAGTATGGCAAGATTTAGTACCTTTCAAATCTTTTAAAGACAATTGTGAATCGTTTCGAACCAATGCTACGGCATAGTAGCTAGCACCAAAGTCAAGTCCATAATTTTCTGCAACAATTGGTACCATATTGTACTGAGATCCAGCAATGTAGACATCGCCGCCATCTAGAGTAACGATATCTGCCAACTGACTGTGGATTTTACTCATGCAATCGGAAGTAGAGGTACCACGAACGCAATCAATTGTGCCAACCTGATTATGGCGGAATGAAGCCTTCATATCTTGACATTTTTGCATTTCTAGGTCGGAGATGACGCACCATCGAATAGCTAAAGAGAAATATTACAACTTTAAAATTATATTCCTAATCATAGCATATCATGCCCTACTGATATTCACATGTAAGAAACTTTATCAACGTATCAGATTAATCAGCAGATTAATAATTAATTGGAAGTATGTCTGCAAATCCCCCAAAATAGTATGACATTAACTATCAACGTGTGCAATCTTAATTGATATATCATATAGTACTATTTCTTTCGTCCTACCTGCAAATGTATGCGTGGCCTGGTACGTCAAAGTGAAGAGTAATAGACTAAATATTAATCGGGTCATCTTCTATTCCTAATCACGATAAATATTAAATATATATATATAAGTAGAAATTCGTAACGGGAAATAAGCTGTGCAACGTTGTACTGTATTGATGAAATTGATTGCAATAAGAGTAATGCTTATAGAGAGATGTACTACGACTTATCGCAAACTATTCATACTATGTATTCAATGCATTGATCCGCTAGCTGCGATATGACAGCGTTTTAGTGCTTTCTACTGCTAAGCATCATTCTCAGTACATTGATACTTCTATCTTCTTTTGTCCGGATCTACAGTATGATCTGTGTCCATCAGTAGTCTGTTATTACCCATATTCAAGTAAAGTTATTATTTTAAGTGTGATAAAGAGTAATACAATTGATAAACAGGCGTACTCTTAAAACAAATTATAGTAGTAACAGACTCTACAGTACAAATAAACGAACTCTTATAAAACTTTAGCAAGTTAAATTCAATATGCGTCACTAACACCTTTTGGATTTCTACAGCGACACATTTTACGGCACAAGGACAGTACAATCAAGGTAAAAGTTTATTGGAACTACAAAGGCTATATAAAATAATTGAATTGCGAGCTACGTTTGGCATTATATTACCAGAAACGCGATCGTGATGGTATCAAAGTAATCGTCCCATTCAATATCTACCGTTCTGTCAAACGCAACTTGTACAGTATACATGGAATGTAGTACAATCTAGCAGTTCTCTGCAACAAAAATAATCATAAAAGGCTAACCCAGTCAAAGGTTACCAACTTTAACCCCAATGACAGCCATGGACTACTAGAAAAAAATCGAATAGATCGTGGCCCACAACATACGAGTATATTCTGCCCCCAAGTACACCTTTATTGACTGTTTTAATAAATCAATAATACTAAAATCAGGAATCAAGATGTCTGCACCGTCCCCTACTATATTACGATTTAGACGGTACTGTCATAATGAGATATCAATGAATACTGCAGTAAGGGCAGCCTTCTTCAAAGTAACTGGCAGCGGTCATCGTCAGAACTAATAACCGTTCCGTTGTATGCAACTATAATGCATGATCGTCCATTGGAAAATGAAATATTTATGGCATTTGAATCAGCTTTGAATTGCAAAAAATGTACATGGCGTGATGCAATTTCTATTTGAATGAAACAATAAAATGAAAACAATTGGATCCACATCGTATTTACTAAAGCGCAGGGCTACAAGAGTTCTTGTCTATGCTAACAAGTTGTTTAAGCATAGTTACGTGGACTCTTGCATTGTATTACTTGTTAGCTATTTCCTAAATATCAAATGGTGTGCCGCGCATGTGTTTACTTTGGGAATTAGTTGTTGAAAAATGGCATGAAATTTTAGTCCACATTCCGTGGATGAACTCGATACTGTCCATTCCTGTTTCGATTGATTGACTTTAGGACCCTGGATAAACATACTTGCTAAGTTACGAGTATATGCAGCATTTTTTTCCACCATCGTATAGCTAGTATCAAGACTGCTACTGTACAGAGCATACTTGTACATGTTCAGCGACACTGTAACAGAGCGTGGCCTCCAACACCATCATGGTCGTATTACTCTGCAGTCGAAGTACCCAAAATTCTACCAACAAATCCAGCATTAATTACAAGATTTTTTTGCTTCTGCTGCAGTATATTGATCGTGTACTGTACTACAGTATTACTACTATTAGACGCTACTATTGTTATTATATAGCAATGATGAATCCATTAAAGCCTCCAGCTAGGAATCAGCCGCCATGAGGCCATAAATCGGATGAGGAATCAACTATTTAAAGTCGAACACACCATTAGAACTGAATAAATAAACAATTGTACAATATCGCACGGGTAGCCAATTTGTGTCAATTGGCTATAGCGTAGTAGACGTTTTAAATAGCTATCAAAGTTACAAAAGTATATGAAAAGAAATGTAGCAACCATAGCCTTTCCGATGAGTACAGTAGAAGAAAAGTTAATTCAATTCCTTCAATTTTTGTCCTGATTCTGACACACAGGAAAGATGAAATGAATGAGCCTTGATTTTGGCATATACGTAGACTGTACAGTGTACGCTACTCAAACAGTGGAGATCAGTTCAAAAATGTTTCGGTTCCGATTTGATCCGTTTAGTCTACCGTACACTTGCTTGCTCATTCCTCAGAATAATACAGATTATAGCAACGATAACAGTGAATCAAAATCGGACCACGTGTACTAAAAATGGAACCGTAGCGTGAATGATAACCTACAGTACTCGTTTAAGGGTCTCTTAACACGCAGCATTGCAATGATAAGTTGTTGTTACCAGGCTTGCGAGCTACTTGTATTTGGAAGTTGAGTGTCTATTTTTGTTCATGTCGAATACTATTGTTAGTTTAAGTCATCAAATAACGCTATCGTAAACACTGATGTCAAATTTTCAAGCATTAATCCAACTTTTCCAAACAATGCAACATGGCTTCCATTGATAATTACAATCAATTAATTACGAAGCAGGAGATTATTGACGAAACTTGCAAAATCAAAATTTATTTTCAATATAAAAATAGAATTGAAATTTTGGATTAATCCTTAGCAGTTAGCACACTAGGACGTTTTCTGTCCTAGCGTAGAACGTATGCGATGATTGCACTTGCATTCTTTTCAGGTCACGTTACTGGACTAACGTCCATTATCAGTTGGATCACGCAGCGTCTTTGAAGTTAACAAAGTTCAATACCGTGGATAGAACTACTAGAGCTCATCTACGGTATTCACTATTCAGTAAGGTTACCGCGGATGCTCACCTGATCCCTCGCTATTTCAAGATTGGATATAGTCCAATCCATTAAAACAATCATGTTATAATAGGTGAGTAGGCAACCTGCAGGTCGCCTATTAATTATTGACTCAACATTAGAAAATGGTCACGTTCTCTCCCCGCCTCCTCGTAAAATCATGAACAGTAGTGTAGTAGTACTAGAATAAGTCAATCTGCGGGAAGCGCGCTGCAGTCGGAGATCATTAATCCGTAGCAAGCCGTGGTAACATAGTCATGTATGTTGATACTATCATGTTTCCAAAGTAATAAGGTAGTCACGTCTGTCATGAATATCGGGCAAAGCACAGTTGTGGCAAGCAGTATACCAATCATCGATCACGTTTATTATGTTAACAACTACTGTCCATGATTTGTCATTTTCATAATTATACTGTACTAGCAACATACTAACATGGTGGAAAATTGAATACAATCTTGGTATCAATTTAGTCCATTTGTTGACCCCAGACTATTCCAATGCCATGGATGTGATGGTAAAAATGATTGATATACAGTCATAATCTACTTTACAGATGTTGAATGTTACCATACAACGCAACGATAGCTACTACGATTATCCGACCATCTATTTTTTGATGAGCAAAAAAGTGTATACAGGCTGGAGACGACTTTGAATACCAAAATGCAACCAAATGTTGCATCCATTTTCCTCTCTTCATCCATCTCCAAGTAAAGTAATAACAAGATACATTGGACAACTACCATTTGATCAATAAAAAATGTCGTTTATCAGAGATACTTACACAACGAGAGAAACTTCTAATTTGCTTTATCAACCAACGCAATTCTTGCTACAGCCAGTCGGAGCTGGAACTCTTTTGTGATCAATGCTTGAGTGAGTTTTGTCTTTTATGGCTTTTTATCCAAGACTAGACAGACTAAGCGAAATGGTCAGTACTATACCGTACACTAGTGTACGGTATTGAATAATTCCAATTATTAATATTATTCTTCTTCTTATTATTATTAATTATTACTGTATGCCAATGGCCGGGAAATGGAAATTTCTATTTGTTCAAGGGCGAACAATAAGTTCCTGGGCATGCTGACGATGATCAGGGAGCTGTTCACGTGATCCATTTTCTCTAAAATGGAAAAATTCATCAATTATCAAAGGGGACAAAGTCCTTGGATTCTATCATCATATAGTACTGTATTGTACAGTACAGAGAACAGTACTACAATCCAAAAATAAAATGGTGCAGGTTAAATGAAGTCTAAAGTGAGTTCCATGGATAGGTAGATGTTGTACAGGCATCCCTGCTCGTCTACTGTATATCCATTTTCTCCCCAAATATCAGCAAGTTCCAATTTTCCAATTTGCATTCTTGCCAGTGAAAATACTGTACAGTACAGTACAGTACAATAGAGTACGGAACTGTAGTGTACCGTACCAGTACTGTTACTACAGTATACTGTACTGTACTGTATTAGTAGACAATAACATCACACAGTACCGGACAGGGGTATAGTTAGCCAAAAACAAGAAATGACTTCTCATGGGCTAAAATGGATATCCAGCAATGTCACTGTTCATAACTGTAGAGTATTGTACAGTGTACACTGCACAGCGGACATTCATACCTTCAAAATAAATTGAACACAGATATTACTGAAAGACTGTTGGTGGCGCGTATACTGTACTTGGTGGAGAACATGCCGGCTCTATCATTTTAATACCACGTATTAATATTTCCCCATCTGACACTGATCTTCTATTTCAGTTGATACGTCGGTAATTTCCTATATGCCCAGCATTTGCTATGACTATTAACAAAAGCCAAGGGCAAACTTTGAATCAATGTGCAGTACTTTTGTCTACCAGCGTTTTTACTCACGGCCAGCTATATGTAGCCATAAGCCGCGTTGGAAATCCTCGCGATTGAAAGGTGTTTATTGATCGAACGGAAATTAATTCCTTACTCCATAATAGAGTTAACAGTAACTTGCCAGGCTACAATAATGGCATATGCCGAGTGACACGTAATGTAGTTTATAGGGAAGCTTTACATTGAAATAGTGATTATAATACTATACTTAGGATAAAGCGTCTAGGCAAATATCACTTTATATAACACATTTTGCAGCCACAAAAATGGAATGCTTTAATTCCGAACGTAAAGTCAATCAATTTTATTGCATTATGAATTTGTGATATGTAAGGGAGTAATTGTCATATTACTTTTATTGTTCCTTTGCAATACATCAATAATATTCTAATCAGCATTATACAGTAATCGGATGTTAATAAAATGTTGTCAAATTATGCAAAGTAAACTTGCAAATGAGTGTTCAATCATAGTATTACTACTCAGCAATGGTTGATATAATTTTAATCTGTCCAGTAGTATTATTCTTCACATTAGGATATGTAGGACAGATATTATAATTGCCGAATTATTATTATCAAAGACTGTAACAAGGTTTCATCCGTGAATGCATTATTGAAAAGTAGTATTCTAGAAGTATAGTTGTGAATACTGTATAGTACTGTACAGTAGTGCTCGGCTATTACCGGGATATACAGTACATATACAGTAATGTAATGTCGAATGGTAATCCTATCTATCTATTAATTATTAACAAACGGGTACGTTATCATATGCCCGAGTAAAAGTACTGTACAGTACGGTATTGTAGTGCTGTACCGTACTCTTGTACAGTTCACGGTATAAAGTTACTGAACCTGTGACAGGTCTACAGTACACTCTACAGTATCAAATGGTAATACTATCTGTTAAATGAGCACATTATCGTAAACCGTCAGCAAAGCGACGAGAGTTTGTACTAGTACCTCCGAAATGAATTGAACACAGATTCTGAAATCATTGAACTTTAGGTAAATTTGTGGTTGGTGTACTGTACAGTACTTGTACGATCCCGGAAATAACACAAATTGAACTCATATTTGCTCGTCCAGTGCGTGCGTACTGTGTACAGTATTGTACACTCAGTGTAATCCTTTTCCAAATGGAGGAATCAGTACCTATTATATGCGCGCATTTTTTACATATGGAAATGATGTACTGTACACTGTCTGTACAGTACTGTATATTATCTTCTATTGGTTAATACTAAAGCGTTGTCACTTTCCTATTCAAGAATGGAATGAGAAAAGATCACGATGTACAGTGTAAAGTACTGTAAGGATGTACTGTACACTGTAGAGTGTTGAAAGAAGAAAACGCTTTTCATTTTAGTACAGGACAGTCCGACAGTGTACTGTACAGTACAGTACAGTACTGTAGTGCGGGCTACGCATACTCTTTTTAGTACTGTACTGTACAGTACAGTACTAAACAGTTCATTACAGTCCAGTACAGTGTACAGTGTACAGTAGAATGGACAGTAGTGCGGGCTAAGCATACAGTACAGTACTGTACTGTACTGTACTCTTTTTAGTACTGTACTGTACAGTTCCTTACAATCCAGTACAGTGTACTGTACAGTAGAATGGACAGTAGTGCGAGCTACGCATACTGTACAGTACAGTGTACAGTACAGTACACTCTCTCTTTTTAGTACAGTACAGTACAGTTCATTACAGCCCAGTACAGTGTACAGTAGAATGGACAGTAGTGCGGGCTACGCATACTGTACAGTACAGTGTACAGTACAGTACTGTACTCTTTTAGTACTGTACAGTACAGTACAGTTCATTCCAGTCCAGTACAGTGTACTGTACAGTACAATGCACAGTAGTCCGGGCTACGCATACAGTACTCCTTTTAGTACAGTACAGTACAGTACAGTACAGTGTACAGTACAATAGACAGTCGTGCCGGCTACGCATACTCCCATGCAATCACTGCGTGCATGCCTGGTGTCCCAAAAAAACCGATCGCAAGGGTGTCACTGGCTGGTTGACTGGACGCATAGTCAGGAAAAGCAAAATTGGGAGTTTCCCTATTTAGACAGGCCAACCCTAGTCAATGCATATTGTACATACAATTGGCTTATATATTTGCTGCAATCAAGACGCTGGTGCTGCCATTGCAATTTAATATTTTACTTGCAAGCGAAATGGGTTCCAAAGACGACGAATATGATTACTTATTCAAAGGTAGGCCTTGAATCCACTGTTGATGCTGTACAACTTGATGATGGGGGCATTTCCATCCTTTAGTTTGGGTGCTATCTTGATCAACAACCTTAGTGTATTCCATCATCGTAGTCAAGGACAAATGTCCTCTAACTAACTATCCTTTGCAGCTGTGAGTGGATAGCGTACGCCACAAAAATCAACCTGTTCCATTTGTTATTCTATGATTTGCCATCGCTTGGATAGTGTATCGCAATACTGGATGATATCATCATGAGTCCAATACTCCTCCTTCAATCATGTTAAACGGTCATGGATGGAATGATACACTTGTAGACTATCATCAATCAACCGTTAACGGAGAAAACCATTGAAAGAATGGACGACGTCGCCTTTCACCGTTAAAAGTGCAACATACACGGTAGACAAATTCCATCTTCTTTCATCGCTATCCAGACATCGATCAATACGGCATTATCATTTCTACTACTGTACAACTTTTTAGTCTAGTATAGGCTAGGCCACTCTGTCAGAAAAGTGCAACTTGTCATCTTGTATGCTACCATATTACTACAGTACCACTAGCATGACTTCATCGCTTTACCTTGCTTCTGCTCCGAGAAAATAGTGAACCCTCTTGAAATCGATCGCTCTCTAGCGTAGTTATAGCGTCATGATTGACTCCACTTGTATAGTACATGACATAGTCGAGAGATCAAAATGGATTACAGTCATGATTGCATCTGCCACTTCAATTACATTACTTCTTTATTTCGTCGAAAATTGAAATGATTCTATGACTCATTCGCTTTCTGTACGGTACTCGACGCCATACAAAAAATGCTTTGCCAGCCAAATGGACTAGGCAACAACAGCAACTTTTCTAACCGTGCATCCTCCATCGCCACGACTAGTTCACAATTATTCTCTTGTCAATCGTATTCTACTTTTTCAACTGGTGCTTAAATCATGCTAACGATCAAACCCGATCGAGTTGATTCTTAGTCGAGGCTGTTCCATCCTTTCCGTTTCCTCGGATTTGCATTACTAGACTGTAGACAACAAGAGACTTGAGAACTAGCTACTGTTGCAAACAACACCCGTCGCTCCTATGTTTTGCACTGTTGTCATTCGACTGGCTGTTTTTATACTAACCTTTGCACAGTCCCATACAACTTCCATAGACTACGCAATGCGCCATGCGGTGCTTGCTAAAACACTACTAGACCCAACATTCAAGTTGATTTATCCATCAATCGATGCAAAATGCCTATCAAATCAGTCCTTATCCTTGTCCATTTACAACATTCAGTGTTTGAAAGAGTGAAAATAGACAACAGGGTAGTTTCCCTCACTTATTGAACGACGCCATTGTCGATATCCATGTCTATATGGGTCCCCTTGTAATAGCAGTAGACATGTACAGTAAAATGATAAAATTATCAAGGACGATTTAGAATAGAATTAATGTTTATCCATTGCTTGAGTTATGGTTGTCCTACTACAGGATCAAGCTTGCAATGATCACTTTAAAACGCATGGATCGATTCAAGAAAAAAATGCAACAATTACAGTACAGTAGTCATCAAATTGCATTCGTTATTATCCATGGAGTCGTACTTAGGCGTGTAGTAAACGTTTTGCACCAAACGCCATCACGGTGCTCGTCGAGATCAAAGCGATCCATGTCGGCGATGATCATCATAGCTCAACGATGGACAGAGAAGAATTTGTCAATTCTCACCTGGCTAACATGTATTCATCAGTATTCATTCTATCAGTTAAGAAACTGCTGTTACTCATTCTAGAATGTTTGAAGCATCGCATCGAGTCTAACATGGATCATGCTTAGCAATTCAATAGGAAGTGTTTACAAGTATTGCTTTGCAATGTCAAATAAAGTAGAACGTAACTAGTCCTAATTTAGACCTTTCTTGAAATAGAATGATCAAAATGTTTCTTCTCATCGCTTAAAAAAAAATGGAATTTTACCCAATGTGTTGTACAATTCAAGGCAATAGATCAATTGTTATGCAATTTGCGAAAAATCAATGCAAATGAATACAGTCTTCTATATTACAAATCGAAAATTCCCCTTAGATTAAGTAGGAAACAGAGATTTACTTGGTGAGGAAAAAAATAGACTCCCAACTGACGTTGCCCAACTCCCGCCATGTACACTAGCATCAATTGATTTTGAATTTAACCTACATTCTAATGACTTCTATATTTATTTGGTGTAGTTGTTTTAATCGGTGATTCCGGCGTTGGTAAGTCCAACCTCCTATCTCGTTTTACGCGTAACGAGTTCAATTTGGAATCAAAATCCACTATTGGTGTAGAATTTGCAACTAGAAGCATCCAAGTTGATGGAAAAACAATCAAAGCACAAATTTGGGATACTGGTAAGCATAGGCACTTTATAAAATTATGTCCATCATCTACTCCAACGATACGACCAATATTGAAAAAGGATGAGTATTTAAAGTCTATCATGATGATTACTTTAGGCCCATCAAAATGATATTCGTATTACCTCTAGCTTGGAGAAAATTATTGTTTCTTTTATAATCAAGTCAATTAGCCAACTTGAATCATTTGACGACAAAATACATGTATGAGATGATGATATGGAATATTTCGTAGACAGTGGAATAGGGCATGCACACATCTGTTCATCAGCATCAACTTTAGCCAATATAATGGCTATTATCGACGCTACTGTCACTAATTGGCCCATAACTTTACCTTCTTCAATATTAACTTTCATTTTATTTCCGTCTACACTACTATTGAATTGATCATCTTCGCTTGTGTACTGTTGTAACTGAGGGTTGCGATCATCTAGTACTCAGTTGCCATGTACTGTACTGTTTTACTACAAGTGAATATTCATTCGATAATGTATCCATGTATTGCCATTTTTAGCAACTAAACAACTAGCACTAGCATACTAGCTACCGTATAAAGGAACGTAGAGTGATTTACGTAACTCAAATTCAAGAGATTTTATTCAACTGTAAATACCAGTCATTTCCGCTGCACGGCAACGTAATAAATCTATCGTAGTCAAAAGAGCTATTTAAAACTAATGGTAACCAGTTGGCTATACTACACCATTGTCTAATTACTGTAGAAAGGATTGTAATTCCCTTCATTAATTATTTTTACGCCCTGACACATAAAAATTCAATATGCAAGAATGGATCAATTAATAAATACTGTAATTATTATACAATGTGCTCCATGTAGTGTTTTTCAGTATTCTCGAAATATGAGCTAGTAGCAGCTGGCCCTTCAATGGAATTACTTCCTATCTACAAAAATATCGATTATACTTGAACGAATACATTTATGTCCAAATCCTGCCACATGAATTAGTAAAGAAATAGATTCGGGTAGTGGCACGCCATTCATTTCACAATTTGCGCAGTAATTTATGCTATTGTTGCAGGATTAGTCAAGTTAATGTGAAAAGATCTTTACTACTTACTAGGCCACATTTAATGGCTGTTTATTCTTTTTTATTGACCAATTTGCTTTGAAAAAGCAAATATTAAAAAACATTTTGTTATTTAAAATTCGAAATTACTTAATTATGATTTTGATTGAAATTGCATCCAAAATGTTTATTCATTTCTTTTAGCTGGTCAAGAAAGATACAGAGCCATAACTAGCGCGTAAGTCTATCACAACATTACACATTTTACTGATGCCAATATAGGTTTAGCTTGTTATATCAAGAAAAGGTCTAATAGCGAACTGTAGTTAGACTTAAAATCGTCCTTATCCAATTCGATGTAGATACTATCGTGGTGCCGTTGGTGCATTGTTAGTCTATGACATTGCAAAGCATCTTACATATGAAAACATTGAAAGATGGCTAAAAGAATTACGTGACCATGCTGACGCTAACATAGTAATTATGCTGGTGGGTAATAAATGTGATCTACGACATTTAAGGGCTGTGCCGACAGACGAAGCAAAGAATTTTGCAGGTAATTTTAATTTCTATCAAGTACAAATGACGGCGCAATCTATTCTAGTCAATTACTTAATTGTCCATTTCATTGAAATTACAATCTTTCAATTATCCTCTACCTGGGATGACAATATGAATTTAGTATTCCTTTCTGTTTATAGAAAAAAACACTTTGTCGTTTATCGAAACATCGGCTCTCGACTCTACCAATGTTGAGACAGCATTTCAAAATATTTTGACAGGTACGTTATAAAATTAATAATAACTGTTAAGAATGGACACTTTTTCTGATAGCTAAACTAAACGAAGTTTTGCTATACAGTATCACTTTTCTATTTGGTTAACTATGTCAATATGAAAGCAATAGTTATTTTACTGTAATATTAAGTTGTGAAGGTACCGCATTTTCTTATTTATGCATTTGCGACGCTTGCTTTACGATCTACGGTATACTGTACTATACGACAGACTTAGTCATTTTTTTATATTACATTTTGGATGCTAACTTACTTGATTGTTTACAAGTCTCTGCATTAAGACCGCTTTTACTAGACCGTCCTTGAATTCAAATGCTTATACTGCAATTATTCATTTAATTATTTTATTGAGTAAGCTGTTATTCACTTTACTCTATATAGCAAAGGAAAGATTCATTAATTCTCTTAATCTATTTGAAAATAATTTATTAGCTTATTATTTCATTCTGACAGTAACGGTACGATCTTAGGCATATTGTAATTGACAACTGAAAACAAATACTATTCTGTATTTTCGTCTATAAGTTTCTTTCACTTATGATTTATCACGATAGATTAATTACCATTATTACTACTATAAGTAATAGGTTGATTGTTTAGCTAATAAGACCTATGGTTGTATATTCAGTCATATATATATATATATATATTATTTTTTTAAACCAATAGAGTTTGGTTATTTACTCTTACACTATTGATTTTTGTATGACATTAGCATACTTTAGGATAGTACTATTTGTATTCTTTAGATCATGTAGAATAAGGTAATTAATTGTTCGTGATATAATATATAATATACTAAGAAAGGATAGTAGTCAATACCGTTTTATGAAATAAAATTGATAAGAGTATAGATTAATATTGAAATGATCTTTTTTGATCTATTGCAGAGATATATCATATTGTCTCACAAAAGCAAATTAAAGATGCACCCCAGAATAGCGAAATTTCAAGTCAACCGATTGTCGTAGGGCCTACTGTAGACTCAGACGTAAAGAAAAAACCGCAATGTTGCTAGGGATTAACACATGTATTTCTTACTACTTACTTTTTCGATCTTCCTTTATTTAGACTTACTTAAGATACCTTCACTTTATCAGTACTAAATTTCGCGTACAGCAATCGAAGGTAGTATACCTTGTAAGACCGTATTAAAACAGAAAAGATTCAATGTTCTAAATTTTGTGTCATAAAAGAATATTATTCCGTAGGTGCTATAGTTAGCTAGGAACACCATGCAATTGACCTCTTAAGTCTTCTCAATTGAATATTATGTAGGGACGGTCATTACAGACCTCCACCTTACATAGAATTTATGTAGTTTCAATAATACTGCTGCAAGTGCTAAATTTAACTTCCAAAATTTGAATATTTAAAGGTGGAAGTTAATACTGTAAGCTACTACTGTATACTTAGTGCAAGATGTAGTTTTTTTTCTCTTTAATTGGCGTTCATTTTTATATCTTTTGAGTATTGAATGCATTGTGTGATTTACACATGGAAATAAACTGGAGTGTATGAATGAATGAATGAATTTGATGCTTTCTTTGTCCTTGGTAAATTTTGTTAGCACATTTGTGCTGGGATTAAATATGCTATGAATACTCGCAACATCAATTACCAATTAAAAAAATTGTTATCCGTTTGCTGGGATAATGTCTAGACTATTTTTGGTAATTTGAAGAAATGAACAAGACACTTTAAATAACGCTACCTAATTCTAAATAGATATGAAACCCAAGCGTTTAGGGTTGGGAATAATCAGCGGAAAGCGCCTGTGAAATCAATAAGCTAAATTTAAAATTTCTTTGTGATGGCGTTATTACAGTATACATCGCTGTATCGTGAATATATGTATTCGCATCAGCAAAACACGAGATCCTTATTTCATTACATGGAAAGGTCTACTTACACGTATATAGTGTAAAAGAGCGTGTGTACCTGGCCATAGCAGCGAAAATCTAGTGTGCGCCTTGAAGGAGATAAATATAAACTATGCTTAAAAAGTACGTCGTATGATATACAGTATACAGTAAAATTCGTAGGTAAACCGATATTTCTCTCCAATTTTAATTTACTAGTAGAACCCTTTACTCGTGATATGCTCTGCATACTTATCTACTTTACTGAGTGGAATATTTCAGTATGCTTAGGATTTATTGATACGTATTTACTGCTAGTTTGCGAGTAGCTTGCATAATAAACTAAGCAAGTTGAAGTAGTATACACGTATTTGTATATTTAGTACAACACAGAGTGAATCAGTCGGCGGGTGTAATATTGAACATTTTAGTCATTTCTGCAACATTACTGTTCGTATCCATATACTGTTTTGGACTGGCTAAGTTAACGAAATAGACTTGGACAATATTTAACATACAGTAGTACTGTGGGTCACTATTAACCGCTACTATGTCAATATGACAGAGTACAGTAGGTAACTTGGGACAGTATTCGCCTACATGAATAACACGTACATGATATTAGCGTCTATTTAAGTATACTTGGTTTGCATTAATAATTATTATGCTACCACTAGGCTACCTTGCATGATAAACTAGGCAAGTTGATGCAGCATATTTGTATATCCGGTATAACATAAGGTAAGCAAGGTGAAGCAATAGACTGGTACAATATCGGACCTTTTAGTTATAGTTACAGCATTATTGTTCGTGTCTATCTGCTATTTTAGACTGGGAAAGTTAAAATAATAGACTTGGACAACACTTAACATACTGTATAGCAGTAGGTTATTATTAACCGCTATTATATCCAATATGATAGAACAGGCAATTTAAAATAGTATATACTGCCATAGTATATGCCGTCAACGTTGACAACTAGGGTCACCATAGCAACCAGGTAACGAATACAATATGAAAGCTTATCCATGAGCTAAATTCCCATACAAGTCTATTTCTATTTTTATGCTTAATCATCGCTTTAGTTATTAACTTAACCAGTAATAGCATCTAACTACGATATACAATAGGAACTGGCGATCGTCTATCCATACAAATTCTATATTACGCGATCATCACAGTAACACATTATTGTGTGTCGACTACGTTACAAACAGCAGTCAAAATTTCTTCATCATCACAACATCATACTTTGTAATTGGATTACTTACATAATTTAATACTATAGCAACGTTAATATGGCGTCTAGATCGTTTAAAGGTGGAAGAAAAGGTCGCGGTGAAGATCGTGATAAGCAACTCCACGATAAAGGTGGCGGCGGAGATCAGGGAGATGGTAGTGGAAAAGGTTAATGATAGAATTGATCAGCAAAAGCTAATGTGATTATTATTATAAGCATGGCTATATTATGCATATAAAAGTAAACGTTTATGATGTGATTATATTACAGTGATAGACTATATTATTGTACGTCTCACATAAGAAAATTACCCTGTGCATATACGCGTATAAAGCAGTACTCGTTTTGCATTACTTATGGCTAGTTGTACATGATAATGACACTTGCAGACTACCATCGAGATACCATTATAAATGGGCATAAGCGATAACAACTAGTGTATGCATAAATATAATAATATAAGGAAAAATCAGTTTAGTCAATAAATTGGCATACGCTGTCGTAGAGTCTTGAAGTTATATCTTTATTAGATTTGTTTATCAACATTTATCAGAACCCTATAATCCAACTGGAAATTTGGAGGTTGATTTTGGACAAATGTGCTTGCGAGCAGAGATAAATACTAAAATTGAAGTGGTCATCCGCGGCAAGGCGCAACCACCCCAATCTCAAGACCAAAGTAATGAACCTCCAGGGAAGGAGTCCAAGGGTAGTAAAAAAGATAGTGATTCTAAAGGTCATGGAAGAGACCATGGAAAGGAAGATAAGCATAAAAGCTCGTATGATGAAGAAGGATTTACAAGTAAGTTATGAGAGCAATCAATTTATTCAATGCCACTACAAGTATGGTAATTGAAGTTACGGGAAATAACAACTCAACTATATAATGCGAAATAAGTTGCCATCGTTACTCTAACACTGCATAAATGATTGGCTAGTCCTTGTATCTTATACCGTTTACTATTCTTTTATATCTTCATAGGGCATAGATCAAAGGCATCATTGCATATTATTAACCCTAATCAGGGACAAGGTGAGTTGTAGCTATAAAATTAGATCATTAAGGTTGATCATCGAAATCCAAAGATGTAGAAGAGAAAGCCACTTATTGTACCAGAATGAATGATAAAAATAATGTCTATCACAAACATAATTAGTTCAAAATCAAGAACCTCCAGCAGAGCCGACAGAACCGCAACCGACAACCTATTCCGTTAAGGAAAAGTTTGACTATTTTAAACCTAAAATTGAAGTAGAATATGATAATGAAGATAACAAAATGACGGCAAGAGAAGTTTATATCAGAGGTCAGCTCTAGCATATATTCAATTTCAACTTACTTACCAATGGAACATTTCCATAGTTCAACTCCATTTGCTTTTTTCAACTATATGATTTGATAATAACAGGCTGGCGCTTGGAGCTTCCAATAATAACAATTCTTTCCAGTGCTTTACCAAAGTGTTCTCACCTGACGACAATTAAGTACGATATAATATCTCAACATGATAAACTTTTGCAATTTGAATTAATGCTACTTCTGTACAGTATTTGAACAACCTTAACTAACATAGTTATTTCGTTTAATCAGCTTATGGAACGTGGGGTTAAAAGATGAAACATTAGCTGGCGTCGCAAGTCTGACTTTACTTTGTAAAAATTTAAAGTAAGCCAAATAATATTACACTGGCCATTAAATCAGATGAAAAACAACATAACGTGTTATCTACTTTTTATTAACACAAGGCATGTACATTTGGATGGGAATAATGTTCCTGGACAACGTTTCTCAGCTTTTATAACTCCTGAAAACTGGTACAAAACAGTGATACTAGTTTAATTGATTTTACGCATATCCCAATTTAAAATAATTATGTCGACAGTATTCTATTTATATGGCATAAATCATCAATATATTAATCTAATAACACAACCATCCTATCACCTCATAGCAATATCCATACGTTATCGCTTCGAAGCTGTGGAATAACTTCAACTGGTGCTACCATGTTGGGGCATGCACTATTTAAGAATAAAAGCTTAGTAACGCTCGATCTTTGCAATAATAAAATTGGATCGGAAGGTGCCAAAGCACTCGCTATGGTAATAAAGTAATCAATCATATAACATTTAAAGTTAACCATAGTAAAAGATATTTTCTATGGCGTATACTATCCTATCGCTACATTACTTCGATCTAGTTTATGCCAACCTGCCGGAAAGTATACGTATTAAAATAGAACTTTGAAATGCTGCTACTCTAGTCTGAAATTAACGCATACTAGAAATCATGAATATCCTAAATCTCTGAAAATTCTTTCTATATCGCTAGAGCTTGCGTTTAAATAGAACTTTACACTGCTTAATGTTAGCGAACAATGAAATTGATGACTCAGGAGGACTCAAACTAGCCGAAGTATAAGATAGTTTAACGCGCTTCTTAGTTCACTCTAGCCACAACAGCTTACGTTGAAAATTATTTTCTAAACTTACTCTACCTTGCTCTCATATAGGTACTCAATCGGTTCCCACTAACACACGAAGAAATAGTTCAGCGTCGATTATTGTTGTCTAAAAAGAGCGTATCAACTGATGATGGAACCCATCTGGTAAGGGATATCGATGATTCAACCGCTGAAATAGTCATATTAGAGAATCTACCCTATTTCTTCTACCATTCTAGTCTCTTTCACCACATAATCGCAAACATGACGGTGGATCACGCGATAATAGACCACAAACATCACGCCAAAGGTAAATCCCTAAAGTCAATTAGATAATCGCCTACTGATGGATGTTAACATTAGAATTTTTCATGCTATATTAACGAGACGAGTGGACGATAAAACTATTAGCTAATGCAAACCAATTATCATGGCTAATATATTCGATCTTCACCCTGTCTCTTACAGTATTCATATGTCGCCAAATGAAACGAAGATTCGTGATAAACCAAAACCTAAGAAAAAAGAAAGCAAATCCAAAGATGACAAAAATAAAAAGGATGACTCAAGAAGCAAGAAATGTAAGAGTTAAATTAGTAATAATGCGTAATCCAACTCCTATCCTAGCGGATACTCCTCTCTCTCTCTCTCTCCTTTACAATTACTTATAGTGATGATTACTATTATTGGTAATACTATACTATCATTTTGGTTTAGCATCTGGTGGCGACTCATCTAGTAGACCCAAAAACAAGAAAGCTGCATCGAATCGAAGTAGTGAGAAAAAGGTCGTCCAACAGGAACATGAGGTAGAATTTTTAAAATTGATCATTACTAGAGTAAATTGTGAGTTTGACGCCTGCATGAGCGCGTTAAAATTTAGCGTGATGGTGTTATAAATCATTTATGAATTTCTTCTATGTGTAAAAAATTCTAGCCTGAGCAAATTGAGTTGACAAATCCCCTTATGGAACCGATCGTTGAAGAAAATGGAGAAATTTACTTACGTGGCAATCGAACTCTGATCCATTTGAATCTTTCAAGTTAGTTTGAATAGTAATTCAACGTCAAAAATGAGATAGTAGGATATCCTGTATCAAGTGGTTTATTGTTATCGTCGTTATTGAACAATTTCTTCTACTTTAATATAGGAAATAAATTAGGAGAAGAATCAATTAAAGCATTTTGGGCAGCTGTTCAACACCAGTGTAATCTCATTCCACCAACGGACGGCCATGTTATAGTTAATAACAAAAGTGCACCAGGTTTACTTCGATTAGCATTGCAGGTATACTAGAGTAAGAAGGTTATTTCCATAGAATCAACCTCAGCAATAATCATTCATTTTAATAATTCAATTTGACAGCGTAATAAAGTCGATCCATCATCAAGTGAAATTATGAAATTGTTAGTGGCTAAAATGCTGACTCGAGATCCAAATTATGTGCCACCTCCTGAAGAAGTTAAAATGAAATCGCAAGAAGATTCATAGAATTTGTAGTGATGTTACTAATATCACTTCTGAGTAGAGTATGGTCAATTTAAGCAACTAAATAGTCTAAAACTTTAATAGCTATGATATACTGATTGTTATATCCAGTTCATCTTAATGTATTTTATAAGAAATGGATGGCAGTTAATGCTATCAATCAAGCGAATTAAGGGTGTTCTATCTCAAGTAGTCACTGTATATTATATTTATTTTCTCGTTCAATTCTCCTGCTGTGAATTAATTGAGTTAGTGTCGAATGGATTGGACATAATAGAGTAGGACTAGGAATGTATAGTTGGATTATATTGGTAATTATACAGAATTTAAAAGTATTCTATAAACATAGTGGATCGTATAGTCATCTTGATCTCAGTGAGTAGAATGGCATTCAATGCTACTTTGTATAATAAAATTTCCATGGTTTTCATTTACTACGTCTAGGTTTTCAGTTAAGGTATTGATAGATTTTACATCTTTCAATTTAATTGCTTAAAAACACATATAATATACTCTAGGACCTTCACATTATAATACTATCATAATAACTAAAAATAAGCAGTATTTAATAATTACTGCACGAATTAATGCGAATTTTCTAGCGACAGTCGTCCAAAAGTATCCTTCCAACAAGATCTGAACATAGTACTTTTGAACTCTGTCATTCTAATTTGAAATTATGTGAATTGGCATTTGCTACCTGTCACAAAACAGCTTTCGTGATCGTTCCTGAACTAAACTATCTACTTTTAAGGTTCCCCGACTAACTCCGGAGATCAGTAAAGGAAAACTAACTTATTCCTATACTATAGAAAACAAGTCCAAGGATAAGTTTATCATTAGCAAATTTACTAGTAGCCACTTATCATAGAGCATCAAGCTCCATAACACTACCATTTACTGCATCTCGTTATTTTCTGAGCACGTAAAGTGATATATTATCTTTACACAGAGATTAGAACATGCCTGAATTCGTAAAATAGTAAAAATGACTAAAGGAAATCCAGGACTTAAAGCGTTAACTTGAACGCATGCATAACTACCTCGACAATGATCATGGGTGCTTTTGCATTTACAGTACTACAGTTGGTTTATCCCAATTTATATCTACTATGTATTAGAAAGTTTCTCTAATTACTGACATCTTGACCATATTAGTAAAGCGGTAATATCACTAGGATCAACGAGATACTCCAGTTTGTTCTTCAAAACTTATGCTTCTATTGAGCAGATATCTGACTGCCAATACTTTCTTCAATGAAATAATGATGTCATCAAAGCGAACTAGGTATTACAGTTGATTCTTCTAAGCTTTAATAAGCTGTATCGGATAAATATCCTGAATGCTGATACCTTCTTTAATATGGTAGTAATGTTGCCAAAGTGAGCTAAGAATTCCAGCTCACTCCTCTCAAGTTCGATCTTTCTTGAACAGTTACTCTGATCATCAGTAACTTGATAAATTAGCAAATTAGCAATATCTCAGAGCGAACAAATTACTCCAGTTTGTTCTAAGCTAAATCCTTGATCGAACAGTTATGGTACTTTAAATTACCTATATCTTAATTCCTTTAGCAAGCAGTAATGTGGCTAGAGCGAACTAGAAATTCCAGCTTATTCTTCTAAACTTGTTCGTATATGTTTATTTAACTGCTACTCTGATTACCAATATCTTCACAACTGGTAAGTAGTAAATCACGAAAGTGAGATAGATGCTCCAATATATTCTTCTAAAATTAAGCTAATATTAAACAATTACTTGGATTACCGATGTCTTGACTACTTTAGCAAAGCAGCAACATAATAGCAAATTAGATACTCCAATTTGTGATTCTAAGCTTAAATATTATGAAATAAATCCAATGATACCCAAAATCTTCTTTAGTAAAGCGGTCATGCCCCTAAGATAACTTAGAAACTCTAGCTTAACTTAACTACTTTTACGAAACAATTATACTTTAAAGCAAACTAGACATTTCTACTTCTAAAATTATCAAACAGTTCCCATGGCTACCAATTCTTACTTTGATTTATTCTTTCAAACTTAAAATCTTTTACTGAATAATAATTTCGATTCCAAAATCCTCTTTAACAAAGCAGTAATCCTGCTAAAAGGTGTATTATTTTAAATTCTTTTTCTTACATAAAAGTAACTTAGTTTTACTTGATATCGCTAGAATATTCGATAGAGGTATCGTTAAAATTAGAAAGCCAAGAATTAATAGCATAGTTCCGATAATCTTAGTCGTTGAAAAAGTTTGATTTCGAACTAAAACATCAATAGCAGCATTGATGGGAATTCCCAGCAATGGTCCCATTGACATATAGATGGGATAAGTAAAATTAATACCCAAAATCATAAGTATACTATAGAGAAAAAGGGTAAATATGCATAGGAAAAATGCAGTCCATGGAAAAGTAGAAAAGGTAATTTCTTCAACACCAGTAAAATATAAAATAGGAATAGGGATCCAAAATAGGATGAGAGCTTGAAAACACGTTACGCTTAAGTAAAGGCTGGCTCGAGCTAACGATGCTTCTCCAATAACTTTTTTCGTCAACACCTAATTTATTGATAAAGACACAATACATTGAGAACCTACAGCTAGTAATAACCTTTCTTGAACATTTTTAATGCTTTAAAATGCCTTCTGCATCCGTATAATATCCAGTAGAATTAAAAAGTTAATTACTTACTCGATAAACAGCTGCAAAAGCTGCACTTCCAGATACTAAAATGACTCCAATTGCTCCAAAAGATCCAAATCCCTCAGAGTAGGCTATTACCACAACACCCGCTACTGACATTAATACAGCCAAAAACTAGTCACGATACATACAGAAAATAATCAGTAATTGTATTAATGAATTATTAATGCAATTCTCTTCATAATATTTCTAATTTATAACACTGTATAAGATATTCTTAAGCTCTAATGATCATCATCGAACTTATATATCGCCTTTACAAAGATTTCAAGCTTAATTTATACCCGCAAAACTACAAAAGGCTCATTCAAAACCAAGAGAGACAGCACGTAAACTATCGCTGCTGAGGCGGAGAAAACGGCAGTTACGTCCGTTGATGAGGTATAACGCAAAGCATAGAAGCTAAGATACGTTGCACCTGTCGACAATGCAGTTATTGGTATTAGTCTGAGAAAAGCAGACATAACTCCATGCCTATGCTGCCCGAAAATCTTGGAAGCTTGCCTATCAATTGTAAAGAGTTAATTTACATTTAATAAATTTCTAATGGTAAAAGTGCAATGAAAGATGCTAGAGTTGCGTAGCAGCTGTTTAATATATCTTATAATTTATATCTCCATAGGATAAGGAACGAGAGGAATTAATTATCTTTATGTTATTAGTATAGATACCTCTACAATAATACGGTATAAAATTTTTGAATAGTTTGAAATTTTAAATAAAATGAAACAAATTGTTTCTAATTTACTATGCCAAGTTGATTGGCTGAATATAGAAATGCAAATTTTAAACGAAGGCAATTTAAAACGAGTTATTTTGCGATCTACATCTTACTTATATGTTTCTCGATGACTTTGCCCACGAAAAGTATAGAAAATGGATACTGCTGGATAAATAAAAACAGCCATGGATCTTGAAGACCTACGTGCAAATACAGGAAAGTGGCAATAAAACGATGGTTATATCTAAGTATATTTTTTCAGATTAAATGAATACTATTCTGGAATTAATGTAAAGTTGTAAAAGTTTCAATATTTTAATTAGATATGATTTTAAGTCAGTAAAAAATGGACACATAACAAGATCCTATCTGACAACAGGCGCATAATTAAGATATTGTCTAGTAAAAGTCTTAGAACTTTTAAATTACATTATCTTTAATTAAATGACTTTAGTTCTATAAAAAATTGACTCATCGTAAGATCTAATCAATCATACAATTAAGTTAAGATATGGATAAGTAGATGCAATAAAATTTCAATATTTTAGTCAGATAGGATTTTCTTTACGTATAAAACTACATATAACAGAATCCTAACTAATTTTATAATTAATTGATACAAGCCGTTATAACGTAGAAGTATTGTAAGAAAATGTATCGCAATAGGACTAAATGACGAAGCTATTCAAGAAAAAAAGTAGCTATGATTTTCTCTATCAGTCGTAAAGCCTATTCCTATTGCTTATAACGATTACCATGCTACCAGTGATGTAGAAGTAAAATTGCCTTCTTCGTATAAATCCTTTCCGAATTGAGTTGCACCAGCAGTACACACTGCTATAGCTATGACAAAAGCTACCCCAATGATGATTTGTTTTCTTGATTGGGCCTGTTTCTTGTTACCTGGTTGGTGATCCTCATCTTCTAAAACTTTAAAAAATACAATTATAGTATTACTATTTACAGTAATTGATATAACAGGTGGACCGCTATTCCACACCAACTATGGCTATATTATATGTAGAGTAAGTAACCAATTGGCATTGATTATAAATCAAAAAATCTTTACCATTAAAATCTGATTTTAAAAATTCGTATATACCGCGTACGAGTTATATTATGCTATACCATTTGAAATAAAATAGTTGATAACATTCCTTATATAATACTGGTAGCTATCGCTAGCAATGGTTTAAGATTGTTAAAGGTATTATGTTGATTTACCTGCTTTTTGTCCAAAATTCGCCGCGATGGCTAGTTGATAACTGTTGATTGATCCATTGCTAGCTTTCTTCATTCCTCCTGTAATGAATCAATTATATAATTTATATATACATATGCAATGAAAACAAATAGACCATAGTTTAATTGGAGAATTTATAGTAACCTTGTAGTCTATTTGTACGTTTAGTAATCAACCTAAGTTAAACTGCATTGGATTTGATACAATTACACAGTATAGCTATGAAGTATAATATCACTATGATAACATAATCCTGTCTGCGCATAATTTCTTGAAATGCATAAATTGTTAGGCTTAGCTAAGATATTGCTAATGGTATTTCCATTTCCATCAGGATAAGAAATGGAATAAGAGCTAAGAATACCTTTAGCTATTAGATCTGATCGGTCTTGTTTAGTGTACCGACCAATAATTCTCTCCTACTACAGTTATATTATCAATATCTCAATTTAGCTGATAGCAGTTTATCTTCCATCACATATAAAAAGAATCAATCTTACACAAGCTAACTTTCTATGATGATTTGCGGATAACCAATGCTCTGATAGTGACTATAAATATTTTACTGTATCATCTAAGTAGGACATTTCTTGTCTTTCTTAAAAAATATTGAACATTTTTTTACTACCTGAAGTATTCGTTTCCTTACCATACAGTAACATGACTGGACTAAATTATTGAATCTCAGATTTTATTTAATAGCCATATGCTACAATTATACTTTTTCTCCAGCAGGCTCAAGCTGAAGAAGGCATAAGTGGATTTAAAAGTAATTTATCGATAAATTTATTTTGAATGGTAAAAAATTTTTGCGTGAATTATTATTTCGACTTTCTCATCTCGTACTAACCTCCGTATTTATTTTTATTTGATTTCTCTTACTGAGGAAACTTTGTTAACTATTGCCCTCCAAGGATTATTCGCTTCACGTCTATCTTACTGCTATTATTAAGGGATTTCTGTTGACGACTTTGCTTTGACTTATTCAAGCACTTGCTTATTTATTTAGCTTCCTCGTCTTCGTTAACTCCGTGTCTGTTTTTATTTGCTTGTTACCGTCTTTGATGAAAATCTGTTAATATTTGTCTACTTTACTCGCCTTGCTTTAACTCCGTCTCTACTTTTATTTAATAGTTGCTATCCTTGACGAGATTCTGTTGATTTTTGTTTGGCTACACTTGTCTTATTTTAACTTTGCGTCTACTTTATCTGGTTACAATTATCCTCGATGGAATTCGGTTGATTGGCCTGTATCTGGTGCACCCGTCTTATTTTAACTGCACGTTTGCTATTATGTGATAGCCACTATTCTTGATGGGATTCTATTTATTGATCCTTGTCTGGCTGAATTCTGCAACCACTTTTATCCAATGACGATTCTTGAGAGATCATATGAGAAAATAAACAGAGTACCGTATTTATAAATGCGATTCTAAAACAGGCATTCTAATAGTACGGATAAGTACTCGTAGCCCTAGTATACTCTTAGGAACCTCAGAAGTTGTAGTGATAATAATCTGCTCCATATTGCATAGCTATAAAAGTTAGGCACTAATTACGTATCTATTCCGTTAATGGCACTGAAGGGTTGAAATCACTTAGCACGAATCTTAATAGCTAATAACTAATATATAGCTAATAAATAGCTAATGATACTTTGATTAATTTTGCTAATAGGTGGATTAGATCATTTTAGATTAAATAATTAACGAACTACAAGGCATCGTATCTATACTATATATTAAAGTTTGACTATCTGAACTTTGCACGTCTAGTTATCATATAGTAGAAGACTGTCTATTAGTCTCTAAACATATGCGGATATTACTAGGAATACACTAAATATACGTCTGATTCACATTCGCATCAGATCATTTCAGCTTAATATTGAAGGAAATAAAAGAGTATAGTATCGTCGTAAGATGTACCGCAAAAATTGCCTGATTCACCATTAATACATTGCTAATGAAGATTGACAGTAATATACTTGCTAATAATTGGATTACTTTATTTCAGCTTTATATTTTAAGGATATCAAAAATATTATGCCATGATGACTTGTACTCGTACTATAGGAAATTGACTGGCTACTTGCCTAGATCATCTCAAACTAACAAGAAGGAAAAGATGTCAATGGCATGCTTACTGAACTATAATAATCATGTCCATTGCTGGTCTTCACTCACTTGTTACGTTCCAGTACGATCTTGAATCGAATCGATTTACTTGATAAAATTGAGCCTAGTAAATTTCGTCGATAGTCCTGGCAATCATTCGGTGACAGACCTACGCGTATGTCTATCTACCAAATAATAAATATTATACCAATTGCTAGCCTTTGCTTATTAGTTATGTTCTAGCAGGTGCTTGAATTTAATTATTTTACTTGATGAAATTAATCCAGTAAATCTTACTGATAGTCCTAGCGATTATTCCGTGATAGACCTTGCCAACAATACAGTTTAAAATGGTAGATAATGCTTTAAATCGCCGTCTGGTCAATACTATCAAATGCCATGGACGTCCTTATGTATGGATATACAGCTATTCGCTTAATTAAATTAATGGTATAAGAATATTAACGTGATGAAGATAGACCACCTAGGGATTTAACTTAACACAGCAGCGAGACTTGAGGATTTCATGGACTCTAAAAATCGCGTTTAAACAGAGAAAATGTCTTGCCTATGTTGTCGTCGAAAATCGAATTTCTCGAATATCTTTGGTATTCCTTATCATACAATCAGTGCATGCATCTTACTGATCAAGCTTTGGGTCTAGAAAATACCAACTTGTAAACTTAAACATCAATCTACAATTTAGAAACCGTCGTTAAATGTCTGTCTATTCGCTTATTTTTTCTTACTGCTACACTGATGATGAGATAAATAAAAATAATTTCACGTCTTGCGCCTACAATGCCATCAGACCATACGATACAATAGCCATTTTAATAAGTGTGCTGAATTATTGTTTATACGTATGCTCCACCTTTATTTAATGTTATTGTTATTTGTTCTCTATTTTATGTATTGTAGCTTTATCACAAGTAACTTTTAACTAGGGTAGCCAAAAGTCTAGGAAAATACATTAACGTACAATGTACATCTTGACATCTAAAACCAGTATAGCTATACTACACATCACGATGTTGAGCAAAGGAGACTAAATGATTGATTGGATGTCATAAGTTCAACTCCAGGCGAATTTATAATGGTATAAAATTGATATGATTTAATATGTCGACAGTCTATCAGCGCAGTAGGGAGGGTAACCGAACCTTTCTCAGATCTATCTATCGTTCAAAATGGTACTGTAGCATAGACATAAACAAACTAAATATTGCCAAATCTTGTCTACCTAACTTTCTGTCAAGAGTACTCTTAATTGCTAAATCTAAAGTAGGCTAAGTAATTAAATCGGCCTTTAGCATCGCAAAATCACACACACGAGTATAGCCAAATTTTACTTTGCTTGCGAGTAGAGAATTGCCTTTCAGTAACAAAAATACTGTATGGTAGTTCTATGTATTAAAGCAGGATCAAATGGAATTGTCACATATATCTCTGCCATTGAGCCCGTATTCTCATCATTTATTATTCAAATTATTATTGTTATTTCTATTATGACGATGAAACTGACGGCAATGATACGAATCTTACGGTAGAAGTTAATTGCAATCGATAAAGTCGAGACTTGATAAAATAATTACTACTAGCTCGCCTTGTGCTTAATCGAGCACTGTGATATCATTTATGATTAAGGGGAAAATTACAGCAACCAAAAATATATAGCATTAAAAATTGATAGAATAGAAAAAACTATGAAGATTCATGGATACACAACTAGAATTATTGTATTGTATAAGATTAGGAGATTTTCACCTGCTTCTACTGGTTATATAAGTTGCTTTATATGAATGGATTTTATAAGTACAATTGTACTTCTAGTCAAAAGGGTCTTGCTTTAGGATAACAGTAATATAAGTGACCATCTGGCTGGATTTACCTTTGTTGTTGTTACCGTGGTTGGTTACTGTCTTAGCATATGGCTTGTACCGTATTCAATTAGGCGGTATATGCTTGATTTATAAGATCAGCTTCAATATGCCTTTCAATACAAATTTAGCGGTTTGATAATGGTATTAAGTTATTATATTACTTTTCCTTTACGGAAATAGGGCATTCTCTATTTAAGATCAATGTTTTAATAAACAGCATAAATTCATGAAAGCTCTGTTAAAATTTGATACGGCATTTTGATGATACGCCAACATATACAACATCAAAGCGTAAAAATAAGTACCTAACTTCGGTATAATTCAAGAAGATTCAATAGAATTAAAGAATTTTTCTTAATTATTTCTGAAGTAGCGTACAAGTTGATTAAGTTCAACATCTACTCTATCTGATATAACTCGTGCTACTCAAAGTATCAGTATTTTGGCACTCTATGGTAGCCGTATATGCATATAATATACTGGAATAGTGAACAACTCAGAATAAGATAATGATCGCATGTTACTGTTCTTGGCCAAAGTATCTATTTCACTAAAAAATTACGTAGCATATCGATATAGTATTATTTCATAAAGTTGAAGTTATTATTAACTCGATTAATACTGAAATCGCTAAACTCCTATTCCCACTCGATTAGGGAGTATAGGAGCTTTGTAGTATCTTCCGGATTACTCTGCTTTACCAGCCCCGAAGTAATTATGCTCTTCAGAAAGAAAGAAATAGCAGACGCTATATAAAAATCGAGGAGTAAATTTCACTAACTAACTTAATATCTACTACGATGACCAATACAAAAGAAAATGGGTGAATGACTATCAAACACTATTTTAGACAAGAAATAATCAAAAAATTTAAATGGAGATCTAGTCTTCGTAAATTACTGGGACAGAATTATAAAATATAGATCCTTCATGTACGATGCCGGCAGCTTAGTGCTTCAAAAGCTCTGCCATAATTTAAATAGTAAAGAAAACGGATTAATATATTTTACACAGCTATACTGTAAACATTTATCTTTTGGCTCAATTTTAAGATTTATTACGGAAATACATCGAATGCAATTTCATAATAATTAGCATATTTAATGGTTTCTTCGTACTATAATTTTACCCATTTTCGACCTTGAACATTTGTTATAGAGATAACTTATACATTATTTTACGACACAAGATTGAATACTATATTAAGTTTCAAATATCTAATAAAATTATTTGCAAGCCCTTTTTCCAATACTTCACTGATTATACAAGAAGTGAAAATAAAATAAAAGCTTTCATCTATTATCATATTAGTGTAGCACATCTAGCCTAAAGATATGGTAGAAAAGTCAGGCTTAGACGATCTGGTATAGGTAAGTGTAATTAAGACAAACGATTTATCAAGAAATGATGTCAATGATAGCTTACCGATGTATTAGTTAATTTAAGCCAGTTAAATACAGCATGCATACTATAAAGTTGGTCTGCAAAGTAAATTACGAATAGATAAACGTATTTTTGCTGATACAGATATAATAATGTTAAGTGGAATAGTGAATACTATAAATGCAATAATTAACAGGATAGTACCTATAATTTCTAAAAGTTGAAAATTTTGATGTCGTACAGTTGAATCAATTATAGCGTTAATTGGTATAGTTAGTAATGACCCAATCGAAATATAGATGGGATGGGTATAGGCAATGCCAATGCAGACTAACAGATTAAATGTTGTGCGTAAAAGTATAGTCAACATAAGCCAAGTCCAAGGAAAATCGGGTACTACAATCACTTCTACATTTGTAAAGTGTAAAATTAAAATAGGAATCCAAAAGATACAAAGGGATTGAGTTCCCATGATAGTCAAGAGAAAAGTCGTCTCAATAACTGATGCTGATCCGATAATCACTTTGGTAACAACCTATAAAATAGTGATATGAAGACAGTAGAGAATTAATTGGCGAAAATTTGTAAATCAGCCATTGAATCTTGGGCCATTCTATCCGATAGATGATAAATAATTAAAAATAGTAAGATCTATTTTTGGTCATGAAATTTCTAGATTACTTAAATTGATGATACTATTTTTTAATATATTCTAGTGTATTTAATGAAACAATGCTTCATTAATGAAACTGCGATGACATATCGTCTTATTCTACATAAGATTAATTATGATATACAGAAGATAGTATTATTACAATTCGAAAAGTATGTTTCTGCATTTAAACTAATTCATTTTATAGTATCATTTTCGGAATATAATAATAGAGTCAATCAACAGTCAGTGCTAAACTGATACGATCTGTACTAACCCGAAAACTAGCTCCACAAAAAGCGGCCGCTAGTGCCAAAAATACGCCTGATACTATAAAAGAGCCGTCTTCTTTGGCAATAGTAATCAATACCACGCCAGCTAATGAGATTACCACGGCCAAGAACTAAAATAGTAGCAAAAATTTTTATAAGAACTGATGAAAAAGATCAAAATGATATGAAAATTATTTGGATAAAATATGTAGGTATATACAATAATATGAAAGCGAAAATACCCGCAGGAATAAGAAGGGTTCTTTCAAGAAAATTAAAGACATAACATAAACAATTGCTGCGGAGAAGGAATATATCGCCGAAACATTTGTTGAGGATAAGAATGATAGCGAAATCAAGTAGAAATAGGCAATGCCCAATGATAGGCAAGTTAATGGAATAATTTTGATAATGGTGATTCTCAAGGAAGATCCCTTTTGCATATAGAATTTAGAAGCACGCCTAAATAGATGGTGTCAATAATACATAAGCATAATACTTTTCCTAAAATTTATGTGCAATATTTACGATAGATATCGTACAAAATAAATAAAACATTATTTTATTACTCATATAGTAAGCTATATGTTTCTATTTACAATCGATACAGACATGATTCTTAGCTTATAATTTCATCGAATACAGATAACACACAGCAATATCATAATTACTATAAATTGAAAATTTTCATACACAATTAAATAGACTGAAATATATATGATATTTAAGTTACAGCTTGAGCAGCTGAGATTCCGAAGTAATGTTATATTTTTACAGATATTATTTTAATTTGCACTTTACATGTAAATTTCGTCGTAGCTTTGACCAGAAAATAGTAATGATATGACTATTATGGGATAGAAGATTAGCAACAGCGATCTGGAAGACCTAAATTTAAATACAAAAATAACAATTGCTAAAATCACGCTGCTAACAACTGATGCTAAATTTTTCATTTTTAGACATTGTTAGCATACACTAAAGTCGTTTGTGTAATTTGATTGTAGCTATTAACTTTATTGTTTTGTAAAAATCGTGGTAGTCTTGTTATGCTATTACAATAAGAACCTTAATCATAGCTATAAAATATTCCAATTTTATAACGAAAAATTTAAATTTCATATTTACTTATAATTTATTCCACCTTCAGTTTAATTTTTACGTCCAATATTAAAATAATTTAATGTCCTTTACTAAGTATTTCGTTACCAAGCAACTAGTGAGGCTCCAGTGAAATTACTAGTAGTATATAGTTCTTTTCCAGTTTGGGTAGCTGCAGAGAGACATATAGCATAAACAACAACTAGAATGACGCCAACAATAACTGACTTGGATGAATTTTGGTCTTCAACTTGTGCTTCTATAAATGCAAAGAAATACAAATATGCGAAGGATTAGCAACGGTTTACAGAAATACTGTATTATCATATAAGCATTGTATTCGTAACAAATTTACTTAGACATCATAATTTCTGCAAGTTCATTTCTTAATGTAGATTAATTTATCTATATTAGCCAAACTTATGAGATAACTTATATTTATAAAATCATAATATCCACTTAGTAAGTCGTAGTCATTACGTTCATATAAGAACGAGTAAGTATAATGATCTAGATTTTTATCTTCTATAGAATTAACTCAATGTCTAAATAACCTGTTGGATTTGGTATTGCTTCATCTTCATTTGCCGTACGATAACTTTTGCTCGATAAATCATTTGTATTACCTATCAGTGTAATTAAGTAGATTTATATGCATATTTTCTCAAATGCTTTAAGTGATACCTTAGTCTTAAATTATAGATGTACCAGCAATTAGAAAACAGTCATCTTCGGCTGTCGAGTAACCAGCTGTGCCAATTGTAGAATTACTATCTAGGGTGGAGGGTTGCCCATTTTCTGTAGCTGTAGGTTACACGAGTATTTGTAAGACAATATGATAAAAATCATGAAAATATACATGCAATATATATTTGTACAAGTTGATGGAAATCATCTCACGATGGGTTTTATTGCCATAAAAATAGATGAATAGAAATAAATGACTAGTAAAGTTAATATTGGTAGTTTAATATCATCTAGTCTATCAAAATTATATCTATAATGTACTTTTAGGAGAGAAAAGAAGTTAAAGAACTTACTGCCATATTGAGAATTGCGGTTAGCTCCGATGAGAGAGCGAGATTCATGTGCATCTGGATTATTCTGATTTATAACTACCATAATCTATGAAACATGAATCAAGAACGATTATGGCCTAACAACCAAATACAGTGCTTCAACAAAGTGTAATTTAGATAGTATCAACCTTGTGACGTTTTACTCTATATTCGTGTAGTCAACAAGTTATTTGTTACGGACAATGCAGCATATTTGTTAGCTTTTATTCTTTATCAATAGTTACTTTAAATTATAAAAGCTAAATTACTATTATCAATTACCAACATTTCCTAAGCTACATCATGTACTCGTAGAATAGAAATTCCTTAGTTTGAATTTCAGAATGGAATTAAATAGGCTTATATGTCTGATTATTAGTGAAAAATTAATAAGTGAATGTTTACCGACGAAAATTATTCCTATTTCCCTTCAAGGCCATTGGTCTATTGCTTATACTATTGCGTAGTATATTTATGAATGTACTCGAAGTCTAAAATATCTTCGATAAACTGAGCTACAATACAAGGTCTCTTTTTCTTCTTAATACTAGAGAATGAGTTACTAATAGTCGAGAATTTGCGTACTGTTAAGCATAAAGAAGTGCATTAATATGCTCAGATCAAGCTTCATATACAATATTTTTTATGAACAATGAATCTTTATTGAAGTGATTCTAAGCATTCTTAATGCTTGATAGTAGCAACAATCATCTCAGTATGGACTAGTGTACTGTTATAATGAAGGTTTAATCGAACTATCGACTTGAGCGATTTTGTTCCTGCAATTAAAATCTAAAATAGCAAAAGTACTATTTTAATCGTTTAAATCGTCTTATCTACTTGGTTAAAACGATAAAAATCAACCATGTTATGCAGCGTGGAAATAAATTTCCCTCAGTAAGTATAAAATCAAGATCACTATAAAGAAATATTGAAAATACCCAATGAATAGCGCGATTGATTTTAAAGAGCACATGTATCAAAAAAAAGCGAACCATGGAATATAGCTGGTAAGTTGAGTAAAATTTAAGTGTAAGATAACGTACCGGTTAAATATAGATTGAAAGGGTTGGAGACTCGAGCCGTTATCTGCACGATTACTCGATATTCTTTATCCTGATGTTTCCTTAATCGTCAATTTCTGATTATATATGAAATCAAATAATCGATATGACAGCATGTATTCAACCTACGTAGAAAGATTGACTGACTCTTACACACAGGGGCTAGTACACAGCTATTACGATCCTATACAGTGTTAATTATAAACAGAAAACTTATTTTGATGTATCAAAATGTTTAATGACTGCTAAGAATCAATCTTTAACTATCATTTTCATATCAATTGACTAAAAGCTCTTACTAATTTCTTGCTTGTTTCAAAGTTAATACTGTGGTATGAACAAACTGCTGTGATAGATATGATTACTCTTATAATTATTTAGTACGAGTACGTACATTAGATTAGTACACTTTGTATTGACAGATACTTGACAAAGTATAGCATGAGAAAAGTATGTCTATGTTTACTTCAATAACAGACTATCTCTTGTTTTGCTAGTACGCAATTGAAGATTATGAACGACTCTACTATAAAAATAGGATATATAAAAGTGAATAATAACTGATTCAGCTGTTGATAATTTCCCAGTACTTTTTGACATTAATAAATTAGTTGATATTGTTATAAAACCATAAATTAGTACCACCCGTACTGGTGTAGAAAATCAACAAGTAGCTAGTCAAACTAATCGTAATCTATGTACTAAATTGAAGACTAAATCATTGCTAATATTTATTTATATAAGAATAAACCTGAAAAACAAATAAGGGGACAATTTATTCAGTACGTGATCGTATTACGATTACGAATCATAGAATGAGTAATAACCAGAAGTCATTAGCAAAGGAGTAAGAGAAAAAATCCTGGGTCCCTAACAATACGAAGCATTGAATAGTATCGAGTATATGCTACCAACTACTGATTTCTTCTACTGCACTATATAGCATACGAATATATTAATCAACAACCTTTAAGGAGTTCCTCGGATATACTTATAACACTAAATACAGCGTCATATGCACGCATACTTATATAGGCAGGATATCTTATAGAATGTTGTTAAATCTTCGTTAATACTGTATATCCTCAGTTAAAATTACTAGAAGTCTTATAATTATCCTCTTTATGAAATAAAATTATTAGTAGTCTGGAATATCATCATTAATTGGTTATGCATTTCATTCATTTTTTAACGAAAAATGCAATTTCTTATCAAAATGTTAGAGTTCAAAAAGTTCGAATTAAACTAAAATTAATTCGATATTAGTTGATGTATGCAACGATATTATTACAAGAAACCTTGATATAGTCGTATTATTGCAATACTGAAACTGTATAGAAGTTAATCACTATAGATGGTGAGAAATTAAACATGCATGCATATATAAAATCACCTTCATCATCACATACATATTTTAAACTGTCTTACCGAAAAGATATCGCACACGTACAATTCTTTATTTGTACATTCTGGGATAAATGGCAGATAAATTTATAACATTTGTGAAACAAGTTGTTTAAAAATTCTAAGTTGCTTATTGGGATATGATAAGATCATTTAGAATGTTGCAGCAACGTACTTTTATTTAAATCAAAGGACAAATGCTATTTTATGAGATAGAATCCTCAATATATTAGGATAATAATATTAGTATTAAGAAATCCAGTCGCACTGAGAGACGCTGCAAGTTGAATTAAGATAATTTTAGGTCTTGTGCTCGATGTATTAACATCAAGGCTAGTGGTAATGCTTTCATCTCATTCTAATTCAGAATTAATTTTTAATAGGTTTAAATGTAATTAATGAACGAACTTTAGCGGAAAATGTCAACATCAATGGCAACGGGACTGTCAGGATTAAAAATCCGACTACTAAAAATACGGTGCCTAATATTTTGTAGGTGTTAAAGACTTCCTGTCGATACCCAACATCAATCGCTGCATTCAAGGGAATAGCCAATAGCGGTCCTAATGATGCATATACAGGATAGGTAATAGCGATTGCAATACAAAGAAATAAGTTATACAGAACATGAAAGAGAACAATTAAAGGCAAAGTCCAAGGAAAGCTTGCAATTGTTATCGGCTCCACGTCAACAGCATGTAAGATTACAGTGGGAATCCATAGCGCCAACATACTATAAATGCCTAGTAAGGACGCAAATAAAGCAGCTTGAGATACCGATGGATGGACCATATATTTCTTTGCAACTATCTACAATGAAAAAGTTTCAAATTCAGAAGGAAAGTATGTCAAGTAATATAAATTAGATACCATCCGGTACGGTTTTGTTTCATAGTTATCAAATTCACCTTTAGTATCAATGCTTACTGTACAATGCCGTAATGGACATCAACTCAAGGTAGATCAAACTAGCAGTTAAATCGATACGCTGTAATGTATCCTTACGAATATGAAAGCAATCCCAACGCAGTAAAAAATGCCAAATATTAGATTTACTTTTTCATACTTACTCTGTAAACAGCAGATATTAATGCACTTGCTGCAGCTAGTAAAACACCAATTGCTCCAAAAGATCCTAACCCCTCGGAATAAGCAATTAAAACTACGCCTCCAATAGAGAAGATCACAGCCAAGAACTAAAAGGGTTTTAATATAAACATTGATGTCAAGAAAGATTCAGATTGGAAGATAAAGCAACAGTTTACAACTCAAATGATGCAGTAAAACATTGTAAAACATGTTAAAACTAAGCAAGTATACCACTGTATCCTAACATCTAATAATCTCTTCTTCATATTAAATTAACGTACTACATGCTACATCACAGTCTATTTAAACATCATTCGAGTAGTGGCAAAATGCAGCACTACGAAACTTTCACACTCTAACTTCCAATTGCACTATTGGCAGTAGCTTCACACATCCTAGTTTTTAACTTATATTAACAGCTGAAAATTTAAATTCTATACTTATATTTATACGTATTCCTACCCGAAAAATAACGAAAGGTTCTTTCAGCCATATTATAGAGAGAATGTAGACAAAACCCGCGGCAGAGGAAAAAACCGCTGTAACATCCGTAGAACTGGTAAATGTCAGAGCGTAATAGTAGGTATACGTTGATACAGCTGTTATGAAAGCCAAGGGTAACATTCTGATAGCTGCACCTTTAAGAGTGAACCCATCTTTACCGCATATGAGACCAGCCTCTCTAAGAGCAACACGTAATTACAATACTACTATAAATATGATGCAGAAGTTCCAAAGTGATCATTGCTATGACTTTATACTACTGCTTTCACTTTTGGCTTAATTTTACAGCTATTAACGTTAAGACGCTAAAATATAACTATGATACTGTAATCTAGCTAAACTGAGCCTTTCTCAGGTCTACATATTACTATCGAATTACTTAAAAGTGTCATAATGGCTTCGGCCAGAGCAAAAGAAAATCATTGAAATTACGGGATAACTTATAGTTAATCCAGTTCTAGATAACCTATAAATGAGACGAGATATCAATTTATTATAAGGTTAAATAGTATTGTTTGTAATGAAATAAGGAACAGATGTCTTTCAAATAACATATATTACTGCAGATATTTTTTTGGTTTGAAAGAGTAATTGTAATGTTCAAGTCTTTACCAATTCGCTAACGCAGTAGATGTAAAATTTTCCTGGTCATAAGAAACCTTTGTAAACTGTGTAGTTGCGCAAACACTTATGCTACTACATATTACAATTATGACACCATACAGGGTTTTTCGTAATGAAGTCTTTGAGCTAGCTTGTTTGCCTAGTGCATCTGTGGTGAAAGTAAGATTGTGATAGTAATACACTTAGTAAGATAACAGGTCTGTGAATAAATTTGATAAAAAACTTAGTTGATAGACTACAGTTTGTTAACTTGGAATCGACATTATCTATTTATAATTAATTGATAAAAGCAAATAAAATGTAGTCAAGAGCTAAAATTAAACAAGTATATCTTTATAGTTAATTATATTAATCAAAATTTGAGATACCACCATGCACAGCCATCTCATAACTACTCATGGAGTTGACATCGTCACGGCTAGCATTTTTATCTATCAATTGTTTAAACGAATAGTAAAAACAGACATTAGTTCGAATCACGATATGGTTAATCCTTCCTTGATTGCATAATATCCATTAACTTGTGTACATCTCAAACGATAGTAACAAAGAAGTATTGCAAGCTAAGTCATAAATATGCTGAACTATTTTAACATGAAAGTATGATTCGAATTAACTAAAAGATAGATAATGAAAAGTGGGGGGCATTTAAATAGCAGAGATAAAAGTATTGTAAGTCTAACTTTAGATTATTGTATCATATCGAATATTTCGAGGAACATGTATTTCTACTACCAATTTGAATTGAAGGTAAGTCTTTGTTGCTTCTAATCTCTACTTCGGAATTTCGGTCCACTTCTTCCGACTGAACCATTGCTATAACTAACCTAGAAGGACGATGTAAGAAAATAATAAGATTTAGCCTGCACAGTATAATAAATTGGTAAACACCCTTTGTACACAAAATATTTTTGTGTAGGCAAAGCGAGCATACTACTAATTATATTATCAGCATATGTATAATTGTCAAAACGCCAGTGTGAAACAGAACACAGATCGACAGATCTCTAAATAGTTTACGTATTGTAAGAACTTGTAAAAAATTAAAGCCGATCATGTTAACTTGGATAATTTATTATTTTTTGCCTAATTAGATGTAATAGTATGTGGCTACATCAAGAAACGGAGAAATAATTCACTCATCGCTGATTGAAGGCGGTTGCAATTTATTCGATTTTAATACAGCGTGTTAATCTGATGTGGAAGCTTTATCTGTAATTTGATTGAGAAAGTTCAAGATCTGGCCATTTCGGATGTAAGAGAACTATCAAGGTAAAGATTGAGACAAAATTACAGAGTTTCCTATTGACTGCGTTGTTGGACAAGATTAATTGTTACTCATTTGTTAAATTATAACTATCAGATGTAATCTTTAATTTTACTTAATATCAAGCGGGCAAGGCAATGAAGTTTATACGGTATTCGATGCAGGTATCGAGATTGTCTGTTAACAGGCTTTATGCGTATCCTACAGAAATTAGCGGAGGCTCGAGAAGGTTTAGATGCCACAGTTTGATCGAAAACGCAAATAGTACAATGCAAGACTGATCAAGTATTTACGGCTCATTATCTGATTTCACATATCCCTTTTTTTACATACTATTAGTGAAGGTGTTCCTTTAGTAATCGACATTCCAACTAATCTATGAATTAAACTACATAGTGTTGTACGCTCGATTAGAATTACCCAGGTGCAATCCTTAATACTAATAAAGTAGCAGCTGAACCGCCATGCGTGCAAGTTCTATATAACGTTAAGGTGCAAGTGGGGTCCAATGGACCCCATAATATTGAATTGCTCAAATAAAGACCAAATAATTTAAATAGAGGACGTTAAAACTATGAAGATATACTCGCTAGATTCTAATCTTTACACCATATAAACAACCATGAAGTTATATAAGCGACAACAAACATTTATAGACAATATCTACAGTACATAAAGAATGTTACAATTTGGATATTTTTCTCAATAAATAATCTTTTATGAGAAATTGTGGTACCATTGATCCCATTTGCACGTATCCTCGAGGGTTAAGCAGGTGATATTTTGGCGCCTATCATCAAGTTTGATAGAAGGTATCGGATTCTCGTTATAGACTTCAAGTAAATGCAGGTAACTATACGGATGATGAAATTATGGCATTCTGGGTACAGCAGTGTGAAAATCATAATTGCATCGTACAGTATCGCCCAATATGATTAATCCTGTGACTTCAAATGAGGAGAGTAGCCGAAAGTTTGGCTTATAAGTAACAGTTCATATGCAGTTAGTTACTGCACTAAAGTAGTACAAAGTGTGCTCAAGTAGCATTTCAAACGACAAGCCATTTGAAATATCGCCTGGTGTAGTAACCGTACTTTAATGATTTCAGCGAATGGTAGTACATCATTACCATAAAGTAGAGAAGAAATGTAATTTCTGAGAATGAAAGAATTTGGATGCAAATAGAATCATTTCTTTCCACTGAACGGGATGAAATTGAAGTGATACTGGCATGTCTAATGCTATGCATTTACACTCTCTTGCAGTTAGGCAAAAATATCTGAAGAGTACTAAAAGTGGAATCTAATGATATTCATCACTGAATGCGTTGCTTATCCATTGAAAAGGATAGGATGCATCAAGTTGAACATAAAAAAAGTACATCAAAGACTATAATAGAGATTTAAACAAATTATTCGAAATTGAAAGCAGGTAGAACAATAAAGTTGACTTGATCGATGGAGTTTAAAAATGATGTCATCTATCATCACTATTAAGGGTTCGTGGAGCTACGTCGAATAAAATCAAGAGGTGGAATAATCATTTAGTTCTGTGTAGCACAGAAAAGTATCCAATTACATTAGAGTAGCTGCTGTTAAATTTGGACGAATTGAGCAGGAAAGTCGAAAAACTAGGCGGAGTTCATTATGAATGATATCATAAATTATCTCTTAATTTTTTTCCAAAATAAGTAAATAATGAAGAAAAAAGAGATAAGTAAAACTTGAGTCAATCCCTGTCACGCCACTATGTATGGCTTTACGTTAGTATGTAGTTGTAAATACTGATTATGACAATTATAATTATTGATCATCTACAAATGTTCAAGATCGCCATCATCGACGAGATGAAGAAGGGAGTATGTGTCGTAGTTAGCAGACAACATGAATACTATTCTTATGGTATCTGCTAAAGGTCAGTCAAAATACGATGTTTCACTGGGAAATCCTAGCTAAACGGTTTTTCCAATCTGATCGAATAATTGTGTACTACGCTAGTCTATCCATCATTGCAAACTATTCACCACAATGTCCATGTTAAAACATTGCTTGTTTCCCTCCATCATCAAGGGGAAAAGAACATATTGATCCTGATAAAGAAGAGGATCTTTACTTACCTTTTCCACAGGCTTCGATCCCAATTTTGACCGAACGGCCAACAAAAATTGTCTTCAAGTCAGATTGATTACAGCAAAGGCCGGCTGGGACTTGTATCTCTTGCAAGAAGAAACTGCAAGCAAGGAGAGCAAAAATTGTCTTCGAGTCAGATTGATTACAGCAATGGCCTGCTGGGACTTGTGTCTCTTGCAAGAAGAAACTGCAAGCAAGGAGAGTAAAAATTGTCTTCGAGTCAGATTGATTACAGCAATGGCCTGCTGGGACTTGTATCTCTTGCAAGAAGAAACTGCAAGCAAGGAGAGCAAAAATTGTCTTCAAGTCAGATTAATTACAGCAATGGCCTGCTGGGACTTGTGTCTCTTGCAAGAAGAAACTGCAAGCAAGGAGAGCAAAAATTGTCTTCAAGTCAAGATTAATGACAGCAATGGCCGGCTGGGACTTGTATCTCTTGCAAGAAGAAACTGCAAGCAAGGAGAGCAAAAATTGTCTTTAAGTCAGATTAATGACAGCAATGGCCTGCTGGGACTTGTGTCTCTTGCAAGAAGAAACTGCAAGCAAGGAGAGCAAAAATTGTCTTCAAGTCAGATTAATTACAGCAATGGCCTGCTGGGACTTGTATCTCTTGCAAGAAGAAACTGCAAACATGGAGAGCAAAAATTGTCTTCAAGTCAAGATTAATTACAGCAATGGCCGGCTGGGACTTGTTTCTTTTCCAAGCCAATTACTCTTCACAGTGGTACTATGCCTTCCCATGGATGACTTTGAAATATATTGTTTAGTATGGATTTGAAGACGTGAACACGTGACCTTAGGTCATTTATTTATTTTAGTTGCCGTTTCATTTTAATAGTGGTGCTCATAACAGTAGTGCTGTGCCAATAGAGTAGATGTTCATTAGCGTACGTGACAAGTTATACTATCAATCACGTTGTCGCTGGTTTCCGCACCAGACTCCTTCAGGCCAGGAACTGCTTACTGGTACTGGTACTGGTACCGGTACTGGCTACCGGTACTGGCTACTGGTTGCCTATACTACCAGGAGTCATTGGCGTTTTGCTGTTGTTGCTGGGTGTTCTAAAATGTTGCAAAATAGCTGAAGAAAATGATGTGCTGAAATCGCTAGAGGGATTAGCTACTTGTTGCCTTTACTACCGGGTGGACAGCACTTTACTGCTATATTTAGATGTTAAAAAAAGTGGCAAAACAAGTGGAGAAAATGAAGCGCTGAAATGGGAAGACTTGACAGACATACAACCACCATATTGCCTGTTCAATGCGCTGTAGAGTACGTATCCATCTCAACTTTTATCCAAGAATTAGATTATTAAACTAAACAACCAACAGTCGGAAAATGCACACTGCTCGATAGTGAGTGCCAGCTAACTTTCCACTTCTATAACATGGCAAGCAGTGAATTCTCATTTTTTACGATATAGTATCCAATTGCATTGATCGATTAAACCCTAACCCTAACCCTAATAGTACTATACTACAAGTTATCGACGAATTAAATAAAATGTGCTCATCTTTACATCCTTCTTCATACACGATTAATTCATTAATCGAGTTTATTTTTGAACTTACTGCAATAATTTATGACGGATTGTTATTGTTTTACGCTCTTTTCATAGTTGCCATAGACTGTAGGTAGTGCCATAGTAGTAGTAGTAGTCACTGTACGACAATTCGCTAAGGGTAAAGGGCATGTTGTTGGTCTACAATACAGTATACTACAGTAGATTGGCAATCAGATTATCACTACTGATACCAAGATAGCGGTAACTGATAAATGCTAATAGTATAATTTCATTTGTATTTCAGTCCTATCACTCGTGTGATTAAATAATCATTTTATAGCTAAACCGCAACAACATCAGATGATGTACTTGCTATCATTTAAAATCAGCAATAAATTCATTCAATTTTATTACTGTAGGCTCTGAACCCACAACCAAAAAATTATATTTACTATTGCCAAAAATGATTAACAACGATACTATGGTTCTGATGACAACTTATTTGTAACAAACATTATGGAAAAGAAAACGCAATCATCAGGTATTTTGGATAGAATATTCCAAACGCCAACACTCTTTCAACTAGTTGACTTGTCTGATATATTGTAGAAATGATCATTCTATTCATTAGAAAAAAGTAAAATTATTCAAAACAAATCAAGATGTCTTTACTACTGTTCAATGCGAAAGATGTTCTAAAAACGCCTCAAAACAAGCAATAATAGCGTTCATGTACCTCAGTGATAATTAGAATTAAACCTTATTGCTGTGTATACTAGATTGCATGACTTTTCTGATTAACTATAACAATTTACTAGTACTTGCAGAGAATCATACAAAATCAAATAGCGGCCGCCATCCATCGATGAATAGCTATGATCTTGCTATTGAACTTAGAAATAGTAAGTCCTCTTCATAAAACTAACCTTGAGAGTAAACAACTACAGTAATATTTTATTTTAATTACGATGTACACATAATTACCGTTGAATGCATTGAGAAATAATCATTTACAATATAGAAATTGCATTAATAAGTAATAAATGTAATGATTGTCTGGTAGACGATGGCCTATTACGGGAGAAGCAACAACTGAAAATTTCTTTATCAGTTAAAGAAGCAACTGTTGGAATTACCGTGGTGATACTCATTGCTATTACCTTTAGCTTGGTAAACCAATTTGGGAAAAATTTATATTCAATCGAACATAATTTTACTTCTGTAACATTTTATACATGGTAAGAAGCTCAGGCAATTGACTTCAAGAAAACTAACATAATAGTGATAGATAATAATTTCGAAATCGTTTCATTGAATGTACGTGCTGCAATGTACTAGTTGTCCGATATATCATTTACAGTCATGGCTAATAGGCTAATATAACATAGTTAGCATGACCAAACCACTACAAGTTGCATCATTCGGTGTGTTTGTGTCCACTTTGTCACCATATGTAATATCGTAAGTTAGTATTTTATGCCAACAATCTAAGACTTTAAACAACAGTTTTACAAAACACTTTCAACTAACAGAAACTTTACTTTTGTATTTTTAAATAAAAGGTTAGGAATGTCTTCATATGTTATCATATTTCCAGTTGTCTCATTCTTAATGATTCTATTTAATGGTTACAATTTCCAACAGTGCTACAGGTTAAAATTATCAACTACGCAAGCATATAAATAACTTTCGATGTAGAATTGACTGTTTATGAAATTCTGAAATTATATTCATGTTTGCCTTTACAGAGAAGCTAAACTTCTTTATTCTGAGCATGGAATTATAAGAACAGTTTTCCTGCGAATTCTTTTATTGGCATTATTACTAGATAGTGCCATTATTACGAATTTTTACGCTTTACAGTTCATTGCGCCATCCGATATGACTGCGATTTTCTCTTCAACTGCTGGATTTGTTTACATTCTTTCCATCATACTATTGAAAGAACAATTTATTCTTCTTAGGGTAATTTAAAGCAATTTTTAGAACCTTTTTATTCATAGAAAGATCGGTTGTATAAACACACCAATCGCTTTTAACTACGTCTTTACGTATTCTAAATTTTTAGTAGGCGTATGTTTTAACTAAAGTGATCGGAGCCTTAATAATAGGATGAATTCTAGAAATAATTTACCTGACAACTATTAACACTCGTATATTTGCATTTGTGGATCTTAGGCTGGAGCTGTAATTTTATCTATTATTGGTGTTGTTTTGTTTACAGCTGCTGATGGCTTCGGGACCATTACGATTATAGGTGTAATATTGGCTGTTGCTTCCTCTATTATAAGCGCCTTCTATCGTGTAAGTAGATCAAACTTTCAAAAATTACTCAATCTATAATTGTATCGGTTATATCTAATTACATCATATTATATCATGATTATGTCTAATAAGTTATATCGATATAAGACGCTAACACTTGTTCCAAGTTATGCGTAATCGTTGTGCCTTCTTATCACTACTTTATATAGGTTTCCGTGAAATTAATAATTGGCGACAGGCCGCTACTTCAGGTATCATTTCTAATTTCCATTATTGGTGTATTATCGCTCTTCTTATCTTGGATACCAGTAATTATACTAAGCAATACGGGCGTTGATATAAATTTATGGTCTACTATTCCTTGGGGAACGTTACTGGTCACTATCACATTTAATATACTAAATAATTTTTTCCTTATACTTGGAATCGCCGTAACTTATCCGATATTCGTTTCCCTTGGTGGACTTTTTGGAATACCTTTAAACTCGATTATTGATGCAGTAACACGCAATTTAGCTTTTACGGAAGTCAAAATTTTGGGTACAATTTTACTTATTGTAGCTTTCGCAATTCTGTTAATACCAACAGGAACGGCTATAAAAATTTCTCAAAAATTTACCAACTTCATTCTGTGCAAAGCATCACGAGATTTACATGATCCTCAAGATTACAATTAATTATATTTATTCATTAAATTATTTATGTAAGCATTAGTGGTAATTTAAAGAATTCTGTAGCAATCAGTTACCATAAAATATTCAAAATGAATTGCGTACTAGGTAATGAATTATTTAGATCACATCGGTATGATTGTGACTTGTAATGCAATAAATGTTAGCAAAATAATCTCTTAAATATTTATTAATTAATTTATTAATAAGTCCGTGAAAGCGACAAAGGGTGAAAGTACTCATTTATTTTTTACGTGATCATTAATTGTAAAATGAATTGATAGTTAGGTAATAAATTATATTATTTAAATTATTGTGATAATACTCCGGCTAACACGGTAATTATTCATAATAAATCTTTTAATCATTCATTCATAACCCACAAAATTAGGAAAAAGATTTCTAAACCGTGTACGCTAGATCCCTATTGCAATCACCAAAAAATTTGGTGTAATAAAACTGTATAATAACAAATTTCCGCTCCAACGGAGACATTGACTACATGCTACTAAGATGGATGTAGTCGTAGAGGTCAAAGAAGAATACGAAGAATGTTAAGACTTTTTCAACTTTACTATAATGTACAATTCATTGCTACATCTAATTTAAACTCAGAATTGAGGATTTGTTGGCTAATTACACGTATACGAATTATTGAAAGCATGTTCTACGAAGAATAGTTTTAAAATGCGCTCCAATACTGTACAATTTAGCTTTTGAGTCTTATTAATTAGTGATCGTCAGTTCAGCGATGACTCTGTTACACTAGGCATGGAGTCCCTTAAACCAGATAGGAAAATTTCCTTTAATTCGCTAAACCATGGACTACAACTAACTTGAATAGTAGTAATTACCGTATTTGAATAGAGCATTAGTACTGCACTCTACGACACTAGAATCGATCCTGGCCAGTGGCAAGTCACTGGCCACAATGTTGCATCTATCAGGGGCTTTTTAGCGAAAATCTTGGATGTATTTGCAGATTCGTTCAGACTTGGTTCAGATAATAGGATAATGATAATGTGCTTTGTCCCCGGCACCTCCCCCTACTAAGATAAAAGTCAATTCCTTAGGTCTTTGTCCAAAGTGAGACAGTAATAAAAGTCGACAGAATATAAAAAAAAATTATTTACTTATATTTTGCCTCGGAGGAAAAAGTTGGAGGTCTCTACAGCGTAATTGGTCTTAAAATAGCATGTGACCGCTATCGTAGCGTTCCACGTTCCTTGAGACAAAGTAGATTATTCCATCATTTAAACGAATTTGTATGAACCATTGAGACAGTAAGAGCTATAAGCCCTTGCTGACATTCGCGTAACCAGGACTACAACGCGGAAGAAAAGAGAGGGACAAGAAACGACTTTCCATCGACAAAAAATGTGAGGGCTTTTTTTTCTGGTCATTTCTGCTACACAGTACGTCTGTCTGTAATCGTACATTGTACTGTTTACAAGTGCGTCCCCAAAGTAGCCATCAAATTGGTTGGCTACCGTACGCTGCACGGCCTCCTGGCTACTTGTTGCCTTTACGGATCAATTGATCCGCCTTCACTGCTTGGTAGACAGCTCTTGCTATAAACTATTACCAAAAGGATATAGTGGGTCTGATTAGATATTCGTAACTTATTTGTAATAAACGCTATGGAAAAGAAAACGGAACCATCAGGTAGTTATAATAGGATATTTGAAACACCAACACTCTTTCAACTAGTTTACTAGTGCTAGAAATGGCTATTCCATAGACCGGAAACTTAAATTTCATTCATTAGCAAAAAGTAAAATTATTTAAAACAAATTAGGACATGCTTACTCTTATAGAGACTCATTGTGACTCCTGCTCAATGTGAAAGATATTCTAAAAACATCTCTTAATTAAACCTCTATTGCTGGATATCGTATGCTAGATAGCAATGACTTTTCTGATTAACTGTAACAATTTGCTAGTACTTGCAGAGAATGATGCAAAATCCAATTGCAGCCGCCGTCCATCAATGAATAGCTATGATCTTGCTATTGAACTTACAAACAGTAAGTCTTCTTCATAAATCTAAACTCGAGAGTAAATAGCTAGAATACTGTTTTACTTTAACAGAGATTGCTAAAAGAAAAAGGCGGACAAGGAAACGGCCTTCAACGCAAAATAGTGTGGAGGCTTATTATTTTCTCGGTCATTCAACTAAACTGTGCCAACGAAGCCGTATACCACACTATACAAACTAATTTAGCAGGCTTATAGCAGTTAATTTAGATGTCAACTACGGACAGAACAGTGTGTCGTGGAGACATACAATACAGATGAAATGACCGGTAAAATAATCAGCCTCCACATTATCACTATAACGAACGACCGTTTCATGTCCCGTGTCTTTCTTTTGTAGGAGTTCGAGATTTTAATTACGATCCACACACATAATTTACTGTTGAAATCACTTTGAAACGATCATTTATAAAATAGAAATTGTATTACTAATTTATAAATTTAATAATTATGTGGTAGATGATGACCTATTACGGGAGAAGCAACAAAATAAAATTTCTTTATCAGTTAAAGAAGCGATTGTTGGAATTACTGTGGTGATACTTATTGCTGTTACCTTTAGCTTGCTGAACCAATTTGGGAAAAATTTATATTCAATCGAACATAATTTTACTTCTGTGACATTTTATACATGGTAAGAAGCACAATAAATTAATTCTAATTTGCTTAAAGAAACATTAACATATACAGTATACTGTATAGCAATAGATAAAAATTTCGAAATCGTGTAAATTACGTGCTGTAATGTACTAGTTGTCCGATACATCATTAACAGTCATAGTTAATATGCTTATACAGTTAGCATCACAAAAAGGTAAGATCTATAAGTTGTATCAATTCAATCAGTGTGTTTATTTATCCACTCTGTCACTATATGTAATAACTTAAGTTACTATTTTATGCCAGTAATCAGAGGCTCTAAACAGGAGTTTTATGAAACACTTTCAACTAACAGAAATTTCTTTTTTATATTTTTAAATGTAAGGTTAGGGATGTCCTCATATGTTATCATATTTCCAAGTATCTCATTCTTAATGATCCTATTCAACGGTTACAGTTTCCAACAGTGCTGCAGGTTAAAATTATCAATTATGCAAGCATATAAATAACTTTCGATGTAGAACTGACTGTTTATGAAATTCTGAAATTATATTCATCTTTCCTTTACTAGTGAAGCTAAACTACTTTATTCTGAGCATGGAATCATAAGAACAGTTTTCCTCCGAATTCTTTTATTGGCATTGATGTTAAATGCTGGCATTACAACGAATTTTTACGCTTTACAGTTCATTGCGCCATCCGATATGACTGCTATTTTCTCTTCGACTACTGCGTTTGTTTATATTCTTTCCATCATACTATTGAAAGAACAATTTATTCTTCTTAGGGTAATTTAAAACAATTTTTAGAACCTTTTTATTCGTAGAAAGATCGGGTGTATAAGTGTATCAATCGCTTGTACCTACAGTACAGTACTGTATATACTAAATTTTTAGTAGACGCATGTTTTGATTAAAGTGATCCAGCCTTAATATAGGATGAATTCCTGAATAGTTAATGTATCTGACAACTATTAATACTCGTATATCTGTATTTGTCGATTTTAGGCTGGAGCTGTAATTTTATCTATTATTGGTGTTGTGTTATTTGCATATTCTGATGGCTTTGGAACCTTTGCGATAATAGGCGTAGTATTAGCTGTTACTTGCTCTGTTATAAGCGCATTCTATCGCGTAAGTAGATCAAACTTTCCAAAAATTGATCATCGTAAAATAGTGTTTATACGAGTATTGATTAAGGCACCAACACTATTTATTGTGTAATTGCTGCATCACCTTATTATTACATTATATAGGTTTTCGTAAAATTAATAATTGGCGACAGGCCGCTCCTTCAGATATCATTACTAGTTTCCAATATTGGTGTAATATCGCTCTTCTTATCTTGGATACCAGTAATTATACTAAGCAATATCGGCGTTGATATAAATTTATGGTCTACTATTCCTTGGGGACCGCTAATGGTAGCTGTTGCATTTAATGTATTATATAATTTTTTGGTTATACTTGGGATTGCCATAACTTATCCGATATTCGTTTCCCTTGGTGCACTTTTTGGAATACCTTTAAACTCGATTATTGATGCAGTAACGCGCAATTTAGCATTTACGGAAGCCAAAATTTTTGGTACGGTTTTACTTATTTTAGCTTTCGTAATCCTATTAATACCAACAGGAAAAGCTATAAAAATTTCTCAAAAATTTACCAACATCATTCTGTGTAAAGTATCGAAAGATACACATCATCCTCAAGATTAGAACTAATTGTACTATACATATATTAAATAATTTGTGTAAGCATTAATCGTAATTTAAAAGAATTTTGCAGGCACGATCTACTCGTATTATCATAAAGCATATGATTGTGACTTTTAATGTCATAAATGTTCGCAAAAATAATCCTTTGATCATTTATTAATTTATTAATAAGTCCGTGGAAGTACTCATTTTCTTTACATAACCATTAGCTTTAAATTAAAGGAAACTCTTTTAAAAAGTTTCTGAGATGATCTGATTTTAATAAAATACCAAAATGAATTGATGATTCAGTAATAAATTTTATATAGGGACATAGTCGTATATACGGGTATTTCGATAAGATTATTATAGTAATACTCTGGCTTTAAGTACAGTAACTATTCATAAACAGTCCTTTAATCATTCATTGATAACCCAAGAAATTAAGAAAAAGATCTCTAAAGCGCGTATACTAGATCCCTATAGCCCTGTCAAAACAATTTCGTGTAATTATACTCAGTACAGTAATTAAAATTTTCGTCTCAACGAAGACATTGACTACGTTCTGCTACGGTAGTGCATGCAATTATACCAATATTCGTAAACGCGTATACTCGTTGTAGTCAAAAAGAAGACAAGAAATGCTCGAGACATTTGTAGGGACTTCTTTCCCTTTAGAAGTCCACCAAATACTGTCAAATTGCAAGCACAGAGAGAAAAATCCTCTTCAATTTATTTAGAGATAGTCTGTACTCTGCTGCAATGAACTGGGCTACAAGTCCACCAAATACTGTCAAATTGCAAGCACAGAGAGAAAAATCCTTTTCAATTTATTTACAGTTAGTCTGTACTCTGCTGCAATGAACTGGGCTACAAGTCCACCAAATACTGTCAAATTGCAAGCACAGAGAGAAAAATCCTTTTCAATTTATTTACAGTTAGTCTGTACTCTGCTGCAATGAACTGGGCTACAAGTCCACCAAATACTGTCAAATTGCAAGCACAGAGAGAAAAATCTTCTTCAATTTATTTACAGTTAGTCTGTACTCCGCAGCAATGAACTGGGCTACAAGTCCACCAAATACTGTCAAATTGCAAGCACAGAGAGAAAAATCCTCTTCAATTTATTTACAGTTAGTCTGTACTCTGCTGCAATGAACTGGGCTACAAGTCCACCAAATACTGTCAAATTGCAAGCACAGAGAGAAAAATCCTCTTCAATTTATTTACAGTTAGTCTGTACTCCGCAGCAATAAACTGGGCTGGGCGGATGTTAAGGTACTTTTTTCTCTTTTATAATTGTACAAGTCCATCAAATACTTATGGACTAGTCAGCGGAAGTGCCGCGGCGGCTATACTTTAGGGGGGGGGGGGGGAATCTCTTAGTCCTAAGTCAGTCAGTACAATACAGTACAATACTGTACTGTACACGTACACTGGGTGAGTGTACAGATTGGACCTTGACCGGTGGCGAGACATGCTTGCGTGAACGTCAATCATGGAGACTGTACTGAATATTGTACAAGCAACTGGTGACATCCGCCTACAGTAGTCACCCGTGAGCTTGCACTCCCCCCCCCCTCCTAGCTATTTGTTGCCTTACCTTGGCTCGGTAGACAGCACCTTCTGTAAGCCAGTAAACTAGCGAAAAATTTCAACACAACTGAAAAAAAATCGTCTCTTGAAATCGGTAGACATAACAGATATACGTCCACTCCATTTTGCCTGCTAAATGTGCTGTACGTATCCATCTTAACTGTCATTCACTGAACTTAAAGCCAACAGTAGATCGAGTGATGGACCACTAGAAGAAAAGGTTTTCTGCTAGTGATCCATGATAGAATGCACTGCATGTGTCCATCGTTACAAGACTGTCAGTCAACTTTCAATCATGCACGTTCAAACAGTAAATTCTCTTTTCTCCCGTTCATCCTTTATACAAATCGCCTAACCCTACTATGCACTTGCCTTGATTGATTGAATTAAATCCAATGGATGGTGCAAGTACGCAAATCGAATAAATGGCCTCATCTTCACATCCTTATACGTACGTACCCTACGAGGAGCAACTAAAATAATCATATTCATTACAGTTAGCAATCCAGGCCTAATTGGGTCAGCAAAAAAATCTCTATCGTATGATTATAGAACAAACAAACCATGATTGGAGAATCAACATAGTTAGCACTGAATGCATCGGTACATACTTAATATACATCGATTAATGGCTCTTGATCGCTCCTGACAGCCTTGATCATTAAGTTTGCAACTTACATGCGACGAAGACAACCAAGACAACGTCAGACGTTGTTCAATGATTCATGGTTGAAAAGCAACACCAATCGCATGTTCAATCCAATTCAATGAGCCAAGATAAGTCCTACAAAATTTCTCCTTCTATCATACACGCATTCCATCGACGTAAGTTACCAAATTCTGTCTATGCTAGACCTGAGAAAGGTTCGGTAAATCGATTTAAATTGCCCTTTGTATTATTATTCAACAAAACCTTTATTTAATGATTACGTTTGAAGCCCAGTCGTCATAATCCTATTTCGGTAGGTAAAGAAAGGATGATCGATACCTTATTCAATCATCTTCCTAAACCGAAATGACTACAAGTACCTATATCCTGCCAATTCAGATGATTAAGACACTTGCCTATCCAAGCTAGAAATACAATTTCTCCCTTTTAAAATACGCGATGTAGACATTTTCTTTTATTTCTATTTTTTACTTTCCAAGAAGGCTGGAAGTGTGGCATCACGTGATACCTTGTAACATAGTTAATGTTCCGCTTTCTTTGAATAATAAATATAAGATTTCATTTTTGAGGAAAACTTTTACTTATGTCATTTTAATGGACGTCGACATTAATCCGCAGGAAACGTACTGACTACATGTCAAATTGATTACTCCAGTTGAATATATTGACTCTTATAGCAATAATTGATTATTACCGTTATTATTCGATCTTTCCATATTTGATACAGACTGTGCTACCGTGCAGTGCTATTTTGATCACAATACAGTAGGATAACCAGCTAACGGTAGAGTTACTATTTTACCAAGCAGGCATTAACGACAGATGTTCAGATATTGGTCTACTAGAGCCGATAATGTTGATAAATGCCAATAGTTTCATTGGGTATTTCAGTTATAGGATTAAATGATCATTTTAGAGCCAAACTACGAGTATAACGTACCTAAAATAATGCAGTTGAAGAAATAATTTTCACTGGCAATGATCGAACCACTGAATTAATGCGTATATATCGCAATTAGCAACCCTTGTTATCGTTTAAAATCAGCAATTAATTCGTGCAATTTTATTACTACAGTATAGGTTACGAAGCTCACAACGAAAACGTTATATTAACTATTTCCAATAAGATCAATACGATACTATAGGTCTGATTAGATATTTATAACTTATTTTTAATAAACGCTATGGAAAAGAAAACGCAACCATCAGGTATTTTTGATACGATATTGGAAACACCAACACTCCTAGAACTAGTTTGCTAGCGTTAGAGATGATTATTCTATAGTCTGAAAACTTAAACTCCATTCATTAGCAAAGAGTAAAATTATTTAAAGCCAATTAAGATATGCTTACTCCTGCTTAACGCAAAAGATACTCAAAAAGTCTCATAACAACCAATAATGGTGTTCACGCACCTCAGTGATAATATATTACAATTAAACCTTATCGCTGTATAGACTGCATAGGATGACTTTTCTGATTAACTATAACAATTTGCTAGAACGTGCAGAAAATCATGCAAAATCAAATTGCAGCCGCCATCCATCGATGAATAGTTATGATCTTGCTATTGAACTTAGAAATAGTAAGTCCTCTTCATAAATCTAAACTTGAGAGTAAATAACCAGAATAGATTTTATTTTAAAATTACGATGTACACGTAATTTACTATCAAGTCCATTTATAAACGATCGTTTACAATATAGAAATTGTATTAGTAATTAATATAATAATTATCTCGTAGATGATGACCTATTACGGGAGACGCGACAAAATAAAATTTCTTTATCAGTTAAACAAGCAATTATTGGAATTACCGTGGTGATACTCATTGCTGTTTGCTTTAGCTTGTTGAACCAATTTGGGAAAAATTTATACTCAATCGAACATAATTTTACTTCTGTGGCGTTTTATACATGGTAAGAAGCACAAATAATAGGCTTCAAGAGTAATTTATATAATCGTAAGATAATTTCGAAATCTTTTAATATAATTTAAGTGCTGCTGCGCTAGTTGTCAGATACATCATTTGCAGTCATAGCTAATATGTTAATCCAGTTAACATTATCAAAAGGTAACAATTACAAGTGCATCTTTTGCTGTATTTATGTCCACTCTGTCACAGTACGTATGCAGTAAAGTTAATATTTTATGCCAGTAATCTAAGACTCTAAACAATGGTTTTAAAAAACACTTTCAACTGACAGAAAATTTTTTTTTGTATCTATAAATAAAAGGTTAGGGATGTCCTCATATGTTATCATATTTCCAAGTATCTCATTCTTAATGATCCTATTCAACGGTTACAGTTTCCAACAGTGCTGCAGGTTAAAATTATCAATTATACAAACATATGCGAGAAATAACTTTTTATGTAGAACTGACTGTTTATGAAATTCTGAAATTATATTCATCTTTCCTTTACTAGTGAAGCTAAACTACTTTATTCTGAGCATGGAATCATAAGAACAGTTTTCCTCCGAATTCTTTTATTGGCATTAACGCTAAATGGTGCAATTGTAACGAATTTTTACGCTTTACAGTTCATTGCGCCATCCGATATGACTGCTATTTTCTCTTCGACTGCTGCGTTTGTTTATATTCTTTCCATCATACTATTGAAAGAACAATTTATTCTTCTTAGGGTAATTTAAAACAATTTTTAGAACCTTTTTATTCGTAGAAAGATCGGGTGTATAAGTGTATCAATCGCTTGTACCTACAGTACAGTACTGTATATACTAAATTTTTAGTAGACGCATGTTTTGATTAAAGTGATCTAGCCTTAATATAGGATGAATTCCTGAATAGTTAATGTATCTGACAACTATTAATACTCGTACATCTGTATTTGTCGATTTTAGGCTGGAGCTGTAATTTTATCTATTATTGGTGTTGTGTTATTTGCATATTCTGATGGCTTTGGAACCTTTGCGATAATAGGCGTAGTATTAGCTGTTGCTTGCTCTGTTATAAGCGCATTCTATCGCGTAAGTAGATCAAACTTTCCAAAAATTGATCATCGTAAAATAGTGTTTATACGAGTATTGATTAAGGCACCAACACTATTTATTGTGTAATTTCTGTATCACCTTATTATTACATTATATAGGTTTTCGTAAAATTAATAATTGGCGACAGGCCGCTCCTTCAGATATCATTACTAGTTTCCAATATTGGTGTAATATCGCTCTTCTTATCTTGGATACCAGTAATTATACTAAGCAATATCGGCGTTGATATAAATTTATGGTCTACTATTCCTTGGGGACCGCTAATGGTAGCTGTTGTATTTAATGTATTATATAATTTTTTACTTGTAATTGGGATTGCCATAACTTATCCGATATTCGTTTCCCTTGGTGCACTTTTTGGAATACCTTTAAACTCGATTATTGATGCAGTAACACGCAATTTAGCATTTACGGAAGCCAAAATTTTTGGTACGGTTTTACTTATTTTAGCTTTCGTAATCCTATTAATACCAACAGGAAAAGCTATAAAAATTTCTAAAAAAATCACTGACGTCATTCTGTGTAAAGTATCGAGAGATACACATCATCCTCAAGATTAGAACTGATTATAATTATTTGTATAAGTATTATGTTAAGCTGCTAGGATTAGTAGTAATTTAAAAGAATTCTGAAGCAAATTATGACTATGAAAGGTTAAAATAGATTGATGACTAGGTAATGAATTATTGGACTGTAATGGTCTGATTATGTCTTTTAATACACTAAATGATCGTATATAATCCGTTAAGTAATTATCAATAAGTCGACGAAATTAAACAAAGATGAAAATGGTCTTTTTTACATAAGTGAGGGTTGTAAAATAAAAAATTCTAAAATTATCTGTTACAGTAATAAAATACTAAAATTAATTGATGATCAGGTAATGAATAACCTAATTATTTACTCGCAGACTATAAAACTAGTAACTTAGCTTTTAATAGGATACCTCAACCATTCATAAATAATAACATAATCATATATTTTTAACCCACAAAATAAAGAAAAAGATCTCGAAAATGTGCATACTAGATCTCTATACCCTTCAACAGAACAATTTGATACTAAGATGGTACTGCCCAATTATGCATTTGCTCGTATACTCGTATAATCATTAATCATTACAGTCAAGGAAGAAGACAAACAATACTAAGACTTTTGCAGCTTTACTACAATATGCATCATTATATCGTATATTTAATTAAAATAAAGAAGTGCGGATTTGTTGCTCGATTACTTAAAGTTTGTTCTACGAAGAATAGTTGTGAATACGTTCAAACAGTACACGATATAATATCTAATAGAAGAGTATGCACAATTGCACATATAACTAGTATAGCTCTAATTCTGATACGCTGGGAATTTAGTGCCTTTATTAGGACAGATGCTGAAATTTGTATACACTACTTCATGCGCATATCTATTCCCAAGACAACTCTGTGTTGCAGAACTGGTGGATTTTACTTTTCCTTTAACTTTAACTCGAAGTTTCTTTCAATTTGCTAAAACAACGTACTATACGTATAGTACTATCATAACTCTGCAATATACGGAAATAAAAAGTCATAAAAGCTTATCTAATATGTGTAAATTTTGTTAGTGATTCTGTAACTTTCGAACATCATTATAAACTTCCACTAGCATAGTTTTATATCTATCTCATATTTTATTCATTATATCTTATTTACACTTCGTAGATTTACATGTACAAATATTAATAATATTTGTCGAAATAATCAGGGCCTTTTCTGTTGGTATTATGAGAATAGCAAATCCTATAATTAGTAAAATTGTACCAAAAATTTTAGCTATAGTAAAACTTTGATTTCGTATAACTGCATCTATTATCGAATTTGTAGGTATTCCAAATAGTGCGCCAAGGGAAATAAATACCGGAAATGTTACAGCAATTCCAAGTACAAGTAGAAAATCATATAGCACATTAAATGCAACAGTACTTAATAGAGGTCCCCATGTAATATTCGACCATAAATTAACATCAACGCCAATAATATTTAATATAACAACCGGTATCCAAGTTAGGCAAAACGTTAGTCCACCAATGGTAGCAGTTAGTAGCGATACTTGAATTACAGTCCTTTCGCCTATAGTTAATTTCGCTAAAATCTATATAGCAAATTAAAAACACAACAAATTACTCTAGCATTATATTACTCGTATAAGATACGCAAATATTACTTTATGTACACAGGATAATTCCGGAATTACGATATTGCACTTAATTATAATATTCAATAATATAATAATATCGTACTTACACGATAAACAGCACTTGATATGGCGCTAATGAGAGCTAGCCCGAAGCCAGTTATAGCAAAATTTCCAAAGCCATCAGCATACACAAATAATATAACACCGGTTATAGATAGGCATACGGCTACAGCCTAAAAGTCAAAAGTGTATCGTAATGTTATACCGTAGCTATTACCAGAAGCAGGAATGGAGCCGCATTTAATCTTTACTATTCCATCAGAATTAGCGAAACAACCTTATTAATACGCTTACAGTATATTAAAATATGACAAGTATAATGCTAATAATGATAATATCCTTGTTAATACGTATGTATCTATCTATCAAAATTATTACCCGAATCGCGACGAAAGGTTCCTTCAATATCAAAATAGATAATATATAAACAAACACAGATACCGAAGAAAATATTGCTGTAAAATCGGAAGGTAAAATAAATACTAGGGCGTAAAAATTCGATACAATAGCGGCATTTAGCAATATCGCTAACGGAAGGATTCGAAATAAAGTCGTTTTTACAAATCCGTGATTGGAATACAGTCGTATGGCTTCCCTAACGAAGACATTGTTATAGATGCAATGTTAAATGATATATTATTAACAACCTGATTGATCGAAAGTTATCCAAGATACCTGTAGCACTGTCGAAAAGTATAACCATTAAACAAAACTAATAACGATGAGATAATTGGAAGCATCAAGGTATACATGGAAATTGAAAACCTATGATTCGTATGAAGTAGAATCTAGCGTCAAAGGAGAAAGTTTTACGTAATACAGAAAATAATTCATAGATAATAAGCAAGACATTGAAACTCAGAACTAAAAAAACGCATACAGAGAAAACATCATCCTGTATGATAAATTATAAAGGAAAGGAAGAAATAGTATCGTACATTAGTTTACAGTAACAGCTAGTATTATGATATGGACATAAATGACTATTTATAATTCTCTTGTCGAAGTTATGCATACTTAATGGATGAACGCTAATGTATAGAAATTAGAGCTAAAAGTCTATTATGAACTGCAAGAAATTACGTAGCACTCAATTATTCTTCATGTATGTGAAGGTTCTAAGCGCGATGTATATTCGGAGTATGACTATTTCTCTAGGATAGCAATCATGCTATATAAGATTGTAAAAATATCACGTACCAAGTATAAAACGTCACAGATGTAAAATTACTTTTGTTGGAGAATAAATCTTTTCCAAATTGGCTCATAAGACTAAAAGTTAAAGCTAAAAATATTACGACTATGATACCAATTAATGTTTCTTGCACAGATAACGATTTCTTAATTGTGTCTTTTGCTGATGATAGTTTATCATCTGTAATGAAAGGAAACATAATAAGCAAAATGAATGATTTAAGATAAAGGATTTTTAAATTATATAATTTTGTAAAGTTAATCTGTGTATATTAACTTTACTTATTGCAATTACTGCAGATTTAATTTCTTCTGTAAGAATTTTGAGGCTATCTTTATAATTTTATAAGGTATGTCAAATCAATTTACCGCCTCTAGATTCAATGGCAAGTTGATAACTATTGACTGATTGATTGCAGATATCCTGTAGTTCTGTAAAAAGATAGGTTACTTATAGCATCATCATAAATAATGAATTTATTAATATAGTATATTAATCCATTTTCGAATAATGAAGATTATACTATTTAAAAATTTTGCGGACCGCATCTAACGCAGACATTTAGCTCTATTTTGATATGCGTAAGGGAAGTGTATGCACCACTAATATTATTCATTAGCATCATTTTTCAATTATAACTAAAAAGTATTTCACTCTATCTATGGCAGAATATCGTATATGTAAAAGGAATTGATTAAATGATAGTTGGATTAGATCAGCATATTCTCTATTTACAAGATAAAGAAGCCCACTATTCGTGCACTGTAGGAATTTTGGTATGATATACAGCTCAATACTATATTTCCAGACACTGAAATATTGCAGCTTTTCAAAAGGTAAGTTCAACTAATTCAGCCAGGATTGGTCTATGATACATGTTAGGACATTCTGTAAATCATACATCATACCTGATATCTTGATTTCAGCGTTATGATTTTCACTTTTAGTGCTCTCCATATGAACGGTAGATGTCGCTTGTAGTTACGAGTAGCTTCTTAGTGTTGTTACTTGCAGCTATTATCCATTAACACGATATTTGATATCTAAAGTTGTAAAATATAGATTCAACTTTAGGAAATTACTCGAGACCAGCATGAGCAACGTTTATTGAGAATACACAAGCATGAAGACTGAAAATAAGGGAGACGATTATGCGTCCAGCCCATCCCATCCCAATTATCCATTTCTAGGTAATCAAAATAACCTCTATTTACTTACAGTCCCCAACAGCATCGAGGAGCAAACAAGCAATGAAATAGCCGATTGAATAGATATCATGGAAAAATAATGCTAAACGACGTAACTCGGTTTGTTCTAGTAAAGACTAAAATATTACTCTACTCTACTTACGAAACAGGTTAATGGAGAGATAATTCTGATTCGACATTTTGACAGCCCGAGCGAGGTCTCTCCCACAGATGGCTTAGCTACAATCTAAAGTATACAGTACTGTCGTCATCCAAAAGTACTGTACCGTACTGGACGGTGAACTACCCCATACTGGACTATACTGTAGGCGGCAGGTCATGCTACAGTAACGTACAGTACAGTACTGTAGCACGAACTACTGAATGTACTGTAAACAAATTGAATCAAATCATACCTATGGTGGAGTATGGCGGTAAACCTTCGACATTAATCCTAAAGTATAACAACTTTCCTACTTGGGAAAATGTGTGTAATCTTAATCAACCATTCGTGATAACCATTGATATAAATCGTTGTAGGGTGAACGTTTGAAACTAGTAGATGTTGTAATAGTGAATTAGCTTGTAAGCTATCATCCAATCAAACATCTGGTATTGAAGAAGAAATCGTCCTTTGTAATATAGAATACCTACCATTATAACCTAGTTTGCAAATGAAACTGCAAAGATTTGCAAATACTAAGGTATCGCTGTAGACAATTATTTAACTGAAGGCAGCCTATGTTTCAAGTTAGTTGCTTGCGAAAAACGAATGACTAACATCCATGGACAGTACTACAACATAACGAAACATAGTTATTCTACAGGTGTAAAATGATTGGAATGGATTAAAGTGTAGATTATGATCTGCTGGTCATACGTATTATGAACCATTATGACGCTAAAGAGAACTTTTGATTACACTTTAGTAGTATGATATTATTACTGGTTCACTATTTCTGTTTCTAATAAAAATGGGTAACTATTAGATAAATGCAATAGAATTGGTTACACAGAAATATCACTATCAAACAAGATTACCAAATTGAAAAATGGACGCTTGCTTGGAAATCATCGTCAGATCACTTCGTCTTAACAATGCACTATAGAGCATAAGCTACAAAGTGTAATACTAACGAATCGATGTGCTGTATTGGACATTAACAATCATAGAAGTCAACGAAAAAGTTGTAGGACGACTATGGAGCTGATATACGCGTACTTATAAACCAAGAATAGGATCACAACTGTTTATTTTTTATTCATTCATTAATTATTCATTAGATTCAAAGTTTGATAATATATTAATGTATACGTTGTTGTATCCAATCCAGCTCTGCTGTATTGTCTAAAGCAAAATCCATTATACAAGTTATAATACAACTGTGCAGGAAGACATATGGGTAATAAATAGACGTCAATTGATGGAAATGACTTCCATACTATAGCTATTAGCATTCTATAGTTAAGCAATCCAGCTCGATTGTCTTCAGTGAAATCGATCCACTTTTACTAAACCAGCAAAAAATAATCCCGTCTCTTCTGTAATTCCATTACACCTACAATGCCTTATTTCTTTTGTGATTGTTTTATTTATTGCAGTTTGTATTGCGTTGTATAATCTCGGACAAAATAATATCATACCCATGGACGCACAATGTGACATTGATTTCGCTAGCGATTTATATTGCAAATAATGCCATATGATAATATGCTGCAGTATTTTGCAATGAAAGTAGTAGCCGTGATATTCAAATTTCGAGAAAGAACTGAAAAAATATATATCATCTTGTAGAGGCTTAGTGTAATGCATTGAATTTAGTAATACGTCGTACAGTCGGAGATTAATGTTAAGCTCAATCTCTGTGAGAGTTAATAGAAGTAGTAATGTTAGATAGTATTGAACTCGCGTACATTTATGGCTTTGTCACTAAAGCTTCTACATAGCTCAATCAAGCCATGAGCTAATATCACAAATATTTAATATGTTGAATATAATGTAGAATTAATGTCTAAAAGTATTTACTGTATCTGGTACTGATTTACAAGATGCTTGCTTTATCACTAACTCTACTACTCGGCTCAATTAGATGATTGCTTTATCACTAATGCTTCTATGCAGCTAAATCAAGCGGATAGTGAGCTATTATCACGTTGTACTGATTTCAGCTAATTACAGTAGTTATGAGTCATACACTGCTCACATTTCTATTTAATACCCTAATCGTAACTTAGAATTGATATCTAAAAGTATTTACTGTACCTGGTACTAATTTGCAAGATGCTTACTTTATCACTAATGCTACTACTCGACTGAATTAAGCGGGAAATGAGCTATTATCATATACGGTATATTGAACGCCTTTTATATAACGCAAAATTGCTATCTAAAAAAATTTGATGTCACTTCTGTAGTATTTATTGGACGTAGCTATAAATAAATTTCGTTAACGGCGTTATAGGTAATGCGATACTGTAAGGTGATCAATTGCGGTAAATTTGCTGACAATACTTGCTAGCTTCTTTTATGCTGATGTCCAGTGGCACTACAGCAAATCTGTATTCAGGCAAATTCCTAGACTATTTATACTTCTCAATCTCTATCCATATAGCATAATCCTTAAATATATCGCATATTACTCGCTATATGTTCAAGATCTTCACACGAATATGCATAACTTACCGACATGCGTCTAGATTTGTATAACATTTAAAATTTTCTACTCCAAGTATTCTTTTTTGTCTATCACACGTGTAATACTTCGATTATCTCACTCAATCATTGTAGTAGAATAGTTCTACCCTAATTATTCTGCATCAGATTTACATATACAAAACTATTTACATTGTAAAGTCGCTAGTGACTTGTGATTTTGTACATTGATCTAGTTCTATTGCTCAAAATAGAATTTATACATTTATAGATTCAGACGTTCAAATAATAAATTGGCACCTATTGATCCAAGTTAAGGATCTTAACTTGATGCTTTATTTCCATCGATGGCTCCTGGAAAATGCTAACATAATTACAATATCAAGAATCTCTTATTAATTAATTTATTTATTAGATGACTTTAAAATAGAATTTCGCTACTATTATCGTAGACAATCATTACATGTGCCATAAACTGGTCTAAGAGATCATAGTAATAATTTACTATTTTAATATAAATGAATACATTGCCATACATATGGTACTCTAATGTTACGAATACCAATGACTACACTGGTATATATTTCTTAATTTAGAATGATAGCTTTTAAATAAGATAATAATAACCAGTTTGGATATTAAGGTTATTTCCTATCATCGTCATAATAGCAATATAGAAATAGTATTTTTAAATGCAATAAAATTACTCTAAATTTGTAAGTCTATCATTCCTTACAATAAGGGCAAATATTTGTTATATTTACAATCGCTTTAGCATATTTCACAGAAAAATAAAGGATAACAGCGTAATCATAATTCAAAACAACCGACAGCGAAATAGAGGTGAAATTGCTAGTATTGTGAAACGGTAGTATAACATGACTTATATAAGCGACTATAACCATCGATGATAGTGTTATCAATTATGCTGGATATAGACTGGTTGGTTCACACAAGTAGCTGTAGTCATATGGCTGCGTCAATGTTAAAATTATATTCCATATTTTTTGGACGACAATGAAGATATACCATCAAGTTATTCGATATTGTATTACTGTAATTAAATGGTATTAAATAGATAATATGACTTACTACCAGTAATACTGTCGCACTAGTTCGTAGACTATCAAATTCAATTTCTTGATTGATGGTATCAACAATTCCATTTAGCATCACAGCTAAAAGCCGGCCAAGCAACAGGATACGAGGATTTATAATTCCATGCGATAGATGTACAAGAGAGAAATGGATGAAAATAGATATAGATGCAAGTAATAATGATTGCCATGGAATTTGATGTAATTCAAAGCGATCTAAGCCAAGGTAATAAAATACAATCATTGGAATCCAAAATGTTAGCAAGCTGTAGATACCAATCGATGTCTGTATGAACGCTAGTTGAAGTGGATGCATCCGTCTCTTGAAAATACTATCTATTGAAATCTAAATCAAAAATTTATCGAGTAGCGTATTAGTCAAGTTCGTAAAACTCACACAAGTCAATTTAAGAATTGCTGTCTACAAATTGTACTCAATACGAAGGCAATGTGCAAATAAACTAAGCAGCTTGAGCTAGCTGCTATATTACGAAGTCGTTTGACCCTAAAACTGTCTACTATTTTAGCTAGACACTATAAAATTGTACGTAAACCTGATATAGAGCGAGAAAAACGGAACTTGCTAACGCCATTCTGATATCAGTACCCGGTGGATGAAAAAGAATACCTTGAATAATCATAACTGTTAGCCCAGCTATGCTCAGAATTGTACCCGTGATCTGTAGATAGAAAAGCATGATACAACCATTAAACACATCACAATAAACGAAAAGTATACTCGATAGTATCATTATTTTTTAAGTGATCTAACGGTAGTAAAGTATAATAATCTATAATATAATCTGTAGCTTTTCATCTCTTACTTACTTTTATTATGTTAAAATTTTGATTGTTACATGTATAAGTAAATAAATACGTTAGTGGAGTCGTCGAAAGAAGTATAATCGTAACATCGAAAGAAGATAAAGCCACCATCGCAGAGCTTGCTAAAAATACAGTTCCATCCAGCAGAAAGCATAATGGGAGTACTTTAATAATGTATAAACCGACAGAGAATTGATTATATATTCGATATGGTTCTGAAATGATGCTGTAAAAGAAAGGGTTAATTGATTTAAACTTACTACCATCATTCCATCATGATTAAATTATAGAGAGCAATATTACAAATCACAATAGTGCACGTTCTATTGACTACCACCAACTTACATCAATATACGTATAGTGTATCATTTAGCTTTACTGGTATAAAAATTATCTGCTTATGTACGTATAATATTAGTACCTTTTACATTTACTAAGGTTATAGCCACTTAGCATGGCTACTCCAATTACAATCGGTAACAAAATTCCCGACCATGACATGATAAACCTGCAAAAAAGGGCAGGAATATTATAATGCTCCATAATGTCATAGTTATCAATATGATTTCTTAACTAATCATAAAGACTATCGTTGCCGATATGGTGTCAACATTAATATAATGCATTAATAGGCAGAACATCATTACTCATAGCAGTATACTTACCATGTAGCAAATGCTGGTGCGGTAAAATTTTTATGCTTATAGACCTCTCTACCAAATCGCGTAGCGGCAAATAGTGAGCCACCGATTCCCACTAAAAGTATAGGAATCAATCTGACTTTATTACAGTTCAAATCAACGACAGTTTGTATTTCCTCTAAAAAAGAAGTAATGAATGATAATTTAATATATAATATATCAGTTCGATAAAAAATAAAGTAAAGGACAGACATATTGCAATCACGAACGTAGAAACGGCTAGATTGCGATAAACAAAATACCGAATTGATTAATAAGACGAAATCAAAGGAAAGTTGGGAAATGAAACAAATGCAACCATTCTTGAAGATAAATAAAAATGGCAGCAAATATTCGTATGCTTATAATACATGTATGTACTTTTCATTATTATCATAGCGACTTTTATACTAGTTTTATACCTCAATTAAAGAGGCTTAATAACATGGGAAGAAGAAAACCAGGCAGTAAATAAAATTATTCCATAAAATGTGATGGTTGTAGCTTTTGGCGATGGTTATGACGAGCGAAATTACTACCCTTTTTTACACAAATATCTTGATAGCACATTAAATTATAGTTAAAATTAAAGTCAGCGTTGTTACATCGCTGTGATCTTCATGACTATGACGATAAGATAGCTTTTATGTTTTTGTGAAAAACGAAGATTATAGGAAGATTATATAATTATCTTTTATATTCGTTTTATTTCAGTTACTAATAATCATGAAGGACTGAGAATTAATTTTTTCCTTTAACTAAGACTGTTGGCTACATCTTTATTATAAATATGGATATGCTTCCACTGTGATACTTAGGTAATAAGTTTAGCTTAAGCGAAATCGTCCATATATTGGCGTCTAGCGGTTGATCCTCTTTGCTTCTTTTTATATTTTAAGGCTATTTTCAGAGCTATTGATATGAAACCAAACAGTTTCTTGATATTTATGTACCATTCTCAAGCCTGTATGTGGCTATTGAATGCCATTTTGCCGCGGTTGTTAAGTATTTTTATGAATATAAGAAAAAGTGATCAGTGAAATTCAATTATAAGAATGACAACGGTCAAGAAAGCTTAATCCTTATTTAATCAGTTATCCAATAACGGTTATATATTAGTTTTTCCTATTCTATGTGACACAATATTGTTACCTTGCACTAATCACCCAATATAAAATCTTATAATGTTTGATTCTATCACTGAAGGAAAGTACCGTATGTATACGTATACGTATAGTAGCAGATAAACTTAGTGTTAATAAGTTAAAGGAAAAGAAATAAAGCAAAAGATTTGAAAAGCAATTTAAGAAATTTTTGCTAAGCTGTATTTCATTTTCTTGATTAGGTCCTGTCGACGCAATGCATATCTAGCTTTATAACATTTCTTATGTTGGATATGCTTATTTTAATACCGGATGGTAAATAAAGGTAAAAATTAAGAGTAGTTATAACGACATTATCCATAGTATCTTATGATACCTGTTGATTCAAGTACACTTCACACTCCAATAGATACTATGTAGTATTTGTTCTAATTTTATTAATCAAATTGGGTTGCAATTTTTCATAGCCAGTGGAGTGACATAAAAATTTTTAATTTCTGTTTAGTTATCAATTTCATATAAAAAATTGGTAATATCCTAACTATCGTCATATTCAACCTTGGTGTAGGCATTGAAAGGCTATTTTTTCTCATGTCAGATATATTAGTGATCATTATTTAGCCTGACTGTAGAAGATAATTGCCGAATATTAAGAAAAGGATAGGTGTTTGCGAGATAATAAAAATAATAGAAAATCATGCTAGCGTGGACACTGGAAATGAATCTGTTATGAGGACGAAAATAAACTAAATCAGAGGATATTATAACATTGTTTCTTTACAATATCAGCACAATTTCAATCATGACCACTTAATGAGACTTTACTAATTTAAGAATAGTATTTATGACAGTAGTTGAAACTACCATAACAACCTGGCTTTGAATGTCTCTGCTGCCCATCCATTGGGCCATCGCTACCATTGGCTGCTTGATTTTCATTGTCATATGCTAATAATACAAAAATTGAGCAGGGCTTCCTTAAATTACTTTATAATCTTATTTTAAAATAAGCTTATCAAATTAATCGAATTATAATCTAATTAGTGAGGACTATCACATCAGATATGGCTTTAATAGGTAAAAATCGAAATGAATTCATTTTAATGTTGGAAAAAAGTTAACTATTCTAGTCACGTACTTATTGTGTTAGTTGCTTCTTCTACAGCATTAGTATCTTGAAGCTCCACTTCAGTAGGGCTACTGCTGCTAGATTCAGCCATAAATTAGGACTCAGTTATACTGTAAACTACCATGTATAAGTAGTCTCTTCTTTCCAGATAGCAATAATATGACTGAAATACGCTGTTTTCGGTTAAAACTATCTATTCTATCGTTTAAGGCAAATTAGTAAACACCGATGCATCTGACCAGGAACTATCCATTTCAACTTCAACTAGCTTCTTATTAAGTATCAATACTTTTTACTTTTATTAACATTTACAACGGTAATCAGCAATTTTAAAATAAATTCTATATGTAAATGATAAATTTGATGCCATATGGTTGCTCAAACTCGATGCGTATCCTTAACAGTCAGAAAGATACCTTAAATCAACAATAATCCCACTAGCCCAGTCGTTAAACTATTGTAAATAACATTTAATAACGAAGATAAAAGCTAATATAACAAATAAACACATAAGGTGTGCCTGAATAATAAGGAAGAAGATGAGCTGTATATCGATTATCTATTTCAATAATTAGTACTCTCATCTTGAGCAATTTCAACTACTATATTCAATACCTTCTCTTTTAGCATCCTTCCATAGACAACTTTGATCATCGAAAATTCTGTAATATGATATAACAATTACCGGTAATAACTTAAAAAGCTGGATTCAACTACCAGGGAATGAGTAAACGTAATTGTATCGATAAGTAAAAATTTATGTGCAGTGCTAGTAAATTAACCGTTGATTCAGGTGCAATTAATATTTTATCTCAATATGGAGATTGAAACAGATCAAAGCATTTGGCTACTTTTGGCTGTTAACTGATTTGAAATTTTCCATTCTCTGATTGAGCAAGTATTGCGTTGCGATATGATCCAATCTACCATAATACTGCTGCGTTTCTATGCATTCCGACCAGCTGGATGTAAACTGAAATATAAGTAAATAAAACGAAATTTGCCAATTCTGAATGCATACCTAGACCTAAGTATTTTCGTGATGATTCATAATCTTTATGATTATACGGCAGCAACATCTAAATTTACCGCTTAATACTCTCAGTGCTGAAACATGTAATTTTGCCCGTGTAGCTGAATGTTTATATGATGAATCATAGATTATGTAAAACTTATAACAGCTTCATTTCTGTCCCACCTTTTCATCGATGGCTTCTAAGCAGCTTTTACATACATTATCCAATTGCGTGTAATCAGAACTCATCAGTTATTGGAACTGTGACCATTACCCTATCGTTAAGATTATGGATACATCGTGTTTTTGGAGTAGAAAAGCCTATATAAGATTTTCAAGATACATTGACAATTTTAAAAAGTATCTTTCTATTCATTTTCTTTCATTGATATTTCAGCTAATATTTAGTTCTTAGGTTTTTATATAAAGAATCATTTATCGTACGACACTTAGTTCCATCTTGTTAATGACAGTTAAATTCGTGTAGTAATATGTTGCTATTATAGTATTAGGAATCTAAAGATTAATGTTGATTTATCTAATATAGTTAATATTTGACCGAAAGCTATATTTATCGTTGGTAGCGTTAACGAGTAAGTAACCTTTTTCGGCACTAGTAATTTAGATAATCTATCATTAGGCAGTAACGGCGTTAACAGTCTCTAATTAATCCTATTTTTATAGATATATCTATACTTCACATATGAATGTTTATCGCCTATATTTTCATACTGCATACTGCAAATTGTAAACTATGATACGCAGCTAAAGAGCATAATTTCTCATGATATTAATATGGAAGATATGGCACTTATAGTGAAGCACTTTATCATATTATAATCATTTATCTGAATTTTAGTGATAATTAATTACAGAAATATATCACAATCATCTTCGTAGCAATGGATGAAAGATAATACTTTTACTTATCGATACCCTTAATAAAATGAAGAATCATTCAATACATTATCATGCATCATTATGGAAGAGGTACTCACCCTTAGATATATCATAAAATAATAAATCATATCAAATGGATCTAATATTTACTCATTGATATGCTCGTATGCAGGATTACTTGAAGAATCTCCCAGATAGTATGCTCTATCTCCTTTCGAAAATCACAATTCCAAACCTTTTTCTCTCATAGATACTTAGTCCAATTTACACAATGATCACACTAGAAATATATACGTAGCCTATATTAAACACCTTACAACAGTAAATTAGCTTAAATTAAATTACAATCAGCATCACCGTGATTATTAATGTCTTAAATTCAGTTATAGCACAACTGCTCATTAATGAATTCACTAATAACGTAGATCATGTAGGCTCTGGCTATTGCTGAAATTATACCGTTTATCGTTCTTGATATTAATTAATTTACAGTTGCTATGTTCACGTCATGGTAATAAGCGCTGATGCAATGACTAGCGTTAATCTTAATTATCAAAATTTAGGTATGGTTCCTTATGTGATGCATAGTCTGCTTGATGATGAAACATACGCGTATTTAAGTTATGAGAATATAGAAATATCGACAATCCATTGATGATCAATTAATTCATTAAATGCCATCAAGACTACGATCATGCGTGTGTGTGACGGAAGTAATGGATTGTGAATACATCAGTAACATATTTCAGATCATACTATTAAAACACATTTGGCAAGAAGAACTTGCATTAAACCTATCATGGTTAATTATTAAAACCAATTTGATCACATGTCAACGCCATATTATCCAATACTATAGTTTCAAACCAGACCAATTGTGATGATCAATCATCAGAGTACTAGCGGTATCTCGGCCTTGATAGCATATTATTAACAATCATATCCTTTTACAAATTACGAACAATTGCTTTTCTATTTTATGCGTCGTTATTGATGTAAGGATGTACTAGACAGTCTTACTTACATGTAGAGAATGGCTGTCAGATTGAATTTTTTGCATCCAACCAA